CGCGGAGTCAGGGAGACGCGGAGGCGCGGAGGCGCAGAGACGCGCGCCGCCGATAGAGGGCGCAATTCTTGGCGGTATTTTTTAGAGAACGAAGCATCCATATCCATTGTTAATTTCCTCGCAAAGGAAGGTAGGAGGGCGACGAGGCACTGGAGTCGCGGAGACGCGGAGTCAGGGAGGTGCGGAGCCAGGGAGACGCGGAGGCGCGGAGTCGCAGAGACGCGCGCCGCCGATAGAGGGCGCAATTCTCGGCGGTATTTTTTAGAGAATGAAGCATCCATATCCATTGTTAATTTCCTCGCAAAGGAAGGTAGGAGGGCGACGGGGCACTGGAGTCGCGGAGTCACGGAGTCGCGGAGTCAGGGAGGCGCGGAGTCAGGGAGTCGCAGAGACGTGCGCCGCCGATAGAGGGCGCAATTCTTGGCGGTATTTTTTAGAGAACAAAGCATCCATATCGCGGAGGCGGGGAGTCGCAAAGACGCGGAGTCGCAGAGATGCGCGCCGCCGATAGAGGGCGCAATTCTCGGAGGTAGGTCGACTGCGGCTCCACGCCTCCACGCCGCGCCTCCACGCAGCACGGTACAATTCTCGGAGGTAGGTCGACTGCAGCTCCACGCCTCCACGCAGGATACGGAGGCACGGATGTAGAGTGAAGTGGCCCTGCATTCTATAGTTGTATCACAATGATAACAAACACGCACGAAAATATTCCTAAAAAAAACAGTCAATAGAAAAGGCCAAAACATAACGAAAATACTACTTACTAGTCCGAGTAACTTGGACCCAACTTATCGCCTTTTTAAACATTTGGACATGGTCTGGCGATCATGTCCAAATGTTTAAAAAGGCGATAAGTTGGGTCCAAGTTACTCGGACTACGAAAATACAGACTTACGATGTCCACGCAAGCTTAGCAAACGGACGACAGTCTCAGAACATTCAAAAAGTAGTTATGAACACCTCAAAATGAGGGAAGAAAACAGAGCGACATTTGATTACATGTGCACCTATCATCAAAGGGCGCCACCAATAGGCACGCTGCTTGTTGGTCCAAATTTTGCTCGTACCCCCGCCCTGCAAACAGGCGGGGGGGGGGGGGGGGGGGGGACGAGCGAAGGTCCTATAAATTAGTGTCCAACCACCAACTATCTCATCTCTCAAATCTCGGAAACACTGAGCCTATTGGGGGTCTCCCCAATACCAATGTTATACAGATGTTACCCGAAATCCCAAGGATTAGGATTAGGGCGGGGTTAGGGTTAGGCCAAACAAAAAAAGTCTCCGCGATTTCTGGTATGCGCGCGCGTCGCCGTAGCCATGCGCGTCGGCAAAATGAAAACGTTTTTTTTTTCAATAAGATGATGTCTCAAAACCGCCAAACTCACTGGTTTGACTGGAATCCTGCTGCTGCACAATTTTAACGTGTTTTTAGATGGGGTTATGGTCGAGAATAAGCTTTATGTGGCTTCTCTGGACTCCCATATATTTGCACTAAGTTTAGTCGGGCACCATTTGCAGTCATCAGCCGACATTTTGAAGCAAAATAAAAAACAGGTAAAAAAAAAAAAGCCGCGTCGCCGCACCACTTTTTGGGCAAGCTCCATCCGGTTCGCTAGTGTGACGTCACCTCCAGCACTTTCTGCACGATTGGAACCGGAAGTTAACGCAGCTCGAGCGTTTGCAGCCAATGGGCGCTAGTAATCAGTGGTGTGCGCGCGTGTATGACGTTTTTACTAACGAACCGGATACCAGAAACCGGAGACTTTTTTTGGCCTTATATGGTAATAAGGATTTCGGGGAACATCGGTATTTGGTATCATGAGTATTGGGTATAGACCCACTAACTTGGCCGCTAGAACTCCTTTTTTTGACAAGCGCCCCACAACGCATTTCAGAGAGCAAATGTCATCTTTCGAGACCATTCCCCTCAAAAATTGCCAAAAATCACGCAAAATACTTGACAAAACTAGTACCTTTCAAAGCACCTACTGGCTTCTTCACATGCAAAAGATGAGGTGACGCTTGAACGACAGAACACATCCCAAGTGTCAAAAAAAGGAGTTTTAGCGCCCCAGATTAGAGGGTCTAGGTATTGGGGAACATAGGTATACGCACCCAGCATAATTATAAGTCTTCAGTTTGGTCAAGAACTCCCTGCCCGTTCCTGCCGCCTGGAATATCTTCCGCCAGTTTGATTGGATCTGCATGGATGAGTACTGCAAGCACGGGATGTACAGGTTGCAAGTGTACAGTGCAAAATATCGCGCATTTTGTGTGTAAGCCAATAGCGGTTTCTAGTGCCCAAAATACAATACCATTACCAAGCGTCTAACTTAATTAAGGCCGCGAAATCGGAACGTCGGATCTGATCGGCAATTTTGCAAAAGCATTGATGTCTTCCTTTGTCAACCAAAAAAAAAAAAAAGGGACAAAATAGGCTTGAAGCTGTTTCCAAAGTCAAAAACGTACTCGATTTGATACTAGCTTATAGGTTTTTCCGGCCAATTTCATAAAATGTTATTCACTTCTGAAAACACGGTCATTCATTTTCGTGTGAATTTGAGAATTGCCGCTCTGAAAACGCGTTTCATTTTCGCTACCAGGGCATTCGATTCCATTTCAGTTTCATTGAGCAGCACCTTTCGTTATGTCCATTCGCTTACAAGACTTCTTTTCGCTTTTAGAGGGCGATTTCAAACATTCAGCTTTACCTGAAATCAGTGGCGTAGCCACCGGGGGGGGGGGCGTGGGGGGGGGGCGACCGCCCCCCCCCATAAAACCTTGTCGCCCCCAAGTCGCCCCCCCACTGAGATTTTGAGTTTCTAAAAAAAATATCATTGATCTACATGATGCCATGGGCCCTATTATGTACTACAATGTATCTTTTGCTTAGAAAATATTGGTTAAAGTGGTCAAAAATTGCCTCAGATAGCACCACAGAGCATTTAGAATCCAAATATAGCGGGCCCCCCACGCCTATAGCTCGGAATTCTGGTAGCTGATTCAATGACTCCAACCTCGAAAACAATGTTCACAAAATTTTCTTATGCATTTAGCTGCGAAAAAACCTCGAAAATTATGTTTAAATTATTATTTTTTGTGCTAAGATAATTATTGGTTAAAGTGGTAAGAAATTGCCTCAGATCACACCACAGAGCATCGAAAATCCAAATCGAACCCCACGCCAATAGCGCAGAATACCGATAGTTGAATCAATGTCTCCAACCTCGAAAACGATCTTTTGCCAAGAAAATATTAGTTAAAGCATGGAGGAAAGTCGTAAGAAATTGCTTCAAATCACACCACAGAACAGGGGGGGGGGGGGGGGGGGGCTAGCAAGTTGGATCCAGAATTTTTTTCAGGGAAGCGTGCTGAAATGTAGACAGGTTATTTTCTCCGGACACTTAGGCCGCGGGGGGGGGGGGGGGGAGCTCGTGCCATATTTTCAATGGGGAGCGCTGATAAAATCCGACAATCAGGCACACTATATTAACTAAAAGTGTACAAATCATTTAGGGGGAGACCGTTCCCATGTACATCAAATTCTTACATTTTGCTAGGTGCATTTGTTTTATTATGGAAATTTGTTTTTTGCTCCCCCCCCCCCGTAGAACCGCCACTGAAAACACAGTGGCGTAATCAGGGGTTGAAGAGTGCAGAGTTTCAGATTGCAACGGGCTAGACTTTCTAAAAGCGTAATCGGGACGCTGATCCAGGGGCAAAGTCCGGACAGCGAAATCGGCCTGTCGGCAAAATCGTACGTCCTTTTGGAAATTTGCGGGGTGATGAAGCGGGAAAATGTCCATGCCATTGTTCGCTTTTAACAGCGCCCCTGTGAGAAGATGGTGCGAACCACCCTCTCCCCGGACTTTTACAAGAGTACGAATATGCAGGAATTTCTTAAAAGATGTTTGAACAAAATTAACGTGGAATAGGTTTGCCCATTAATGAAAATGAATGCCCGATCAACCCCTTACTGCTGGTTCACAGGAAATTGAATGATCTATGAACAATATATACGATACTCTTAATTTGACTGCATCTTGTACAGGGACGAGTGAAGCTAAAAGACGATAGAATGTTCGGATAGTGAAATTAATTTTGTTGTTTGATTGTCGAATGAGCCAGGCGTTAAATTGAATGGAAACGTGGTGAAATTGGCCGGGAAACCCTATATTAGCACCATTTCCCTTTCTCCTACAAGAGAAAACCCCATACGAGCGTCAGTTTTTTTCCCCAATACCGCCAATTCAGCTACGTACTTGCTAGTTAGTCACGGCCATGCAAATAGGCCGAATTATATTGTTTTTCAAGAATGACATGCTACTGATGATTAAAAAAAAAAGGAGAAAAAAAGGAGGGAAAAAAGAAAAAAAAAGGGGGGGGGGTTAGTAATCACATTGCTGTTAATTTAATGGGTGGGGGGCAAATATCCCTCCTCATCCTCGGATAATGATAAATGGAGAATATGCTGGAAAGCTACAGGGATTTCAGGGGGAAAATGCATCGCCCCCCTCTAGAAAAAATCCCGGCGACCCCCATACAGTAGCAGCCCTTGAAGACTTGGCAACCAGCTTCCTCCATCCCTTTCGATCCTCAGACTTTCTCAGGGAGTCACTCAGCGTCAGGCCTGTCCACTCCGAGATGTTGTCCTCCCACCTCGATCTTTCTCTGCCTGCCTCTCTTTCTTCCTCCTCGTACAGTGGCTTGCAGGATCGTCTTAGCAAGTCCTCATGATCGTGTAATGTGCCCATGCCACTTCAGTTTGCACTTTTTCACAGTGGTCAGGAGATCTTCGTAGGATCCAATGACTTGCCTGATTCTGGTCCGTACGTACGATACCTCAGGCTCCTCGTTGGTGATGTGATCTTTGTACGAGATGCCAAGAATCTTTTTGTAGGATCTCACAAGAGACCACAAGAGGGCGCTATGTCTGTCTGTACAGAGTCTGACGTACGGACTCGTTATGTAGTATGTAGTGCGGTATGTACCACTATGCACTGCCTATGTATGCCAGGCTGTTTAGTAAACAGATACGGAGCACTAGCAGAGAGCAGAGAATTTTTGCCAGAATTTTCGGGACTCGACGTGTTGCATCATATTGCACACATTGGCATGATTGGCTTTATGTTTATTTATGCCTACTTTAGTTATTGGAAAGTCGTTGATTGCTACTGCTAAGACACGGTCCCTGCTTGTGACAAAAGGTACGTACTAAAGAAAATAATTGGGTTTACAAACACATGACTGTGACAAATTAAATTTCGGTAGCGACAGTCCAGTCAGTCAGTAATTAATAGAGTCGGGTAGGCGAGTCATTTCATTTTGACTGAAATCTTCAGTCACAAAACTGTGATTGCAACTTAGCCCCATAAATGTGGCCAATTTACTGGACTACCTCTGTAAATAAAGGCCACACTTGGAACATGTGCAAAAACATGTAGAACTTTGTCAAATTTAGATTTTCACATTTAGGCTTAGTTTTTTCGTCTGGTTATACTGCCTTACTGGTGCGATGTCGTGGAAAATAAGACGATTGTTTCATGCATTTAAACTTATTTATAATCGACTATTCTGCTTTATTATTTCTATTTTTAAATAAAAACGGCAAGTATTCCCCCCCCCCCCATCGCACTAGCGCCACATTTCTCTGTATTATTTGTGCTGCGGGGACTATTGAAATCCCCACTAACATTGAGTTTCTTCTGTGTGAAATGAGTATAAATGCATGAAACAGTTGTCTTGCTTTCCTGGACATCGCACCAGACGAAAACTGAAACCATTAGTGCGCCTGAAAGTGGTATTACCCACATACATGTACATCGCGCACACTGCATGAAGGAATAGTCTGAGTAACTTGGACCCAACTTATCGCCTTTTGAACTTTCGGACATGGTCTGGCGATAGTGGGGTCCAAGCTAATCCTTATATGCCGAGCAACACAATTCTGTCATTGACCCAAAAACCCGTCATTGCGCAACAAAAACATCAGATTTCACCCTCAAAACGGCCTCCAAATTACTAGATACGCCACCTGAGGTACAAGTGGACATCGATAATTAAGATGGTTGTACTGAAGTTTACTTATGATCCGGATGAAAAGTGAAATTTCCCGTTCAATTCCGAGAGCTCCCCTCGCGATCGTGAACATGTTAAATTTCCGACTCGTGTTAATGTTTGAACGATGCGATGCGTACATTCGATGGTCCCCGTATCCCAAGTGTGATTCCATTACGAGCGCGCGCAATGCATCGATTATGATAATGAGTAGACTGGATCACGTTTGTAAACACAGTGCATTTCAAACGATAATAGGGAGACGGGAACTAGGGCAGCTTTTATGGACGGATACCAGTTCAAACTGGTTCCTGATTCCCTTTTACCGTTCGAAATGCACTTGTGTTTACAAACATGAATTTGGAGAATCGCCACCGAAATCATCCAAAAATTTCATATTTCATTCTTTCTTGTTCTGTTTGAAGTCCATTATTCTTCATGAATGTCTGCTGCATGGTATGAGGTATGCATTATGGAATCTGGGTTGGGATAATAGAGGGAAAATGGACAATTTTTGTAATGCACTTGGACATGTACGGTTGCGTTTTTCAGGACTCATGATCTTTTTATAACGTAGTTGTAGCTCCAGCTCTAAATGTGATAAGCATTGGAGCTGGAGTTACTCAAGCTAGTCCATGACACAGTTTTTAAGAGCTCGTTGAGAATAAACGTGGAAATGTGATTTTTGAAATCTTATACACCATCATCTATGAAAATATGGTCAAGTAGATTTATAAAGACTACAGGTTTTGGATCATTTCTTGAATCAATATTTAACCCTAACTCCCTCCCTTGGCCTTTTTGCTAGGATGTAGCCTCAATCAGGCAAAATCCTCCAATTGGCCTCATGGAAAAATAGCATATAGCCTCAATCCTGAAAATTCCTCCGTTATTTCTTGAATATGGTCCATGGAGGGGTGACCACTGCCTGAATCCTGCAAAATCCTCCAGCTATGACTGTCAATAGGCTGAGGCAGAGGCAGTGACATCCTGGAGCAGTGTAGAGGATTTCAAGTATAATCAACGACTAAATTTATGCACAGCTGAGCATAAACAACACAAGGTCCGGCCCAAGACCTTGACACAGTGCGTACTCCGTAATCAGCAACGCACTTTTGCCATGTAACCTCAATCCTGCAAATTCCTCCAATTTGCAAAAGGGATTTTGGAGGATTTGGGATGGTTAGGGTTAATGTCATCACGGACATTACAATGCCTTCCATAACGCTGGAAATGCCCATAGGCTAATGATATAATGAGCCGATCAGAGAAACCAATGTATTGTCACATCTCAATAGTGAAAGTGTTTTGTTCTGATGATGTAGTTTCCCTTGGAGAGTGCATCTCTGCGCCTGTTTCTCCTTGTAATCCAGTCTAAGCTGTCAGATACCAACTGAGAAGTTGTCCACGATGTTTGGCTCAATGTACAGGGATTTTGATGAGGACCCATTTTTCAGGTGAGACAGTTTCTATTTCCAAGGCATTTCTTTGGGTTAAAATATCTGAAAAGCTTTACGCGCATTTCTTTGAGAAAAAAAAACTGTGACACAATTGTGATTCTACATACTATGTATCTTTTTACATTCTTCTAAATTTCTAACTCGACTGAACTCTTTGCCTCCAACAAATATTCTCCAACAAATATTCTGCTCATTTTGCACAATTCTTCCGTTCAAACTTTAAAGGGACATCAAGCCCTATGGAGAGTAATGTTTGCTGTGGTCTATCCTCCTTAACCCTGCAAAATCCTCCAAATCCCCTGGTGTTTTTTGAAAGATCTGAGAGGATTAGCATTAATGAAATTGCTGTTGAATGCTAATCCTGAGCAATTCTCTAAATCCAACAACTACTTTTGTAATTGTATGAAAAAAAGAAAGAAAAACAAATTCAGGACTATATAGCCCAGCCACAATCATTGACTTTGTAAGTCCTAAGTTCAGATAATGTAAACTTGTGCATATGTCATCACTCAAGTGCTAGCTTTTTCAGTTTTGTGCTGATGAATGTGGGTGTGGGATGAATGTTCAAAATTCAGTTTTTTCCACAAATGCCATACCTTTTCCTCTCAACTCAAGTTCATCTAGGGTAAGAGGGGCTATTTTTGACCGGGGGAAAAATCCGATCACTCACTATTAAAGATATAGTCCATCATTTGTAATTTGTGCATTTTGTTCGTTTGAAGCAACAAAAGTGTTCAAAATCTAATGAAGGATACTGAACAACTAACCTGATGAAGTTTCAGCTCAGCTTCAGCTGTATATTCCGAAAAAAACAGCATTCTAGGATCTCAATTTCAAATCAAAAGTTGCTGAATCATGTTTTGAATTGTTTTGAATTGAAGCTATACGCAATGTCGCGCACTGATCCGACGAATTATAGCAACCGCGCGCGCCTGTGCGTCGTGCCAATGCTTGCGCGCGCTGCGCCGAATAACAAAACGAACTACTAATTTAAATTTTCCTACGGCCTTCTTTCGTTGATTACTTCAAAATGATAGCTTACCAGAAAGATTAATTTCACAGGGAGTTTAGTCCACTTACTATCTTTCAACCAAGTATGTTTTTCAACAATAATACGCCGGTTACTTTTTCGGATGGCTGCAAATGATGGACTATAGCTTTAACTGATTAATTATGCACAAATCTTGGGTCTGACTAGGATTGATTATATGCTGCAAACAAAGTAAGTGCGTGGTCATGTTATAGGTTATTACAGCCAAGATCTCACTCTCTCGGTTACACCAGGCAGTGCTGGTTTTCCTTATCTGGTCGAATTCTCCCCGTTTACCATCTGTTAACCAGTAAGTGGGGGCTCTATTCGACCGGAGGTAGAATCCAACCGATCGTTACAAAGCAGAAACATTGGGTCTGACTAGGGTTGATGCTATGCGGCAAACATAGCAAGTACATGTACATGATCATGTCATGCGCGATTATGGTTAAGATCTCAGTCTCTCGTTGAACTCGGCAGTGCCAGTTTTCCTTATGTGGTCGAATACTCCCCATTTTGCCCAAGACGGAACAAAATAAGCAAAAGCCTACCGTAACTGCCTGAAAAGAGGTATCATATTCAAGCATTCCTCTCGATGCAATTCTGTGTTCCAGTGATACAATGCATGATGTGCATAGACGTCAGATGCAGAATATGCAGTCAATGTTTGGACAGTCTTTTGGTTCCATGATGTCCAGCCCATTCATGGCGTTAGAAGGAGGTGGTGGGGGCCATGGCCATTACCCAGACGGAACGGGACGCACACACCGCAGCTATGACAGACAGGTACATATTACCCATCTCCCCCTGTCAACAACCGTAGTGGATTTCTTGAAATCTGGCATCAACAATAGAGCACCAGTTGCTTGTCATTTTTCCTTTGACATTTGAAGCCTGACACAATAATTGAGTTCATGCAGTGTGGAGTGATTGTTACTCTCTCTATCAGAATTGATAATATAGGGGTGCCATGCATCTCTCAATTGTCAGTTAACAATTGTTGACTGCTGTGATGTGGGATATGCCGTGTTTAACACGGCATTGGTCCTGAAGTAGTAACATTGGTCCTGAAGTAGTACCTGAGGCGAAGCCAATTTATAGTCAAAACGATAAATGGTTGTTCAACTTACTATGCAAGAAATAAATGAAATCACGGCGGTGTAACGTTTGATAACTGCATGCTTTCCTGCCAGACGTGCATGAGACTGAGCGGTTGCAGTTCTCAGTCTCTGTTCTGGTACCTCAAGTCCGGTAACAATTGATAATTGCATTTCAGCAACAGATCTTTTCTTATAGTACCAGTACATTAAATACACATTTAAATCTCATTTTTATTCTTCAAGGCTCGGCGTATAAGCCGCCCTGTGCATAAGCCGCAGTAAACATTTTCATTGGCAAAAATCAACGTAGAAGCCGCGGCTTATAATCCGAAAATTATGGTAATAGAAATAGCCCGGGTAAGAGGCTTAAGACAGCGTGCACACGCACGTATGCATGTCCGATGGACGCGCTCGCATAGAACATGGTAGCAGCTGTGATTGGCTCGTAACTGGGCAGGGATTAATGGATTGGCCTATTCAGTGATCCTGTGCAATGAAAAAAAAATGTGCGAATATTCACGGTGCATTAATTGCGGATCTTTTCAAAAAAAATACTTCAGCTATTACTGCACAGCAACTGGAGGAAATACACAATTTCAGATGCTTGGAATATTGCCATATGGTATAACAAATCAATTCGGGCGATTCACAATGCAGTGCGCCACCAAGAGTTTGCCACGGAGAGTTCATTTTTCCCAGTGCATTGTGGGAGATGGTCGACAAATTCGCAGCGCGGGACATTTGAAATTGTTAGTTTTTCCACTCAGTATAGTTTTGTAAGGGTATGATTCGGGTATAAGTTTGCCCTTTTCTTTTCTTTGTATCAATATGGTGTTTTTTTGTATAGGCAGCAGAACGCTATGCCCCAATCTGTGACACATTAGCTCAATTTGTCTACTAACACTCACTCAAATGGCCCGTGTTTTGTCCACCGTAAATTTGCAAAACGGACTCTCCATGGCAAACTCTTGGTGGCGCACTGCATTGTGAATCGCCCGAATTGTTGCCTGCCGTGATTGGGGTCCATGGGTTTTGTACCTCCTCGGGTACAAATGGTACCCGAGGCGAACCCTTGGGTGTACAAAACACCATGGACCCCATCACAACAGGCAACAATTGTATAATGTCCCACAGCAGTCACCAGTTGTTACATGTAAATCACATGCATCTTGTGTTCTTGTTTTCAGCAGGCAATGCAGCCCTTTGGCATGGCAGACCCATTTAACATGGGCTTTGGTGGCATGTTTGGTAACATGCACAGCATGATGGCTAACATGCATCGCAACTTTGTAAGTATGAAGATCATGAATCCTCCAGTTATTAAAAACAGCCACATTCTGGAAATGGTCATGTACACCATTCCTCATTTAAAGAGGTTGTGGAATGCTTAAAGACATTTCCGTCATTTTTCGGGTATATGTAGCCTAAGGTGTGATGAAATAAAAACGACTATTGTGTCTGTCATGAAATGAGTACAAAACGTACTTTTGAGAGCTGTTTTTCAGGTCCTGTTTCGACCCGAACATGCAATTTGTGTAAAAGTCGTCGTTGGGGGCAGCAAACAAAACATAGTAAATCGTGACGTAATAAACAGGACTTGTTTATACTACGCTGCATCGGGAGTCCTGTTTATTACGTCACGATTTACTATGTTTTGTTTGCTGCCCCCAACGACGACTTTTACACAAATTGCAGGTTTGGGTCGAAACAGGACCTGAAAATCAGCTCTCAAATATACCTTTTGTACTCATTTCATGACAGACACAATAGTCGTTTTTATTTTATCACACCTTAGGCTACATATACCCGAAAAATGCAGAAATGTCTTTGAGCATTCCACAACCTCTTTAAAACCTTCCCCTGAAACTTATGCTATAAGCATTCACTGGGATGTTGGTATCTGCATAACAATGTAGAATTGTTCAGCCCTATCTGTGGCTACATGCACTCATTTTCTTATGATGACAATGTTGTAGATCTGTGGGCATATTTACAGCTTGGAAGGAGCTCAGTATCGTTTCTCTGGCCATGCGTCGTTAGATTTCAAATCATTATTCTGCCAAAGTGCAGAATTGATTTTTTAGAGAATGAATAAATTGTCACAAACATTTATTTTTGCAATATGGCAAATATTCCAATTTTTTTACGGCTTGATCTGTTTTTTTTAATAAGGGAATATAATATGCCCGAGCAGAAGGCCCCTAGCCGGTTTTAAATGTACTTGTTTAATACTGGCCAAGCACATAGTTATTCCCATTCATAAATACCTTTCTATCAAAAAGTCCAAACAAGTTTTAAAAAAATGTACAATTGTTTAGGCCGAAAAAAGAAAGTCTCCGGTTTCTGGTAAGGAGCTTGCCCAAAAAAGTGGTGCTGCGACGCGGCTTTATTTTTTTCTCTTACCTGATTTTTTTGCTTCAAATGTCGGCTGATGACTGCAAATGGTGCCCGACTAAACTTAGTGCAAATATATGGGAGTCCAGAGAGGCCACATAAAGCTTATTCTCGATCATAACTCCATCTAAAAACACGTTAAAATGGTGCGTTTGGCGGTTTTGAGACATCATCTTTTATTGGAAAAAAAACTTTTTCATTTTGCCGGTACGCATAGCTACGGCAACGCACGCGCATACCAGAAACCGGAGACTTTTTTTTTTGGCCTTACTACCAGCCAAGCACATATTTAGTCTGTACCATTCATAAATACCTTTTGGTCAAAAGGCAAAAGAAGTAAAACATTCACAAATGTCCAACCACTTTGTTCAGTTTTTGTGGACATGTCCATGATATGTGCCTCTTGTGCGTAGTGCTAAAAATCTCCATATATGGAAATTGGCGTGCGCGCGGTGCTTATTGTGCGATGTGCTGCAGAACGCAGGAATTGTGTTTAAAACCAGCAGTTGTTTTATCAGCAGTTTAAAACCACCCACGTGATGGGCTTTTGACCAATAGGAATGGGTATTTTGTCTCGGCTATTCATGAATATGTAATTATAGGTGTACATAAAAAGTGCTGTAGTATTATTTGACATGTAAATTTTATTGTCACTGTTGGCCTTTTATTCTTTCCTTTGTTTGATTGATTCAGGAGGACATGTCCAACAATCCCAATGTGCATTCCTACTCCCATTCCTCCTACACCAGCTACTCATCAGACGGCAGCGGGGCACCCAAGGTGTATCAAGCCACATCCTCCACTAGAAATGCACCAGGAGGGGTAAATGTCGTTAATCCATTCTGTGAACCCAACTTCCCTATAAATCATAGAAGACCCAGTGTTTCCGAAAGTGTGTGTAATGATTTCTCTAATACAAGTCTGTCTCAGTGACTTTGCAGCTACTTTGCCAGTTATACAGTAGGCTTGGGCGGCTCCAGCTCAAGATTTGGATAGAATCGATTCCATACCTAGAATCAAAATCTTGACTCCACATTTTTTAGGAACCGATGCCCAGAAGTAACAATGCCAATTCATCAAAGAATAGATTGCAGACACTTCAATACAAATGTTATGTGGAGAATGATAATTTTAAAGATATAGTCCATCATTTGTAATTTGTGCATTTTGTTCGTTTGAAGCAACAAAAGTGTTCAAAATCTAATGAAGGATTCTGAACAACTAACCTGATGAAGTTTCAGCTCAGCTTCAGCTGTATATTCCGAGAAAAACAGCATTCTAGGATCTCAATTTCAAACCAAAAGTTGCTGAATCATGTTTTGAATTGGGCCTGAATTGCGTCCGAGATGCGTTCTCACTGAGCCGATTGCAGCTATACGCGGTGTCGCGCACTGATCCAACGAATTATAGCAACCGCGCGTGTGCGTCGTGCCAATGCTTGCGCGCGCTTCGCTGAATAACAAAATGAACTACTAATTTAAATTTTCCTACGGTGCGTCTTAAGACGCACCGTTGGAAAGGCCTTTTTTCATTGATTACTTCAAAATGACAGCTTGCCAAAAAGAACAATTTCAGAGGGAGTTTAGTCCCCTTACTATCTTTCAACCAAGTATGTTTTTCAACAATAATTACGCCAGTTACTTTTTGGATGGCTGCAAATGATGGACTATAGCTTTAAGAGAGGGATTACACGTCTTAACCCAAACCCTCCAAAATCCTCCAGGCTGTTTTGGAGGATTTTGGAGGATTTAGGCTGAATGGCAATAAAGTGTCGGTTGATTTTGGAGGATGCATTGTGTCGAGTTCGTAGGTTGTAACCAGCATGGTTTATGTTCAGCCATGCATAATTAGGCCTACGTCATACTGGATACCATCCGCACTGCGTCTGAATGTCATCGGCACTTCCTCAACCTATAAACAGTGATTGTTGGAGGATTGTGAAGGATTGAGGCAATGGCACTGGATAAATTCAAGAAATAACGGATGATTTGGAAGATTGAGGCTGAGTCCAATTCTTACATGGTGGCAATTGCAGGATTTGGCAGGATTGAGGATTGTTCCTAGCCAAAAGGGCAGGAGGTTTAATAGTGTTCATGATTTTACGTTGATAATTTAGCAGTTTAGCTCATTAGAAGTTTTAGTGTGGATTTTTCTCACAGCTTTTTTGACAAGTAAATTTGGAATCAGTTCCGAACGAAATCATGACTCAATTGATTCCTAAAATGTTGGAGTTGCCCAAGCCTATCAAAAGGGTCATTCCGTGTCAAATCAACACGCTTTTGGACCCGACCCTCACAGATTGAAACGATATTTGGTGTGATGATTGGCCTATATGAGAAACCCCCAGAACTGAATTTTTTTGTAAATTGACTCGTTAGTTTTTGAGATACGGGTCAACGAACTTTTGACTAATTAGCATGACCTCCAAACTTTAAATACTTGTATCTCAAAAACTATAGCGCCTACAAAGCCAAGTTGTACATCATATTAAAGTTCTTTGAATGGCCTCCATTTCATAAAATAAAACCAAAATCGTAGCATGAAGTGCAGAGAAAATGCGTAACAAAATGACCTTTGACCTCGAATTACGAAAAACAATATGCTTCAAATTTTGTAATTATTTTTCAAATGTTAGTTTATGATGTCAGCAACAATCTTAAAAAAAAATTGGGATGGGCGCTCTTAAAGTTTTTAGGTTATGATTTTTTGAAGAAAGCCTGTCCATGAAAAAGTATGCATAATATTAAATGTACATGTATGAACATGTACATGTACATGTACATGTACATGTACATGTACACTTGTACTGTGTACATGTACATGTGCACATTTTACCTGTGCATCATTGGGCAAGTTCGCACAAGGACTATAGTTAACCATTGGTCGACTAACGCTTGCCCAAACTCTGTCTAGTCGACGATGGTTAACTACGCTAGTCGACTATTTGGAACCAACCTACTGGGGTTGGTTGCTTCGCTGGTAACCAATAGCCGCGCGCGTTCATAACGTACAGCAGGGAGCCAGGATCCAGACGTTTTGTAATGACATTTTGACCAGCGTTCGACTAGAGACGTTCGCACTTTGCTATTAGTGCGCAGGCGTAAGGTACGTCACAAATCAACCACTATAGTCGACTAATGGTCCTTGCCCGAACTTGGCCATGTTTGCCCTTTTCAACCATATAGTCTCAACTCATATATTAAGGACAGAACAAAATTTACTTATAAAAAATATGTTATACCGGTCTACGTTACTTTCATTTTTTGCTCAACCAAAGTCTGTGTTGCAGTGTTCATCTCCTCGGCGGAGATCTTGTATACGCATCCTGTTTCAGTGAACGGTTCCACTGCTGTTAGTACATCCATGCCGTGAATTACAAGTGTGTCTGGTCGATAGGGGAACTTGAAAGATGGAGATGACCCATGGGGATGAAGGAAGCTCAGTTCCACTTCTTGGGATGCTGGAAGGATCTCCTGAACACATGCTAGCCACCAGTAACAGTCATACATCACTGTAACATACCCCTTGATATCTGCAAAATCAATACATGCAGTTTGTCCATGGACTTGGAGACAAACTGGTTCCTCCCTTGAGTCTGAGGAGGAGGAAAAATCACGCACCTTAATTTTGTCTTTAGACATCGGACAAAAACAGTGCAGCTTTTGTGTTCCTGGAATGGTACGTGCAATTTGGAATCTTTGCCTGAGAATATCCGCTTCATTCTTGTATTGCTCTGTTGTTGCAAAAGCGAAGTCAGTACTCTTTCTCTGAGAAGTAGCAAATTCATACAGCTGCCAAGGGGTCATAATCTGCTGATCCAAAGGTCGCTGGAGACTAGCTCTTGCTGCAAGGCGTTTAACAGTTCCTCCAATTCCATCAGATGGGCCTTTCCCGTGGGAGATTGCAAAAAAATGCCAATCTGCTGGTACACCAAAATCCTCTTCGTGATGGCACAAGTTGATGAAATTCTTGAGGTTCTTGTACTGAGCAGCACAACCATCTGAGAAGTACAATATCTTCTTGAAACTTCTAATCTTATTAGTGAGAAATTGAAGGAGCAATTTCTGGAACAGATGTACTGTTACAGTATCATGGGTATTACAGTCTGAGATGACGACAAAGCTTAGGTGCTCATCAAGTTTGCCTTCTTGTTGGAAGTAGCACACCAAAGGGTGAATTGTAGCCTGTAGATTGTTCCAGTGGAATGACTGGGCAGCATCCTGAACTACAAAACCGTAATTTTCTGCAAAATCTGCAATGACCAAGATTTCGCTTGGTTCCATGTTGTCTTTAGTGTGCTGGAGAAAGTGACTGCTGTTTGGCAATAAAGTCATGATGTAGTAACTTGCGGAGAGTAGCCATGAAGGAATCCAAAAAGTCATCCACTGTCTGAATTTTGGTTTCAAGTGTTAAACTGTTAAACGCCTTGCAGCAAGAGCTAGTCTCCAGCGACCTTTGGATCAGCAGATTATGACCCCTTGGCAGCTGTATGAATTTGCTACTTCTCAGAGAAAGAGTACTGACTTCGCTTTTGCAACAACAGAGCAATACAAGAATGAAGCGGATATTCTCAGGCAAAGATTCCAAATTGCACGTACCATTCCAGGAACACAAAAGCTGCACTGTTTTTGTCCGATGTCTAAAGACAAAATTAAGCAGACAAACTTGTAATTCATGGCAAGGATGTACTATAACAGCAGTGGAACCGTTCACTGAAACAGGACGCGTATACAAGATCTCCGCCGAGGAGATGAACACTGCAACACAGACTTTGGTTGAGCAAAAAATGAAAGTAACGTAGACCGGTATAACATATTTTTTATAAGTAATTTTGTTCTGCCCTTAATATATATGAGTTGAGACTATATGGTTGTAAAGGGCAAACATGATGCACAGGTAAAATGTACACATGTACATGTACACAGTACAAGTATACATGTACATGTACATGTACATTTAATATTATGCATACTTTTTCATGGACAGGCTTTCTTCGAAAAATCATAACCTAAAAACTTTAAGAGTGCCCATCCCAATTTTTTTTTAAGATTGTTGCTGACATCATAAACTAACATTTGAAAAAAAATTACAAAATTTGAAGCATATTGTTTTTCGTAATTCGAGGTCAAAGGTCATTTTGTTACGCATTTTCTCTGCACTTCATGCTACGATTTTGGTTTTATTTTATGAAATGGAGGCCATTCAAAGAACTTTAATATGATGTACAACTTGGCTTTGTAGGCGCTATAGTTTTTGAGATACAAGTATTTAAAGTTCGGAGGTCATGCTAATTAGTCAAAAGTTCGTTGACCCGTATCTCAAAAACTAACGAGTCAATTTACAAAAAAATTCAGTTCTGGGGGTTTCTCATATAGGCCAATCATCACACCAAATATCGTTTCAATCTGTGAGGATCGGGTCCAAAAGCGTGTTGATTTGACACGGAATGACCCAAAAGGAATCCTGTCGGGTCATTAATCCAATAAGTTGATATTTCAAGTGTTTTTCACTTGTGTAGGTGAAGGAAACCCAGCGCTCAGTGCGGGACAGTGAGGCCGGGCTTGAGAAGTTGGCAGTTGGACATCACCTTGGTAAGTCTATGGGAAATTTGCTGTTCTTAACCCTAAAGCCCAGTTTATAGTCAGTCGGGGCGGACGCTGGTGGTTGCTGAACACTAAGCCCTTTTCGGACAGTTCATAGTCGTCGAGCAACGGTTGTAAGAATTCGTAGAACCGTTGGAAGCATATGCGCATCAGACACGCTATGCGCGCACAATTCAACTGTGAAGTGTGATAATCAAGTGCTGCTATTACTGAACAAACTATCACTATTTCTTGCTCGGGCATTGGTGTTTCATGTCACATTTGTTAAAATGCAGGTAAATAACTCAATAAATTAATAATATTTTTTTATTGTTGATTTCTTATTTTTCGTTCTTCAACATCGCGTAAAAAGTTATTTTATAAGAAGTATTTGCTGGACATTTTTGAAGAATATTTGGTGTGAATTTTTGATTCAGTCATCAGCCCACCAAATGACAAAATACCGGGAAATTGCTTTGCAAAATGTTTCTTGTCCCCACCGCCTTAACTTGGACGGATGGACGTCAATAATCTCAGTGTTATATTTGCATATTCATTATTTGTTATGGATCAAGGAAGCCCATTGGTCAGCTGATGAAAAGTGGGGTCAACGACCGTGTCAAAGTTTAGTTATTTGAACTCTGTTTCGACGTTGCCAGCGTCCTTCAGCGATGACTTTAAACCACATTTAAATTGATCGCGCATCAGTTTTTCAGTTGCACGACCATCCCGCGACTGACTTTAAAACCGGGCTCAACTCGGTTGATGTAATTGTAGTGCATTTCAGCTGAAGTGTATTGGAGGATGCTTTGACTCACCAGCCAAGTGAATTCTGCTCTTCAGCCAGGGTGCTGATCTAGAGAGATTAATGGGGGGGGGGGGAGCTCACTACCAGCTTGTATACTTTGGTCTGTATATTACCAAGGAGTTCTGAACGTAAGACTTTGTACAGTGGCGGATATTGGCGGCAGTGCAAAAACATACAGCAGTCAAGTTTTTGGCAAGTATTGCAGAGTCAGAAATTGCCATTTTGCAGTACAGTGGGGCAAAGCCAAAATTTGCAGGGGTGGTCAGTTTTGTTTCTGTCCAGGTGAACCTTGATCTGTAAGTCCTCTTTTATCTTTCTCCATATTTTTTTTTGTTCTGTCAAACATCTTTAAAACCTGTTTTCATCTCTTTTTAGTAGTTGACTGTTCATTCACTGCAACACAACTGCGAGATAATTAAATGCCATTTTCTCAAGAATCAGTTTTACAACTTTAAGCAACTTGGTGGTCTATATTTCTGTTACTGAAATCAGTACCCCTAAACGTTATATACCTTTGGAAAGCTCTTGTTTTGCAAAATCCAAATATTAAATATCTCAAACGTCCGACTTTAAGCTCATTTTATGATGACAGGTCAGTATACATATTAACCACATGAAAGAATCCTTTATTCCGTTATGATGATTCCATGGTAAGAGGCAACTGTTCTCTTTTAATATATGGTTCACAAAACTCAGCTCTTTAAGTGTGTACAGCTTGAAGACTGCATCTATGATATGACAGATTGGTTGTTTCTTGTGTAGGTGATCGTGCCCATGTTGTGGAGCGATCTAGGAACAGACGTACAGGCCAGATGGAAGAGAAGCAAGACTTTAATAACCTGGATGAGAGTGAGTATGGACTCAAGCACCCTCTCAAGCAGGGTGACCTTAAGGTCATGTCCAAATTCTGCTAAATGCACTTCAAAAATCTGTCAGATTAATCAAAAATCTGCCAAATTCCCCAGAATTACTCGAAATACACTACAAACACTTAAAATGACATGCAGATGTTGTAGTATTGCCTTAATTAAGGTTCAAATTACATTATAAACAGTCTATAGTCAGATAAAGATGTTATGAAATCGCGTAAATTTCAAGCAAATGCGGTTGCGTCACGACGAAATTTGGTTCGCATTGAACCTTGGCACCTAGACCAGCCAACCTGTCCCATTATGCAAGGGTTTGTTTGGAAAGATTGAAGCTTTTTTAAACAGTGTACAATTTTTTTTCAAATTTGCTATGTTTTTCTGTCAAATTACCATTTTTGCAGAATTCTGCCAGAAATCTGCCCCAAAAAATCAATTCTGTCAAATTTTTTGTCAAACTCGGTTTTTTAACAAAAAATCTGTCGAAGTTAGCCAAAAATCAGCTAAAACGGTCACCCTGCCCTCAAGAGTTACAAAGAAAACAGCTGGGGAACTACTGGGAGGGACAGGAACACATTGCCACAGTACGCCTTTTGTACACTTTTAACATTAAATTAGTTGTGCATACTTTGCACCCATTGATGTCCATTAGTAAGACTGGATAGGACACGCGTATACATGCGGGCAGTGAACATTCGGAAAAAGCGGACACAAACAGCTTGGTAGTACAGTGCGGGTGTAAAGTTTGCGACCGCGCATGCGTGACGTGTGCGTGCTGCATGGTCTGTGTGTGACCAACGCATTTCAAACTTTCAAACCCTCACCGATGACTACGCGAACGTGCACTAGATGGAGGGCGTTATGTCCTATCCAGTCTTACTAATGGAGATCAGTGTTTGCAACATACGCATGTTCCTTCAACTTGGGCTCTCATGAATGGTGATGAATTGCCCCGTACTTTTCATGCGCGTAGTCCATAAGCCTTGCCAATGTTACATTAAGTTGTTGCTAGCAACACAATTTCTGCTAACAGAACTTGTGGGAACAAGTTGTGTGAACATACCAAAGAACATTTGCTGGAAAAGTGCAAAAGTAGAAATCTCCATACCTGTGCCAAGTAGCATGTCAATGCTGTGCAAAACGTGGGAAGTTACACAACTTTAAAGTCCTGGTGCAAGATGTTCTGAGCGGGGGAGTTCACGATAGACGGTACAATCTTTGTACCGCACAGCAGCATGTATGTCCCCATCCACGAATTTTGTATTGCAATCATAGAGCTATATAAAATAACTAGAGCGCTAACTTCGTGTACAAAGTAATGCCTGCTGGGCGCATCCAAGTTTGTGCACAAGCCTATGGAGACCTAGAAATTTTGCACGGCTATTTGCATATCTGCATTTGTATTCCATATCGGTGCGTTATCGAAGCCAATACGCCCAAAACCGAAACGCATGATCAGCAAATGAGCGTGTCATTTTGCTCTACGCAAACAGCGCAACGCGTGCGCGTATTCGCTGCAGATGCTTTTTTCCTTCACGTTTATTTGAACTGTCAATGACGCGCTTAAGTTGTTTGCGTATGTTCTACTTGCGCGTTGCATGTTGAGTACACTTTCAAAATGCAATCCATCTAATTTCATTATGTTCTAGAAACACGCACATGAATTCAAAATGTCTGCGCCCAGGACGGCTTCAAAGCGTCTCCGCATGCAGAATGACGAGTTAGCGCTCTAGTAATTTAATATAGCTCTATGATTGCAATAGATCATGACTTAATATGCAAAATATATACGGTGCTTGCGCAACGGTGGAAACAATATCGCTGTTCCAAGACCCATTAGTCAGGCGATGTACCATACACTTGCAATCGATGGCACTAGGCGTTGACCACCAGTCGACCGTGTTAGGTTCGGTGGAATCATGGCCGCATTCAAATTGATGAAGAGCACTGATTTAAGCCTTCTAAGGCCCAGTTTCTTTGCCACCAAATTGATTGCTTCATCCACACGGTCAACAACTTTTGGCCAATGACACTTACAGACTCGCTTGCAAGCTGTATGGGCTCCGTGTGCCAACAAAAGAGGGCGCCCTTTTACCTAGCAACGACGTCCCATGGGCGGGACATTTCGCTGGTTGACGTGCACCGTTCCTTGTGTGTGACACACGTACACCAGGGGATTCATTTGTACCAGTATGTACACGCAGTGCTAGTGGTGGCCGTGCCGGTCGCGCCAAAAATGCAGTCAGGCAAGATGGCGTCGGTCGGTCACCCCCAACTGTACTTCCTTTGCCGGTGAGGGGGTACTTGTGAACGGAGCGGATACACGCGTGGCTTGGAAAACTGCAGTAATCCTACGTGCAGAAACCAGACATGCTTACGTCGCGCACGCATGCAAATGCACGCTCAATTCTGAGTGGAGTTTCCCGAGCAGAAATTGCTGAGACGTCCTTTGCAGTCTGTTGGCATGCGTGTAGAGGACGCCCACTGTGGTGAATGACTAAAAGCAGTGCAATGACCCATGCAGGCTGAAACATTGCACTGCTAAGGATGTCTTGGAACATGCAACTTTGTGGCTAACCGTAGAATTTTCGCCAGCTACTGTGGGTAACCATTTCAGTTAAAGCATTAAGATTTGATTTCATTTTTGCCTACGCAGCTGAAGCAGATTCCTTTAATAGTGAGTGGAGACAACACTCACAGCATTGGAACCGTCGTCACACAGTATCCAGCAGACACAGACATAACCCCCTAGCCATCACCAATGGAAGGTACATGTATACAGATTACTCAGGTTCTCCAAACCTTGGTCTTATCTCCAGCTTAGACTACATCTCTTTTTCCAGGATCAATAGTATTAGAAGCCTGTGAGCCCAATACAAATAGAAATTCACCAAATAAGCCAAAGCTGCAGATGAGTCCAAGATTTGTAAAACTCTGCTGATACGTCTTAAAGCTTTTGTGCAATACCCATTGAATAAAGCGGAATGCAGTTTACCACAGCTTACATAACACAGCACCGAAATTGATTAAGGCAAGGAACTTGGTCACAGTGTCCAAAAATGTTGTGATCAATTGACAATTGTGCAGTGATGCGTGACTGAAATTATATGAAACTCATAGGGGTTTAGGCCAAGGATAAAGAAGTATCTGCACAATCAAACATTTTCAAAACGGACTTCATGGTTTTGTAGTTATTCTAAAAATAGTTGGACGGAAATGCTTGGGTGGGACATACTGTGTAACTGTCAATTTTGTGTGGGAGAAAAAGCCGTGAAAAATATTCTGGGGAACCCACAGCATCAGGTTGTGACCAAAAGTGATCCAATCCACATGTGGATCTGGGTTGGAATTGAACCCGGGCCATAGAGAAAGAAGGAGAGGAAAGGATGACTATGCAGTGGCGGTTCTAGGGGGGGGGGGGTCTAGGGGGGCTTTAGCCCCCCCCCCAATTTTGTCTAGACCCCCAAAACAATTCCATAAAAAAAAAATTGCACTAGCAAAATGTAAGAATGTGACGTACATGCGAATGGTCTCCCACTAAATAAATAGTCGTGAGAAGGGTGCATTTGTACACTTTTAGTAAATATAGTGTGCCTGATTGTAGGATTTTATCAGCGCTCCCCATTAAAAATATGGCATGAGCCCTCCCCCCCCCCCCCCCCATTGATTTTTCGGAGGCCTAAGTGTCCGGAGAAAATAACTGGTCTACATTTCAGCACGCCTCCCTGAAAAAATGTCTGGATCCACCCTGCTAGCCCCCCAAAAAGATTGGCTCTAGAACCGCGCCTGCCACTATGCCAATCTGACTCCCTGTTCTCTTCAGGAACTACAATATGTGCATGTATTAGCACTGAAAAAATATCTGTAGCATAAACGTCTTCATTGTCAAGTAAGCTCTTGACAAAAATCGGTACCTTAACTACTTGAATCATTGATGTCATTTGGTATATAATATGCCATACACAATTCACGAATAAGGTAATCAAAAAGTCTCTTTTTATGAAATCTCTCCTGATGACAGTCGAGACCGTTCACCGACCCGTCCCACCGGCCCTAGCACAGGAGGACGTCACAGGAGCAGTCACGAGAGACGAGCTGAAACAGACAGACACTAAACTCACTGCAGTACATCTCTAGAGTGACATCACTTCTTGGATAACATTGCCTTTTCTTTCCAATATTATTGTCTATACTTGGTCTTTACATGTAAGGTTTTTTTTGACGGTTTCTGCAGTTAACTTAATTTAAGATTATATGGAAAAAAAGTTTATGTCCAGTCATAAGGGTTCATTGTATCACCTGCAGCCGATTTCACGAAACTTTAAGCAGTGGCGCAACTCCGCTTGCACCACAATTTTTTACGTAAGCTGCGCAACATTTCACTCATGACACTTTTCACGAAAGTCTCATAGTGTGTAAGTCCGTAACTTGCGCAATCATTTTAGGTGGCATAAGTTGTGGTGTAACAACTAAAAATAAACTAATTATCAGCAAATCGTGATCGACATGGAGCCTGGTATTGCACAACTTATCAAGGTTGATACAAGACGCTCACAGCTTCTTGTTTGAAGTAAATTGAATTGCTATTTTTTAAGTGACAGAACTTTTAGAGTTGCCGCATGATTCTATAGAAAGTCGGACAAAATAATTTTCAAAATAGCGGGCTGAGGTGATTTACCCACTGTTTCGTGAAAGAACAAAGTCATACACAAACAGCCAATGTAAATTCTGTAATTATTCTCGTCCAAGATGTTTAAATTGGTTATGTTTCGTGAAATTGATCGTAAATTTATTGCGCAGCTGCGCAACAAATTTGATGCGTAAGTCTTATGCATGGTACAAGCTATGCACTTTTTCGGGAAATCGGCTGCTGGCCTATTATAGTTCAAATAATTATTTCAAAACAATTATGCACTTTGTAGCTTGTGAATGAAAACAGACAGCACATAATAGCTTAAAACAAGACTGGTAGTTAAATTTGTTTTGTTTTATATCTTAGTTTTGCTTGAAGGAGGTGATGTTTTCATCAGATATTTATTCGCCTACACCACCCACCCCTTTGTGACTTTTTTGGATTTGAAATTTGGAAATCTTTACAATATTTGATGAGAAGCAAAACAATATAAACATAACATTTCAGATAATCCATGAATGCCATGATCTTTGGGTATGCAAATATTGAACTTTGATTTTAAGGGAATAAAGATATGCTTGGCCGGTTTTAAACAAGACTTGGACGTGGGCCACCAGGCCCCTGGCTGGTTTTAAACGTACATGTATTTATTTAATATCAGCCAAGCCCACATTTATTCCCATTCATAAATACCTTTTGGTCAAAAAGTCAAAACAAGTCCAAAATGATAAACTTTCAAACAATTATGTTCAACAATTGTACTTCATGTTTATGGTATTTGCCTCTCCCAAGTACAATGTACAGGGTGAGTCAAAAAAAGCGGAACCCAAACCCCAAAAATTATATTTCATATTTTAAAAAATATGCAGCACCAAAAATAATGATGACTGGAAAGCCAATTTCATAAGCTACTTTTGGATGAAAAACTTACTGAAATTGGTCAATCCGTTCAAAAAATATCACCATTTAAACACAATGACCCTAAAACCTGTCTCGTCCAAAAAATGCGATTTCAAGAATCATCCTCACTATTGTCTTCAAACATCACCAGAGATGAAATCTTAGTTTAAACGTTAACAATATTCAACAACGTCCTTTTGAAGGCCCGTCTTTTAAAAAAGTAGATTTTATAAATCCTATTGTTTGCCTAACCAGGGTTGTTAATCAAAATATTGTGTGCTTCAGTTGGTGACAGTTGTTGAAACTAATATTCTGTGTCATTTTCTTTGTTGTTCCAAACAGTCAAAACACACAAATTGATTTTTAGACAAGACAGGTTTTATGGTCTTTGCGTTTAAATGGTGATATTCTTTGAACGGATTGAGCAATTTCAGTAATTTTTTTATCTAAAAGTAGCTTTTGAAATTGGCTTTCCAGTCATTATTATTTTTGGTGCTACATATTTTATTAAATATGAAATACATTTTTTGGGGTTTGGGTTCCGCTTTGTTTGACCCTGTAGTACTAAAAATCTCCGTATATGAAGATTGGTGTGTGCCTGGCATGTACTGCGAGCACAACACAGCGGTGCTGGTGTAGTGTGAATTTAGGACTCTGTCAAATATGGACTCATTGGTAGTACTGTGCATGACTGAGTGAAGATAATTAGGAAAGTGACTGGTCACATGTGAGGGTTCATCCAATCAAATGATAAAAGCGACCAGATTTTGTAGGAGTCCAAATTCATGTGACACTGGGAAAAAATGTTAAAAACCAGTTGGTGTTTTAATTTTACTTTTTTACAACCGTTTAAAACCACCCACATGTTTGGCTGTGGACCAGTAGGAATGAACTGTCTTAGGTATTTATGAATGTTGGATATGAAGTGGCATTCTTGTAAAATTCTGTTTTTTTCTGTTTATTGTGACTGTATGTGATGAAGCCACGTAGCTTGCGATTGTATTCATCACCCATATTTTGTAGAGCCTTCATTAACAAGACACACATACACATTAACAAGATGTACATATTTTTGTCATTTCAGTCACCACATTTTATACCTTGCAGCATTTTTCCCAAAGCAACCATTACCAAAATCATTACAATTTCTGTGTTTTGTTAGTTGTTAGTTTTGTTGAATATTTCTGTGTGTAGTAAATTGCTGATTCAACATACAAGTTGATTTTGTGAAAAAGGCAGAACTGTCACATTTGGACAATTACTTGCAAATTCTTTTATTTTCAGTAGTTTACTTTTGTGCCATGTTGATACATGTAACTATGAATTTGAAATGGCCATAACTTGTCAGCAGATTGTCCAATTGAAGTGCAAGAAACAGCATTGTTTGGAGCATGTTGTTCTCTTTCCTAATACCTGCAAACCTTCATTTGAATCTCTGAAGAGTTTTGTCTTATTTTGTCAGGATACCTCACATAATTTATACCATTTTTTTCTGGTTCTTTAGTAGGCTAAGTTGTGTCAGTAGGATTATTGTTGACTGAGTACAGTTTGAAGACAACTATCATATTTGTAATTATTTTAGTGGTACAGTCATCACATAAATGGTAAATATATCATATACATAAAAAGTGTTTTGTTGTTTTTGTTTTTTTGTTGCATTCTTACTGTTGTCAGTGTTAATGCTACTGTAGACTTAGCTCAAGTCTGGGACTGTGCTTGATCTCCGCAACGTTTGTTTCTGCTACATGTGAAACAGTTTGCACCCTCAGATATTGAACAAACATGCCAGCTACTGTACATGATAGTTTACATGCTAGTACAGCACATGCAGTGTGTGCATTTCCATGTAGATTTAAGAACTAGGGGCTTGTCATGCCCCCATGAGTATGCATGGTACAATCAGCGTGGATGTTCTATTGGATATGACAGGATGATTGTGAACCATTTGAAGATGCCACCTTCTTTCAGATTTAGTCAACTGCTTATACTAGTAGGTTTGGTGTACTATTCAGGGGCCATATACTTTCATGAAACCTTACTAAGCCTAGTTGGCAATACTAAATAGGCATGTAGTTGCTTACTAAGCCTAGTTGTTAACTAACTGGTATTCATGAAACATTGCTAATGCTAGTTACATTCTGGGTTTCTTACTAGTTATATCATTGTTTGTTGTGCCAGACTTGGCTTTTTAGGTGGTTTTCCCCCTCTGGTTGCTTTCTTGGACTTTATCATACTTGACAGGCATCCTCTTGACTCGGATTTTAATTTGGATAATCTAATTTTAAATCATCCAATGATCTTTCAACCTGTCGAAATCTTGCACGGTGTTGGCTGAAAATAGCTGCCCATGCATCTTTCTTTTTCTTGTTAGCGTTTGCATCCTTATGCTTAGTATATATTTTAATTCCTCATACTTGTCTGCCATAAAGAGTTCTCTTCTTGAGAATAATTTGCCTTCCTTGCCCTTTTTGCTTTATATGCAATTGCTAGAGAATAATTTGATGTTGATTCACTTACTTGCAGTACACTATAGGCCTTGGTCACTTTTTTCCTTCTTATTTTTTGCTAATCCACTCAAGGGCTGGACATGGATTAGCCTATACACCCGTCACACTATTGTATCTGTTGTCATCACATTCCATACATGCATGCCCACTCCACCCAGAAGAACCCAATTCCAGTTACTCAGGTATGCAACTAAATTCTCCTAGTATGTAACTAGTTAGCAAGGTTCTTAGTAAGGTTTCATGAATAACAATTTAGTTGTCAACTCCATAGTGGACTACTAGGCATTTTAGTATCCTACATGTATTAAGGCCTAGTTGGCTGCTAATTTAGAAAAGTTTCACGAATATGGCCCCTGGACACCAACAGTAGTTTGGCGAACTCAAAAGCAGATTAAGTTGAAGCTCTGAACAGAAAAATCTCTCTACAAGAGTGCTGGGAAGTGTTTTTGACTTTGTCCCCTATAGACAATGTCAAAATTATGACGCGGTTACTGCCAGAACATTCCGTCACTTGCTTAACCTAAACAAGCTCAAATTGTATTTTTTATTTCAACCCAAACCCTCCTTTTTTACGCCTGCAACGCTCGGAAAATTTAAAGGGGTTTTATTTTGGGCATAAACAGATGCACTACCGGTAACTGGCTCCCAGTCCACACATTATCTATACTAATTGTGGGGTGAGAACCAGCCAACCCTGCAAGAACAAGATTGTCTAGCAGTCGATATTTGCACAATTTTAAGGTAATAATTCAATATAAATTAAACATGGGCCCTTTTTTTCTGCTGATGTGTCACTCAAAAGTGAATAACTATTCTATTGCTAGAAAAATAGGAATTTAGAAGAGAAATTTAATTTCAGGATGAAACTCAAAAAAAAAAAAGAGCATGCAAATTCAATCTGTTAAATTTAGTCACATGCCCATGATAAACAGTACTTCCCCCTAAAGTGGAAAGTATGAAGTACATGTACTTCCTCTGTCATGTTTTATAACTGTCCTTTTCAGTTCCACTTTTTTCTGTTATCAGACAAAAACAATGCATTGTGCCAGACAGATTTAGGCTCGTTATAGGCACTTGCGTACTATTCTTTCTGAAGTGCTGAATAATGTGGGGTGCTGTGGCCCAGTGGTTACGCCCGGTGTTCGACTCGTGTACTGTGGTACATGGGTTCGAATCCTGACCGTGGGAACATGGTGCTTGTGCTCTTGAGCAAGGCACTTTACCGTTATTGCTTCGTCCTTTGGATGGGATGTAAAGCCGTAGGTCCCGTGTGTTGTGTAATGCACGTGAAAGAACCCAGTAACACTTATCGCTAAGAGAAGGGGTTTGCCCCGGTGTTTCTGGCAGTGGCTGCAATATGCGCCACAGCACCTTGTACACCCTTATAAGGTGCTACATAATGGGTCTCATATCTTCTCATAAAACACATAAGTGCAACAGAAGACAAAAGAATTAGCATTGATCGAAGTTTACCCTCATTAAAGATGACGTAGATGCACAATTTCAACAATCAGAGTTTGATAACGATTTACTATTTTATTGGATGGACGGACATACTTTGGTTGAAAAATTTGATATTTCAATTCACCTTTACATGATTTGCTGATTAAAAATATAAATCTGATTAAAAAAGTTTAAAAGATCCGATAAAACAATCAACAATAGAAACAAACTCCAATTCAGTTTATACACTGCATACAAAAATATACAAAGAAATATATCAACACATTCATTTCACAAACAATTGAATATTAACTTTTGATCAGTGCTTGTAAAAGTAACTAGACCTCCAAGTATTCTTTCAGACTTCTACCAATATAAAGTGATTACTGCAAATCAAATTAGGTTTTGCCCTTCACCGACGTATAAACACTGTATATTCAGTGTGTTACCTCCTGAGTGAAAGTTGGAAAAATCACTCGGGTGGGACTCGAACGCACGACCTCCTGCTTTCTAGTGCAGATGTCTTACCACTCGACCACCCAGCTAACGGGATCGGTTGGCTGGTCCAAATCTCATGTACATAGCAGCGGGTACCGCATTAACTATTCATAAGATGAATACTTATGAATAATTAATGCGGTACCCGCTGCTTTTCGAACCAGCCAACTGATCCTGTTAGCTCTAGAAAGCAGGAGGTCGTGGGTTCGAGTCCCACCCGAGTGATGTTTTTCCAACTTTCACTCGGGAGGTAACACACTGAGTATACAGTGTTTATACGTCGGCGTAGGGCAAAACCTAATTTGATTTACATCACCCCAACGCAGAATTCCATCTTATGATTACTGCAAACTTTTAAACAGTGTTATTTCTAACAAGCAAGTTATTGTGTACTTGCATACCCCCATCAGAAGGTTGCTAGATATACTGCTTGTTTGTTATGTCATGTATGTTGTTGGTAACACTCCACAAGAGTTACAAAAACGTACACCCAGATGTGGCACTGGGCACACATAAAACTGGGCATTTCACACATTTCTTAAATACCAGTACTAGTGGCTCAAAAGCTACACTGATACTATGATAGACCCCTGTGTAGAAATTACAACTGCGTATTCAACACCATCAGGTGTGTGTGTGGGCAAAATGTTGCTTGAGGTTTCTTCGAAATACGGCACAGCTGATGCGTGTCATGAAAATTTGACACGCAAAATGCCGGTGCACATGGCAATCTGTAGGAAGTGACGTCATTTGAGAGAGACCTATTACACAATGGATCTTTTACTTTCATTCACAAAATATATTTTAAAACATTATCGTCATGTCTTTATAGGCACGTTTACTCTTAAAATATCTGCACTGGAATCTTCCTATCTACAATCTACAATGAAAATATACAATTTACTATGTACAGTTGGTAGCAACATTTGCCTTTAGGACAGAACATGAAACACACTTCAACTTCCAAAATCCAGAATAATAAAATCTAAAAAAATGTAATAAACTGGCCCATGCTACCAGTGCATCCATTAATCAAGCCATGCTTATGATGGTCCATATCCTTGTTTTTCCCTATGCTGGCAGACACAAACTTTAAAGATATAGTCCATCATATGTAATTTGTGCATTTTGTTCGTTTGAAGCAACAAAAGTGTTCTAAATCTAATGAAGGATACTGAGCAACTAGCCTGAAGAAGTTTCAGCTCAGCTTCAGCTGTATATTCCGAGAAAAATAGTATTCTAAGATCTCGATTTCAAATCAAAAGTTGCTGAATCATGTTTTGAATTGGGCCTGAATTCAGCGTCCGAGATACTTCTCACTGAGCCGATTGCAGCTATACGCGATGTCGCGCACTGATCCGACGAATTATAGCAACCGCGTGCGCATGTGCGTCGTGCCAATGCTTGCGCGCGTTTCGCCAAACAACAAAACGAACTACTAATTTAAATTTTCCTACGATGCGTCTTAAGACGCACCGTTGGAAAGGCTTTCTTTCGTTGATTATTTCAAAATGACAGCTTGGCAGAAAGATTAATTTCACAGGGAGTTTAGTCCCCTTACTATCTTTCTACCAAGTATGTTTTTCAACAATAATTACACCAGTTACTTTTCGGATGGCTGCAAATGATGGACTATAGCTTTAAGACTTTACAATTGTATAAACTGCTCAAGATTCTCTTTTTTCTTGGTTCAATAATTGCCTGTTGTTAGAATTAAAAGGTAGGATTAGAAGTTGTGGATATTTTGTCATTAATCAGCTGAAGTAACAATTTACGAGTGGAGTCTGTTTATAAATATTTGTAAATAATTTGATGTGAATTAATTCATTACAAGAAAATAGAGTTGTCAGGCGTTATCTTTCATTGTTGGGTTGTACATATACAATGTACATGTATAGTTGTCATGGTTTTAGACAAAAGGGATACACATTCTAGGAATTGTCCTGAACATCAGCAATAGATTTCGCTGATCAAGTTAGCAGCTCTATGACACTTGGCTTAGACTTCACAGTTTCTGCGCAGGGGGGAATGAAGAGTTAGAAGTCTACCCGGCAGCTAAGTGTGTGACAAAATCATACATTTTGATACATTGTCTTCAGAAAAATTAAAACAATATTCTGCAATTAATTATCTTGGTCTTATTTCCTGTTGCTTATGCGTTAGCAACAAATCTTGTGCTTATCTCATGGGCATTGTTCTTCACCTGGGGAAATCTTGTTTCTGTGGTACAGTTATGATACAATTATGTACATCTCTACTTCCTAACAATAAATCTGCTATTAAAGAGTGTTTGAATATGGACGGATGTCGCCGTTTGTTCAGCGTTGCGGTTTCAGATATGCCAGAGACATGAGCAGCACTGAGTAGGCTCATAGCACAGCCCAGTCCTGCCCTTGCGATCCAAGACAGCGTTGGGGAAGAAATGGTTGATCAGCCAGAATGGAATCATCAGAACAATAAACACTGCGGGGGATAAAAATAAATCAAAGAATGTTTCAGCATTCATGACTAAAAAGATTGACAATAAAAAAGTTGACAAAACAAAGAAAACTTCGCAAGGAATGACAGATAGAGAACACATATTTAAAACCAATAACTAATGACAGTCCATTTAATATAGGTTTTCCCGGCCAATTTCCTAAAATGTTAATTCAGTTCTGAAAATCGGTCATTCATTTTCGTCTGAATTTGAGAATCGCTCTGAACGCGCGTTTCATTTTCGCTACCAGAGCATTTGATTCCATTTCAGTTCAATCAATTATTATGTGATTGAGCAGCACCTTTCGTTTATGTCCATTCAGATTCATTTACGAGACTTCTTTTTTGCTTTTAGAGGGCGATTTCAAACATTGACCATTCTATTTCACTTTTAGTTTAATTTTCTGTGATGCAATCTGCTATTTTGAATGAGAAAAACATACTTTTGATTGCACATTCACGAACTCTGCACGAAAAGGCATGCTTGCGTAATTAAATGCACAGGTAACGTAATTGGCCGTCTGTTTCTAAAACCGAATGCACAGACAATGAAAACGATTGAACTTTCGTTGAATTGAAGTGGGATTAAAGACGTGCATTCATTTTCAGCCGAAAATGAATGACCAATTTTTAGAAGTGAATGAACATTTCAGGAAATTGGCCGGGAAAACCTATGATAAAATATTGTGCACAATTCACTATGGAAGAGGCAAGTAATTGTAGTCAAGTGTCTTGCTCAAGGACACAATATCACATAGGGGTGTGCATCGGGACCGGGTACCCGAATACCGACCGTTGATATCAGGAACTGGTTCCAGATTATGGTAGCGAACTATCGTGTATCAATAACCAACTTTACAAATTACTTGGTAACTTCTAAGACAATGAAAAAGAAAGGTTTTCAATGTCATTTGTGGGGGATTTTCAAAATGAAAATCAGGCTACATGGGAAAACAAAACATATTTCACGTTCATGACGCTCACGAACTTTACACCGTAAAGCTATGCTCACTCTACACACTTGTATCTTGCTGTATTGATGCACCGATGTGGTTGTATTATCATGCGGACCTTTGTGAACAATCTGAACGGTAATTACTTCCGAGATTTGAATTTTGGGTTGAGTTTCTTAGTAACGGGTACCCATGTTTTTTTTCAATCTGGAACCCGGTTCCCGTACTACCCATAAATGCACAACCCAAGTATCACAACACTGCAACCACTGGGAGCAAACAGCTCAACTTATACTGCAAGTGACATACATATCCAAGTTTAAGTTGACTAACTTACCCATAGACAGTAGGCACAATATGACTGATGATAGGGACATGTAGTACAGTTCCAGTGTGTTGGTTTGCTGCAGGGGGAAACCACAAACAAAAAGACCACAAAATTAAAGTTACTGCGTCTAACCACTGATCTGTATAAAGACTGGACAGTGAATGCCGGTATGCTGTAATGGGAGCCAGGTGGGGACGCCAGCCACCAAGCTCCCATATCAAAGCGCACATGTAAACAAAGTGTGATGCCATTATATCTCAGGTTATTCTCAACTGATTTCCCTCCATTCTTTCCATTTTGAAAAGCCACATGAAGGGGGTTTGGAAAGTCATTTTGTAGTTCATATACAAGGTCTTTAATTTGGCGTATACCCTTCTGAAACATGTTGTACAATGGTGTTGGACTATACAAACAAAGCTATGTAAAACCATGTATTGTCCCGAACAAACAATATGTGGCTCTAAATACCACTCTCAGACACAAGCCTATAACTTCTTGTACAATACTTACACATTCAACTGCCAGTGATGTGAAGATTGTAAGAACCGTGCCAAAGATAAAACAGATGCCTCCAAAGATGTGAAACACCGCCTTGACCTCGAAGGGCACTGGGTCCATCACAGTGAATATCAGGGTGAAACCTGGCAGGACAAGAGACAAACAGAATGGACTAACAAGGGCACTGGGTCCATCACAGTGAATATCAGGGTAAAACCTGGCAGGACAAGAGACAAACAGAATGGACTAACAAGGGCACTGGGTCCATCACAGTGAATATCAGGGTAAAACCTGGCAGGACAAGAGACAAACAGAATGAACTAACAAGGGCACTGGGTCCATCACAGTGAATATCAGGGTAAAACCTGGCAGGACAAGAGACAAACGGAATGGACTAACAAGGGCACTGGGTCCATCACAGTGAATATCAGGGTAAAACCTGGCAGGACAAGAGACAAACGGAATGGACTAACAAGGGCACTTGGTCCATCACAGTGAATATCAGGGTAAAACCTGGCAGGACAAGAGACAAACAGAATGAACTAACATGGGGGCAAATGCAATCAAATGGGATAACAATAAGCTTCAAACTAGCACCATTCAACAACTAGTGGCTGACCTGACTTACACCTGTGCACTAGCATGTGTAATAAAGATTGTTACCAAAAAATAACAATTTTCTGTCATATTTTCTGAAGTGAAAAAATATAAATGGGAGTGGGGAATGCATTTATTAAATGCCTGTGCAGTCTTACAGATGACTCCCCATGCTATTGTCAAGTTTCACCTTGAAAAATAGACTTGTTTCTTTTTTCCCTAGAAATTATTTATTTTTGAACGGGACATCGAATGAAAAAATCCCCCAATGTTTAGTTATTGAATTATTTCTTCACAAAAATCAAGTTATTTGCTGCCAGACAATAATTCGGGGGGGGGGGGGGGGGGTCATTTGTGCACAAAATGAAATTCCTTTTCCAGCGGGTTTCAGACTACCATAATCGGAAGAAAGTTTTGAAGTTGTGAATTGACAAAAACATGTAAAACCGAGAATTACCCCAACTTACCGATCATACAAAATGTAAAAACAATGGACACAATGAGTTGGTCAAACAAATGTTGGCCGCAGAAGCGTGTTGAGTGCTCCCTGTCAATAAGGAGGAAAATTGAATTAAATACAACTCCAGATGGAAATGCTAATTTATGGCAGCGCCTGAGGTTAGTTCTCTATTCCGAAATGGACTCATGCAGAGTTTACAAAATATTGATCAATGGCCTTTCTACAGTGTATATGTAGTCCCCTTATGTGGTGCAGTGCGACTTTGCCCCCAACTTTCCTCATGCAGTGTTCCTGAACACTTTTGTTGACAAACTTCAAAATTATTATTAAAACCTACCGTGAAAACCTTGCGACAAATGTTAGTATTTCAAGTGAATAAAACCAAAAATGAAGAAAAAGTGGAGTCCAAAAATTGGGAAAAAAATTGGCCAAGGGTTCCCCAGCATTTGCACACCCAAAACTCTCCATAAATCCCAAGACAAAGATGTAAGAATTTATTTAATATTTACCGTTTATAATTATAAACCATTATTATTTTTTATCACATGTAAAACAAATATTTTGGTCAGAATATTATTTTTCACTTCAAAATAACATAACAATATTTTTTTTCAACATCTTGCTCATAATACCAGTCAAAATATGAAATGGAATGAAGTTTTTTACCCCCCAAAAAAGAGTATTACTGATCTCTTACCTTGTTAGTACAAAGAACTGGGGGATTAGTAACGCAATGGCAAATAAGATGATGATAACTCGACTGAAAAGGAAATAAACAAAAACAAAAACAATAGCCACAAATTTGTATTTTTCAGTAAATCAGAAATATACTACATACGTAAATGTACTAGCAGTTCATGGGGAGTGAGGCCTAGTGGTTAGGATTCATGACTCACGATCAGAGGGCAAAGGGTTCAAATCCAGCTGCTGGCCATATGTTGTGTCCTTGGGCAAGCCAATTCACCCCCACTTTCCTCTTTACTTTACTTTTCAAGTAATTCAACTTATCTAACCAGTTGTAACAAAATAAATAGGACACAACTCTATCATTGAACCATTTCCAGGCATAATTACATTCAATAAAAGTCTGTTTGGGTGTATACCTTGGTATATACACACATCTTCACCCAGTCACACACTCTTCACAAAGTCATCACAATGGTTAAAACATTCTCCAATTCAGAAGCATCTGATTCATATTTGCATTTATGCAGATATTTTGTAGAAATTATCTTGGCCTGTCCAATGCAATACATGTTGATGCCTCCTTTTTTCGGGAGGTGTATCATGAACCTACATCTTCATTCGGTTGCTCTTGGGAAACCAGCGGATGAAGTGAAACACAATGTGTGAGAAACCGTACCACCACATGATGAGAGCTCTCAGTCACAATGATGACAGGGAACAATCATGAAACCTGTGTGTAATTACAGAGAGATGTCATTAGTACATGAAGTATAACAAGTACATCCCAACTATGAGCAATGTCTAAGCATCAGAGCTAGTAAGTCCCAAGCTATGCACAAACACGGTTGCGCCCAGCAGGCTACATTGCATATGGCCATTTACATGTACTGTGCAGACGCTATTTTGAAAATGGCCTCCATGCAAATATTCACAATGGGGCCTCACCGATAAGGGTCATTCCACCGGGTTGGGGAACAATGTGTGACATATGACCATGTTAAGAAAAGCATGAATGCCTTGCTAGCAGTTGCTCTACATAATATTTGTTGTTGGGTATTTCACTATTGCAGAAAGTTTGAAATCATTTCCATGTATTTTGCCAAAAATATGAGCAAAAAATGTCATTTTGGATGTAACATTGACACCGTTTCAGTGTTCGTCCAAATATGACATTTGTACCTTTTTAAAAAATTTCTGCGAAATATTACCCAAATTTACTTTGCATACTTCTTAGTAAAGATGCTACACAATAAGAAAAGCTTTTGTCATGGTAGTCAGACATCAAATGGAGCAGCAATAATAGCTTGGTTGTGTGGACGTAACATTGACACGGTGTAAAACCCAAATGTCACTTCCATTGAGTGATTTTTACAAAGTTACCGTTACATCCACACTTGAAGTATTGTTTCTGCTATATTTGAACCCTGACTATACCCAAAAAAAAAAAAATTCTTGGTGCTTAGGTGTCCAGTTGTAAATATGCAATGTCAGTTTGGGTAACATTTTACATACGTGTAAAATATGGCCAAAAAGAAGAAGAATTTTTGGATGTAACATTGAGACGGTGTCAATGTTACGTCCAAATTAATACATTTTTGCTCATATTTTTGTCAAAGTACTTTCAAATGATTTCAAACTTTCTCAAATATTGAAACACCCTAAGACAAATATTATGTTAAGCAAACTGTTTAGAATGCATTGATACTTTTAATAATATAACCAAATATATGGATGTAACATGCACTGCTTCCCAACCCGGTGGAATGACTCATAAACGGTAAATTTAATTTCTTGCTGTGAATCACTGATAAATTTTCTCCTCGGTTCATCACTCGGACCGTGTGAGTTCGAATATATTGCTCATACTCTACAGTTGCATAAAGTCTTGCATCGAATGTTTGTGGAATCAAAATATATTGTAGAGTCTCTAAATTTTGAAAATTCGCCAACGAATGACCGTATGTTTTTACCTAGTTCCAGATCGCGTTTGCATATCAAAATTTTCAATATGAAATTTCACGAAAAACAGACATCTGAAAAAGGCAGCACTTTCTGATTAGCCTATAAAGAGGGTGAGTATGCTTCTAAAGCAAAAATAAACTACAAACTAAGCCTAAATGTGAAAATCACAATTTAACAAAGTTCTACATGTTTTTGTACATGGTGCAAGTGTGGCCTTTATTTACGGGGGTAGTCCAGTAAATTGGCAACATTTATGGCGATCGTGAAGTGTAGGGCCCCTGTTTTGTTTTGATCAAATTAGAATCAAAAATGTTTTTATCGCTCAAAACTCACCTTTACAATCAGAAGCAGACTTTTCTCAATTCTAATGACACCCATTTTGCAATTTTGAACAGATTCTTGGGGTAGAAATCACGATTTTCCTGCGCGGTTTGTGCCTTGTGATTCAGCGTGCCGTGTGTGCTCCCGGTACATCGCGCGGTGATCGCCATCTTTATTTTCGGGTCGCGTGTTGTTGCCGCGCTGTCATCGTCATTTTACCCCCAAATTGCCCTAAAAAAATCAAAACCCTGCCCTCTATCTATGACATACCTGTTTATTGAGAATGTCGCCAACTAGTTTGGTAGGTCCAAAAAACCGTCCAATGATTTTAAAGTGGATTTTTTTCCCTTATAGGAACCGGGCCCTACACTACACGATCGCCACATTAATGGGGCTAGACGCGGGCGCATTTTGGAATGACCGCATGATGACTTGGAAGCTCCAGTGTTTTCCATTGACGTTGCGTACTCAGCAATGCGTGTAAAATTGCCTCACAGGCAAGATGGCGCATTACCGTGAAACACCTTATTTTATCATGATGGGGACGGGGTAAAGGTTTTTAGTCTGTGCGTCTTTAGACGCACCGTTGGAAAGGCCTTCTTACGTTGATTTCTTCAAAATGACAGCTTGCCAGAAAGAATAATTTCACACTCACAGGGAGTTTAGTCCTTGGCCTAGATAGGGACTACTATCTGCCAACCGAGTATGTTTTTCAACAATAATTACATCAGTTACTTTTTGGATAGCTGCAAATGATGGACTGTAGCTTATTAAAATTAGATAGTGGATACATTGCCGGAGGTAATGCCGGCAAACTAACGTTTACTAAAGTTTGCCAGCGGCAATCCATATCAACAGAGGGCGCTGTACTCTCTAAGTCTAGGGCTGAATAATTACCACCAAACAGATAGGCAATACCATACTGCGCATGTTCAGTGCATATCCGGCAAGCTAACGTTTACTAAAGGTTTGCCGTCTCCGGCAAAATATCCACTGGCACTGCCTTAAAATTATACCTGCGTACGTCATGTACGTACAGTATCGTAGAGGGCGCTAAACAACGTGTTTGGGAAAAGAAAATTCGCACTGCAGTGCACTGGTCTTTAGTTGTCTAGTTTTGCTCGATTTCTGGTGGGCTCTACGATACTGTAGACAACTAAAGAGGAAACCATAACTACTCAATCGCCCACATAATGATAAAGCAACGAACTTACCAAAATCAAACAACTGCCTTACGACATGTACGAAAATTTGACATTATTTTGAAAACAATTTTGCAACACCAACCCTGAATCGCTATTTTTCACTCTATGCATCCGGTTCGTTAGTGTGACGTCACCTCCAGCACTTTTTGCACGATTGGAACCGGAAGTTAACGCAGCTCGAGCGTTTGCAGCCAATGGGCGCTAGTAATCAGTGGTGTGCGCGCGTGTATGACGTTTTTACTAACGAACCGGATTAGCGTTGGAGTGACGTCACGTAACCAGAACTACAGTCACGACTCATTCCCAGAGAATACCCACATCCTACAACATTAACAATAAAGAGTGTGTAAAACGAGGTTGTAAATGCAATTTTTGCTCTTGATCTCGCTGATATTGTTTCTTTTCCTTGCATTTTCTCATTGTTTTTAAGCGTCTCGAATAGTTTTTTGCTTGCAAAAACTAAAACCAAGACCATATTGGACCAAAATTATGTTTTAGAAAATACAATTTCGGCAGTTGTAGTGACAAAAACTATATTATGTTTATAGTCCACTCACGTGATTGGTTATATCCCCGTGGCGCAATGGATTAGCGCGTTGGACTTCTAATTCAAAGGTTGTGGGTTCGAGTCCCACCGGGGATGAATTTTTATTTTATTTTGGTTAATACCATTGTCATAAGAAAATCCGACTCCTTTGAAAATCGGACCCCTTTTACCTATGATTGGTTAATCCCTCTCACATTACAGGTCTTTCTCCCTATGCGATCCTAAAAATAGCATATTATACTTACTTACGCGTGCGCAATACAATGAGTCCATGTTTCATGGAGTCAACATACACCGTCTACAAATAACAAATGGTTGAGATGTGATAAAAAAAAAACAAGGTCGTATTTTTTTCTGAAATATACACTCTTTTCTTTTGTAAACCATGGAGAGCTAGAAAAATACGTGGAGCGCATTGTGCTTTGATGGAGATTTCACAGTCAGTGAAATTTTACGATGTTTTCTCCTGCATTCTTAGGTAACTGTAGCAATCCATTATTATAGCAATCCATTATGTATCTTAAGATATTTTTATATGAATATATATTTTTTATAAAGTCTGCGAAATAATAAATGAATCGATGCATGAACAAAATAATTATCGGACTAATATCAGGCGCAGATCCGGGGGGGGGGGGGTAAAAAAAAACCCAGCTCTGTCAATTTTTGTGTTTTGTGCATAGAAATTCGTTAAGAATAATACGACCCGTCACCCCCCGACACCCAAAAAAATATACTGGTAATGATAATGTCCGCCTGTGCACAAAATACGGACAGCGCCAGCTTACTTAGGGGGGGGGGGGGATTTATTCTGTAATTGTAGTGTTACTAATCGTCAGATTTGAACAGCGCCCCCACTGAAAGTATGGTACAAGCCCCCCCCCCCCCCCCCCCCCCCCGATTTTACAGACGCCAAATGTCCGGAAAAAACACACCGTGTGTACATTTCAGCATTGTTTTGCTGATGCCCCCCCCCCCCGCAAAAAATTCCTTGACCCGCCCCTGAATGTCACGACACTAAATTGTTCATTGTTCAACAGATCAGGCAAACAGTGTAGTTCCGGTTAATTTCCCGTGCTATTTTCGAGTTTCACCTGGACAAACAGATTTGGGGTTTTTTTCAATTGCTTTTTTTCCTAGCAACACAAAAGTTATTCACCTTTGAGAGAGACTTCGAAGGAAAAATCCACCGACTTTTAGTGTGTAACTGAATTATTTGTTCCCATGAATAATCGAATTCTTGCAGCCAATAATTCTTCTCGAGTAGGGCAGGTTCCGATTCATTTTGTGCGCAAAACGAAAGCCCTTTTTCAGAGGGTTACAGACGCCCACAATTTTTACATTAAAACAAAATATGAACTGAATATTCGTTTGGAGAAGACTCTTTTTTGAAGAGCAGGCGGGATATACACCTTTCAGGTTATATACTTTTTTCCCACTGGAACAGTATTAATTGAATGATTTTCAAGCTTCAAAATGAATAAGACTGCTGTAAAGAGCTTTCTGATTGGATTAACTTGAAATATACAAATATTAAATATTAAGGCGCCTGACGTTTCGAACTTAACAAATTCTGCTTCAGAGACACTGTGATAAAAAACAGTCAATACAATAAAACATTCTCGGAGGCATTAAAATTATATAAAATGTTAGTAATAAAATTGACATCCATCAGTCAAATGCAAACGAAATTGATTAAGTCTAGAGGCTCAGGAGCATAGTAAAGAAAGAAACCAACCAGGATTTTCCGGTTACAAGAACTCTAGTCCCACTTAAGAAATATATTTGTTCCCAAAATTTGGGAAATTTTTTATTTATCAATTTTTTATCAATTAGTTTTAGGAAAGGGTCGATGAAGCGCCTCAGCCTCCATGCAAACCCGCTTCGACCATGGAAAAAGAAATGCTTCGACTCATTAAATAATTATAGCGCCCTCAATATTCAAAACATTCATGGTCCCCATCCCATGCTGTAACACATGATTTATATAGCAATTTTGTTACCAGCGATATAAAAATGTTAAATAACAAAGCACATTGCAGCGCCAGCGTGTGTCCGGTGGTATTACTGGGATGACCGTTTTAGCCGATTTTCGGCTAACTTTGACAGATTATCTGTTAAAAAACGAGTTTGACAGAAAATTTGACAGAATGGATTTTTTGGTAGATTTCTGGCAGAATTCTGCAAAAATGGTTGACAGAACATAGCAAATTTGAAAAAAGTAGATTTGTTAAAAAAAAAGTTTCAATCTTTTCAAACAACCCTTGCAAAACAGAACAGGGTTGCCTGGTTTATGTGCTGAGGTTCACTGGGAAATGGATTTCGTCGTGACAAAGCCTCGTTTATTTGACTATATATTGTTTATGATGTAATTCGAACCTTAATTAAGGCAAAATTACAAGATCTGCATGTGTGATTTTAAGTGTTAATAGTGTATTCCGAGTACTTCATGGAAATTTGGCAGATTTTTGATAAATCTGACAGATTTTTGAAGTACATTTAGCAGAATTTGGCCATGACCTTACGGTCACCCTGCCATTTGTATATTGCTCACGAGAAAGAAATCCCCGAGCAGCTGAGAAATCGAAATTGTCATCAGCATTCCTCAAGTTTTCTATATCTGTTTCCAAAATGGGAGTTCCAAAGTTTTATCGCTGGATCAGCGAAAGGTATCCATGTTTGAGTGAAGTAGTAAAAGAAAACCAGGTAAATATATTTTGTAAAAAAACACAGGCATGACACTTGACAGGCACAGCGGCTTCGCCATCCGGCGATATTCGGCATTCCTCAGGATAGCATGTCGTGAAAGGGAGACTCTTTTTGGTGTAGTGGGGGTGGTACGAATTGAATGACAAATACTTGTGGGTGTCTGTAGGCTTGAAATATATATCTGTGATGAAAAATCCATCGTCTAGTTGTACAAGAACGTCTAGAAAGGCAATGTGTGAGTTGGAAAGCTCATGTGTGAATTTGATGGTTGGGTGGGCGGAGTTACAGTATTCAAGGAACTCATCGAAGGTGGAGCGACTCCCTGACCAAAGCAAGAAAATGCCGTCGATGTATCTCCACCAACAAATGGGTTTGTGTGGAGAATTAGTGAGGAGTTTGACCTCAAGCTGACCCATGAACAAATTGGCATAATTGGGGGCCATGGCAGTGCCCATGGCCGTACCTTGAGTCTGAAGATAATGATTGTTAATGTTATTGAACTCAAAATTGTTTAATGTGAGTATGAGTTTGATGAAGTTCTTGAGTGTTTCTGTCGAGTGTTCTTTAGATGTGCGAGTGTGCTTTAGATGTGTGAGGGTTCTTTTTTAGCAATATCTTCACACAGTAGTACTAGTAGTGGGGCTAGCAGCGAGCACGAATGCAAAGATGTTTATGTGCTGTAAACCGAACTGCATGCAGTGTAACGACTGTTACGCCAGTGATGATACAACAAATGGTTACACGATGTTTATGGTAAAACTAAAAGTGTGCTTTAGGACACTGTTCTGATATTATAAGAAAACAAAGGCACTTTAATTTTTTTTTTTTAATGTTACAATGCTGAATACAATTACACAATAGTTGGTGATGATACCAGAAGAAAAAGCCACTTTATCGTGTTTATACATGTATTCTTGCCCTCACCGAACTTGTTCGTTAAAATACCATCATACCATGTCTGCAAAGTCACAATTGAAAAAATTGACAGACATAAATTGCAAAAATCTGGTGTCCTGAACTACACTCTCACCTTGTTGATCATGTGTAATATACTTAGTCTACCACAGCATGCATGACAAGTCAAGATTATTAATTGTATGAATTGATACATGAACATTATCTTCTTTGCAGTTTATTATTAAAGATTTGAATTAAAACATAAAACCTTTTGCATTTCCGGGACCATAATTCCTGGTAGGTAGGAGATTCTGGAGAATTCTGTTGACTGAGGAATGACAACAGTTGTCCTAGTCCGAAAATTTGGGACTCTCAATACTGTTTATGAGAGTCCCAAAACCTAAGGTATCCATATTGTGCAAAAGTTTGTGCTGCATAATAAAACCAGTGTGAATCAAATGTGCAAGCTTCTTACTCACTACAGTTTGTTCAATAATCCCCGAAACTTCTGTCCTGCAAAGTTGCTGTTGTGAGCATTGCATCACCAAAAATTCAGCGTTTAATTCTAATTTTGAAGGGAGTTATCGAAATCCAAACGTGAGACATCACGTTGATGTGTACTGCAATGCATTGTGCAAAAAGACTCCTCAGCTAAAACATTTTCATCGTTTTTCAGCGCCCTCTTGTTGATCTGAGTGAATGCAGAATGTTTCATGTTTTAACAGAGGGCGCTATGTTCATTTGGCCATCGATTAAAAAATAAGTAAGCTGCAAGGCTCTTCCTACACCTACCCAGAATACCTTGGGAATCACACCACCATTTCGAAAGCATGGAGAATGAAGTGGATGGTTTTTAACTGTCAAAAACTTGCCTTAAAATTGGATTTAAGGTCTCAAATTTTGCAGGTGACATGCTTGCAACTTAAGCATTTTGATGTTTGTGTTGTGTGGGCATTAATTAGCCGAATGGTGAGTAAAAAAACGTCAGTAGTAATTTTGCACGTTTTTATGCACTCACGGTCCCAGTCTGCAGTTGGCCCTGTCTAAATTTAAAGGGAAGATACAACATTTGCAAACATCCAAAAACGAAAGTATCATATTATCACGAAATATCTTACTGGATTGTAAGGGAATGAGATTTTAAAACCCTGTAAAATCGTGGTTCCTGTTTTTTTTCAAAAACTGCTCTTAATTTTTCATAATTAGTTTTTTTCCGCGTTTTCTTTGCGTTGATTACACACCTGTGTAGGGGTAAAAGTCTGCCGGCCCGATTCTCTGACCTTACAATTCCCCAAAGTCAACAAACTGCTCAGTTTCATCTTAAGTAGGTCAGGGAACCAGACTACAAGAACATGATGTTTTTCTTGGATTTTCCAGCATCTTCAAGCCCAAAATCTGAAACAAGTCGGTTTGACAATATTAGCTATAACATGCTTATCTCCCAAGTCCACTTACTACTAAAAATTGCAGCAAGAGCAAATGTTGTACATACCCTTTAAATAATGACATCGATACGTCATGACTGTAGTAACGACCTGAAGAACATTATAAACAGATGTAATAAATGAAGAGGTACATGTACGATTTCCCCTCCAGATTCCAGAATTTGATAATTTGTACCTGGACATGAATGGAATCATCCACCCTTGCTCCCATCCTAATGATGAAGATGTCCATTTTCGCATCACTGAAGAGCAGATCTTTGAAGCAATATTCCATTATATTGAGGTAACACATTTTCACCATTTGACTCTATTTTCATTTATCCATTATATGTTTGTCTTTGACCTTGTTCATCATTGAGATTATGTAGATTTTGCATTACAAAACACGGAAAGATTTCCATATACGAAGTTCACTTAACACCCTGTGTACAAACCCTATGAGATTGGACTGAAAAATTCTAAGTGTTTTCTAAGAAAATGCTTGTATTTTCTCACTGCTCAAATTGACTTTGATGACATGAAATTGCTATCTGGGGGCTTGTTAGTCAATACAGAGGAAAATTTGTGAACTTCGCATATGGTAATCTTGCCCAAAACACATCGTCAGAAAATACAAAATCACAGTGTTACCAATGAAATATAACAGACGCTCAAGTTTTGAAGTTAAAACCATATCCCAGACAATTTGGATTTCACCATAGTTTACAGTATATCTTGTGCTCCAGTTTGCAAACTAATTGTCTTTGGAATGAATGAAAAATAGCAAATTGCAGAACCAACATGTAGGCTCGTGTAGAGTTCTGTGTTAACCCTAACTCCCTAGGCCCTTTTGACTAGGAACCATGCTCAATCCTGCAAAATATTCCAATTGCCCTGCCATGTAAAAATTGGATTCAGCCTCAATCCTCCAAAATCATCCATTATTTCTTGAATGTTTATTCATTGGAGGGGTGAATATTGCCTTAGGGATCCTGCAAAATCCTCCAATCACTGTTAACCGTAACCCCTAGGGCCTTTTTATAGGAACCATCCTCAATGCTCCAAACACCCGGAGGACTTTGAAGGATTGAGAAAGGTAATGGTTAATGGGTTGAGGCAGAGCCGATGACATTCAGAAGCAGTGTGTATGATATCGAGCATAATGCAGGGCTCAGTTATGCATGGCTGAATATTAGCAATGCAGGGTACAGCCTAACTCGATGCCATTCAGCCTCAATCCTGCAAAATCCTCCAAAAAAAGGTTAGGGCTAATCCCAAACTGAAAACTGCAGTTGGAATTCTGAACTGGCTTTTGTTATTATTCTTCAAATTGGGTTGGTTTCTTGGTAGGTACTGTTTCGCATCATCAAGCCTCGCAAGGTCTTCTTCATGGCAGTGGACGGCGTGGCTCCGCGCGCCAAGATGAACCAGCAACGAGGGCGCCGTTTCCGCTCGGCCCGAGAGGCGGAAGAGAGGGAGAAAGAAGCCATGTCCAAGGGGGAGGTTCTGCCATCGGAGAAACGCTTTGACTCCAACTGCATCACCCCTGGCACGCCCTTCATGGTGCGTCTTCATGAACAGCTGAAATACTTTGTGCGTCAGAAGCTGACCAAAGATCCTACGTGGCAGGGACTGACAGTCTACCTCTCAGGACATGAGGTTAGTATAGACTCTTTCAACAAGTACATCATCAACGGTTACAAGGAGAAAGTCAGTAGGGACATGGGAACTGTTAAGTAAAATTAGGCAGTGCTGTAGACACAAGTCCAGGACTCGGACTTGAGTCGATCTCGAGTCACATGTTTCGTGACTCGGACTCGACTTGAGTCACACTGGAAAATGACTTGGACTCGGACTTGACTGTGATGACTCGGACTCGAGCTTGGTGACTCGTGACTTGAGTCACGTATTTTACATCAAAGAAAAAACATAACATTATGTATTTGTGCGACGAATGTAGCATTCTTTTTTATTCCATAGACAAAAAACGGCGCTGCGGAAAATCGTATCCAGGGGCCGCACGCGCACGCCTAGCGCCTGCACGACAAGCACAGGCAGCGCCCAGTGTCATGGATGATTGAAAAATATCTTTACAAACAAGTGACTTGTGACTCGGGCTTGGACTCGAGGCTTGTGACTCGAGACTTGGACTCGTTCTCGATGTTGGTGACTCGGGACTCGGGCTCGGACTCGACGTTGGTGACCCAACTACAACACTGAAATTAGTTGTGCAACCTTCGCGCCATATGCACATAAACCAGTGTGTACTTGTTCTACATTAATCCAGAGGACAGACACACAAAGGGAGAACAACAGATCCTTTCAGTCCTCGGGAGTTGGGTCTTTTGTTCAAAACGGTCCTCTGTAGTAAGCTTGTGTGCTTAGTCTATGGGAGAGTGTTATATTACAGGGACAAAGGAAAACACAAAGCACTGTCCTCAGGAGTATAGTAAAACAAGAGTGCGTGCGCGCGCATGCTGTATGGGTGGTGACAAAGTAATATGTTATGTAATGTAAGTCTACCAAGTAGAGGGCAGAGACGGAGCAGCAAAGCAAACATCTAAGAAGTTAACCAAACTGTTCTGTTCAGGACTACTATTACTTCCAAAAGGATGACCATTGTTGCAAAAAATAACAAAACATAATGAACACAACAAATAAAGAAAGATTAAAACATTAAAAAAGCAAAACTATCCTCATCCAAAGCCATTTCATTCTTAACAAATGACAATTGAGACCGTGGACAGATTGAAAAATCAGCACTTATTTTGAAATTGGCCGTAACTCATTAAATATATTTACCCGTTTGGAAAGATTTTTTCGTTGTTTAAAAGCTAATGGACTATACTCTCTAAATATGTATAGATATTTGCAATGTTTTTTTTTTAAAGCTGTAAAAAAGAGGACGCTTTGAAGGTTCGTTTTTTTTTGTAGACGCTATGTATAGCTGGTAATTGATAGCTGGCTATCATTGGCTGATGACCAGTGATTGACTATTGATTATCTTGTTGATTGTAGACACCAGGAGAAGGAGAGCATAAGATCATGGACTTCATCCGTTCAGAGAGAGCTCGTAAGGACTATGATCCCAACACCAGGCACTGCCTGTATGGCCTGGATGCAGACCTGGTAGGTTTCTAATTTTTTTGTAACTTCAGACAAAGAAGTATTATCAGGGGTGTGAAATCTCCACTTTTTAGCGAATTTCCGCTATCTTGTTCAGCGTGCCACATTTTGTTTTCCGCTTTTTTACCGATGGTTCAGATTTTCAGATCATCCGCGCGTAAGCATTGATTTTAGATCTGTTTATTTTATTTTCCACCGCTGCCGAACGCACGCGAAAAACACAGTCGATCTTCTCTCTACACGTGGCTCTGTGGTGCGTGCAAGCGAGTATTCAATGTACAATCACCCATATATACGTGTACTGTACGTGTGCCGTATATACGATGCGATGTGCATGCATTTTTTCAGCTCGAAGCCGCGTGTGCTTGTACAATGTATTGTACACTACATGTAAACAGCATCCCGGGAACCAACAGTCATTGCGCTGTGATTGGCTGCAGATAAATACGAATATTCACACATGTGCCATGAAGTGCGTTGGGACTCTTTGCAGCCATTCCTGTGTCTGTTTAAGTAGTGACACCCTATTATCTCTACAATAACTCGCTGTAAACACTGAAAAGATCACTTTGCACACGTCTTGTTGCAAATATAAAGCCTTGAAATAAGACTCGTAAATTGTCGCCGCGCCGATAGAGGGCTTCATGCAGGGCAAAGTTCATTTGTTAGTTTTATTTCTTTTCGCGCATCTGCATCCTGCATTCGCTGCATGCTGCTAGCGTACATGTACGTACGTTAGTGTATCATTTCGTATGTATTTTCCAAGAACTTTTTGGCATAATTAATTCTACAAGATGTCAGTGCAACACAAATGCATAATTGTCCAAAGAGGTTCGGAGTTTGATACCGACATTGACAAGACCGATCCTCAAGTTACAAATCCGTGGAAATGGATTTGGATGGATCACACTATTCATGGGCAGAAATTAGCCGACACGATCAGAAAAATCCAAAAGCCTGGACAACGATGTGCATTCTTTTCTTAAGTAAGAGCTAGATTTAAAGGAGGAGGATGATTCTCCTTGCCTTCAGTAGATTTCTAGGATCGCAAAGGATTTGTCTTAATTTTTTTTTGTATTTTTTTGTAAGGTGTATTTATATTTTTTCCATGTGCAGATCATGCTAGGCCTGATTTCCCATGATCCTCACTTCTCCCTCCTGCGTGAGGAGGTCCGATTCGGCAAGATAGCCAACCAGAAACGACCCACGACCCCTGAAGAGACCACCTTTCACCTCTTGCACCTGTCACTCATGCGGGAATACCTGGAGATTGAGTTCAGTGCACTCAAGGTAAAAGTGAAATAAAAACATACCAAAGAAAGGATCAAACCCTAGATGTGTATAGCAGAATGGTACAGGTACAAACAGCATTTGACCCACTTGTTGAGTTTTATCCTGTTTTGTAACCAAAAAATATTTAGATCAACCTGTATAAGTTTTGTTCACATATGTGTATGAGATTCATTGGATTTAAACTTACAAAAAAAAGGGGGGACTGGAATAGTATTGTTCATCGAGTCAGGTTGACAATACAAGTCAGGACATAAATTAACTTGATAACAACTTTAGCCCTTTCTGTCCCTACCTGATTGCATTGATTTTATTCGACTAAGGATGTACTTGTCACACATTTTATTCATTCTAAGGATTGGAAGATCCCTTAAAAATAATTCAGGCCTGTGAAATTCATTACACATGCATGTGTAGGTATCAGAAGGCCTATGAAATTCAGAACGAGCTGGCCAAGTTTTCTTTTTTGTGAACTTAATATCTTTGGAAATTACGAAAAAACTGCAGTTTCTTTGCAATTTTTTTCTTAATTCAAAGCTCAGGAATGAGTGACAACAGTGTTGGCTCATCTATCAGAATACGCGGCATGGATAAACGTCTTCTTAGAATCTAATATTTAATCTTGATATTTTATTTGTTGTAATCCTTAGCGTCACATTGACTGGTTTGACATGGAGCGTATCATTGATGACTGGGTGCTTATGGGATACCTCGTTGGTAACGACTTCATCCCCCATCTGCCAAATATGCATATATCCCACAACGCACTGCCCATGTTGTACAAGGCCTACATTGAGATCCTGCCTTCGCTTGGTGGTAAGTTGTCGTAAATAGGTAGTTGAATTCTGGGAAGGGCTGGGGCTGTTTAACCCTAATCCTCTAGGTTATTGTGGCTAGAAGCCCTGCCAAATGCAGCACCATGCAACACTTGTCAAAGTAACAAGCCTGTCCATATCAGAAATGAGTGCCTGTGGCCACCGATTGGCTGTCCAAAGTATTAAACGCTGATATAGAAGTCACCAATGAATTTTAGTAGCAAAGGATATTTAGGTTCAAAGCCTTCCTTTCTTTTCATGTTGGGAGTTAATTTTTAGCTGCAGGATAGCGGCTCAACAAATCATCATGTCTCCGTTAATAGTTAATTAGTAGCAAACGTTGACATTGTCTATTGCTCTTACACATTTTGACCCATTTCAACCAAACTGTCGTCAAAAGTATCAGAAGCCCAGCCCCAACATGTTACATGACCAAACTGGGGTCAAAGGTCATCATGGGGTCACTGGGGTCAAAACCCGATTTTTTTTTTACTCAAAACACTACTCCGTCCAGAACTTACATGGTACAATCACAGACTCTGCATGAACACGGATTCGTTGGCCCACAGCTTCCGAGATATTTCCGATCGAGCTTGTTCAGACTGTGTAATCAGATAAATGTGAAGATATCCGAATTTTGAGAATTTTGAATTAATCACAGATTGACATGTACATTTTTTCTTCTTCCAGGATATCTGAATGAGCATGGTACGCTGAATCTGCCTCGCTTTGAGAAATACCTGATCCACTTGTCTAAGGTGAGTGATGCCTTTATTTTCATCAAACCTGAATGGTGTGGCTATTTGCAAAAACTGTACCTGATGCCAGTTTTTACTTAATGTGAATGCTGTTGCAAAGTGAATTAGAAGGCATTTAACATTTGCAGTGAAATTTTCCTGAGTTTAAATTTGTTGAACTTATGCAAATTAGCATAGCGAACACTTCATATGAAGACGTAAATTTGTCAATCAAATTAAGTTTTGCCTTTCGTAAATTTGTATTCACATTCATGCCGGGAATGAATTGGCACACAGTGTTTAAAATGTTCTGAAATAACTCCCTCTCTCCACTACTTTAGCAGCACAAGCTTATACATCAAAAAGTATACATTTCGATTTATGGTTGTGTGGAGCTCTTATGTTTCTAGTCATGGCTTTTAAAGTTTTTAATCAGTGCAGTTTATTTTTCCACATGCAATGAGCAACATCAACAGCATAAAAAATAGACCAAAGAAATTTAGTTTCCCATGAATATTTGTTTAGATATGGCCGCTGATTTGCCCAGGCTCACTTTTTCTGGGACACACTGTACTATAGTTTGGTGCACATTCAATTTAATAAAGAATGCTTTTGAGAAGCGGATTGGTTTAAAGGGAATGTACATCATTGGCTTTTGCTGTAATTTTCAGAAATGAACTATTTGAGGGGTTAGTATAATAGATCAAATATTGTTTCACTGACATGTTTGAAGTTTTGTGTTCGAAAATGCTGGAAAAACCAAGAAAAACAAAAATGTTCAAGTAGTCTGGTTCCCTGACTCCACTAAAGATAAAATGGATCAATTCATAGATGCCGGAAAATTGTAAGGTAAGGGAACCAGTCTAGCTGGCCTGCACCCGTTCATGAACATGTAACCAATAGCAAACAAAATTTGGACTGAAAAAAGTGTAAAGTTGGAGCAGTAGATGAAAAATAGTTAGGTTTTTCCAAAGGTGGTCGGCCGACCACCGTTGGAAATGTATACAAAAATACCATTTTCTTGAAAATGACTTCACACCAGGTGCCATAATTTTACAGGATGCTTTAGACTGTCATTTACCAACATCCTAGTAAGGTATTTCGTAAAAACTTGGTAGTTTTATTTTTTGATGTTTGCAAATGTTGTATATTCCCTTTAATACTGCCTTCATTGGCTTTCATAATATGCTATACTACACTAAGACGCATCAAACCACTTGTCTATGGCTAGCAATAAGACACTTGTCATAGGAGCATGTGTAAGTGCTGGCCATACAGTGTTGTGGGTGCAGCCCAAGCTGTCTACACACTTATAAGTATTTTCAATTATAGATAAATCAATGACCCATTACCTGCAGTGTATTGAGCACCACAGTTCAGTTTGAAAATTCCAGGCAAAAAAAGAAATCACTATGTACCCATGAATTGTGTGTCTGTGTTGCAGTTTGACAAGGAGAAATTTGAGGAGACGTTTTCAGACCTGTCCTTCTTTTCTGGGAAGACGGACATAAGAGCATGGAAGAGCAACCGAGCTCAAGCCAAAAAAGAACAAGAGAAAGAAAGACGTGCTGCCAAGGTAAATTTGAAGTTTATTAAATTCAATGTATCATTATGCAAAGACACTTTTAGTTTTGAAAAAAAAGTCGATGTCAATATAAGTCGTAATTTAATAACAAGGAAAATGCGTATTACTTTTGTACAACACGCATTGGTTTTACAATCGTGTTGAACCATGTTCTGACACCATCCAGGCCAACTCCAACAAGTTCTCGGTGCTGGACAGCTTGGATGATGTGATGGGACTCAAGCCTGGGGCTGGGTCAAAGGTCACCGGTCTGTCTTCTGATTCCAGTCAAGGTAGGTGTAATCCATAGTGTGTTCTTGTCAGTCTGAGATGAACCCCAACCCCAGGGCATGCCCCTTACTGTCCCAAGTTGTGAAATTTGTGTAAATTGTGCAGTGCATGCTATTAAAGCCTGTTCAATATCCATTCATTTTTGAATCGCGATATCATGATATCGCGGTATCCAATATTATCGTGATGACGTCATTTTTTCCCATTAACCCTCCTTTTGCTTGAAAGGTCACAAATGGTCCAAATTTCCTTCCTCACCTCCTGCTATACTTTTAAACACATGCTGGTCACCAATGGTCAGATAATGTATGTGATTAGTACATTGGTAGGTCAAAATCGGTCAACCAGTTTTGACTCTTGGGACAGCCATTGAACGGTACCACATGTTACTCATTATATGCATGGGAGGATAGTTGCCGGGCTTTAGGATGTTGATATTAGATTTTTCTTTGTGGAGGGGGGTGTTCAGATAATAACAATAATATGAATTTCTATTAGTTTTGCAATACAATGCTTTTTTGACCAGGCAACCCTGTAGCACAATGGGACATCCCATTTTATATTCAACAAACAATGGCACAGTTTGTTGACCCAGGGATTGCAAACAAAGCCGGGGGGGGGGGGGGGAATGTTTTTTTTATCAAGACACCATCAGTCACTTGCAACAATGTTCTAGTCAGTCAATACCATCACTTAACTGCACCTTTCAACTCTTGGATGATTTTTTAAAAAGTCAATAGCGGTCAGCAAATGGCCAGCATCAACCACTATTCAATAGGTCATAGCTGGTCAAATCATTCCCATGGTTAGATACTCCAGCAGTCACAACTGGTCAATCCTATACTTCTATGCACAGTTTTTCAATGGGTCACCAATGGTCACTTGACCGATTTTGACCCATGTAATAACAAGGTTCAGAATGCGCGTTTCCATAGGAGGGTTAATGGAACAATGGAATGATAAAAAACAACCACCAAAGTCACCACTACATCATGAGAGCCGCATGAAATAACCTGATGGTCCGCAAATGTCCTTAACAAAATCATTCGTTTTACTTGATTAGTCTCATAAACTTTGCCAAGTCAAAAACAAATTCCACATACAAAAATTGTAAAAATTACCTTGAATTGTTTGATAAATGTGCAAATAGAAGTGGATCTCATGTGAAAGGAACGATGATAGCATGCAATGCATGCACGGTGTGGCTGGTATTTTTGGTAGCCATTTTACATCATTGGTTGTCACACGTAAAACACATACTAGAGCTATAAGCAGCGACGATCGGAACCAAGACCAGACGTGTGCGACGAGTCAAAATAAAACTCATTTTCGTTATCCTCACATGAACGGCCACTGTGTTAGACCATGGAGTTATAAAAGCATAAACCCCAAGAAGGAATTTAAATTAAGATTGTCAGTTTCAGGATGCTTATGGAATTGTTCTTTAAATAATATTTGTTTTTTATTGAGGAGATTCTTTGGATGAGGAAGATGGCGATACATTTGAGGAAGAGTTCATAGCCCACAAGAGGGCCTACTACGATGACAAGTTTGAAATGGAAAACATCACTGAGTAAGTTCAATCACAAAAACTGTCACTAAAAGCCCACTTAATGTAAGCCAAAATGATTCAAAGTATCTCTGTGTGCAAGAATGAAGAGTTATCACTTTAGTAGTTTAATATAGCTCTCTGAGCTTAACCCTTAAGTCACTGTAGCTCCCCAAACCGCGCTGCTATTACTCGCTGTAGCGCTCGAAACTGCCCAAGCACTCTATGGTTTTATTGATTCTTCAGTGATGAATAAACGCAGTGTAATACAATGTAAGCACAGGTGTTTTTGGGCACTACAGGGATTAAAGGGTTAAAGCTCTTATGTGTACTTGTAAATGTTAACCTTTTTTGAAGTTGTTTTGCATTCAGGAGTAATTTGCTTGTGTTCAACAGCTGAAGCAGTTATTATTCGGACATATCTTTTATACACATTGAGGATTTTTTTGAGTATTGTTAAACATTTTCTACTGTCTCTTACAGTGAACAACTTTCTGTGATTGTGTACAACTACATCTTGGCAATCCAGTGGATCCTGGATTATTACTACAACGGTATTCAGTCATGGGGCTGGTGAGTAAGACTATTAGTTTTTGCGCGTACTGCGTGATGTTGCGCAGAACGCGGAGTGCTGGTGTAGTGTGCTGATTGGCTACATTAAATGAAAAAGGATGAGTTTGATGCACGCACGACGTCGTAAATTAACACCAGTCGACTGCAATTGATTCCCACCTATCGGGAACTTGTCGTAGAAATTGAAATGTTTCTACTCTAGACACAGATCATGACTGAACTCTTGCAACTGTTGATTTTTTTTTAATGCCGACTGATTCCGATCGTCTTAATATCATTGCAATTTTGTCAGGTCGCAAAAAAATTGCCGACTAATTTGTTTCCGACGGTCGTTGATCAGGCGTAGCATGATCCTGAAAAGTCAGTCGCTGACTGATCTGTGTCGTTGCAAGGTCGACCTGAGGGCGGCTAAAGACAAATTTCCTTCTGAAAGTTATGAATTTCAATATTTCAACCAACTATTTGACTTATGCCTACCTACATTGTACCTATTGGCCATTCTTTAAATTTGGGGTCCACTTTTTACCCTGTCCCTGTTACATGTGACATCTATGATTTTATAATTTTGATGCACTACTTAATGCAGTCATCCTTCAGGACTGATTACATGTATGAATAGCAAACTACCTACCCAACAAATAAACAGTCATGTGAAGTCATTCTTAATGATACTTGAATGGCAAACTACAAAGATTCCAGGGAACAGGGCCAGGGAAAATGTCACACAATGATACATGTACATTGGATCCGAAATTTATAGAATAATCCATCTAGCAACTATGCAGGTTAATATCGTAGGTTAACCCTCCTACTATTTAAACAGTCACAGACAGTCAAAATTTCCATCCACTGCCCTGCTATGCATGTACTTAACACAGGCTAGTCACCAACAGTCAGGTCACATGTCAAGCAAGCACTGTGACTAACACAGGCTAGTCACCAACGGTCAGATCACATGTCAAGCAAGCGCTGTGACTAGTCAAATTCACTCAAGAGACAAAGCAGGCTTGTTTGTGTTAACAGCTGGCGTATCAATCACAGGGCTGCCAACTTTGAGTAGAGGTTAGAGTGAGAATTCGACAATCGAGGTTAATCAGAACTAATGCGAGCGCAAAGCTCTAACGGTGTGGGGTTCGGCGCCCGCTCAAGGGCCTCGGAAAATGTTGGATTCTAAATGCTCTGTGGTGCGATCTGAGGCAATTTCTGACCACTTTAACCAATTTTTGTGAGCAAAAAATCATCATTTAAACATCGTTTTCGAGTTCGGAGTCAATTATTTTGTTTGTTACTTTTTTTAAGCGTGAGACATCCCGTGTGGGCATGAGAGCATGAGAATAACCTGAAATGCATGAGTCTCACGCTCAATGCGTGATAGTTGGCAGGCCTGCCCACAGTCAAAGCAAAGCAGTGTCAAGTGACATAAATGGTCAAAGCCAGTCAATCCTGCTTTATGTAGGCTGGGAATTCGTATCAATCTATAATATCAATCTAAAGGTTGAATTTGTTAACAGCAGGTCTCATATGTACATAAGTTTGTTTCTCTTAATACTCCAACTCTGCTTTCATTTCTCTTCATACTTTATCTTTATTGAGGTCAATAATGGTCCCAGTCTAGGACTGACTCACACTTCCATCATCTTTCCTCCTTCTGATCAAATGATGAATCCTGTGCAGGTACTACCCCTACCACTACGCTCCTTATATGTCTGACTTACGAGGATTCAGCAACTTCAAGCTCAAGTATGAGAAGGGTCAACCGTTCCTGCCTTTCCAGCAACTGTTGGGTGTACTGCCTGCTGCTAGTAAGGAACTACTTCCTGAACCTTACCAGGTATATGCTGTTCCCTTCAATCCACTTGTATTTTATCTTCATTTCTATTTTATCTGCATGCTAATTAGGGTTGAAAGTCAATTGGTCCTCACCTTAAGATCTCTGAACAACTGATACGTGTACAGTGAACTTGTCATATTGTACACATACCAGTATGTACAGGGTGTTTCAATAAAAAGGAAACCCAACTTTGAAGAACCAGTATGGACAGACTCAATGTTTACTGGCTATAAAACTGCTATCATCTGAAAGCGTAATCTCTGTGCTTTTCAATGATACCTTGTTTACATTTCCAGGGTCATGCATCACTGAGCGCCACTGTCATGAGATTTCGATGCAAAATTGCAGTTGGTTCACTTTCATGTCAAACACAATAGGCATGGTGTGCATGAGAATAAGTATTCAAGAAGAAGACACGAGTGCATAAAAAGAAAAAAACAAGTCGGGTTGGTTTCAGACATTTCCGTAACAATAGGCACACCGTGCCCAGTGGTTTTTATGCCCCGCGGCGAAGCCGAAGGGGCATACTGTTTCCGCCTTGTCCTTCCGTGGGTGGGTGTGTGGGTGGGTGAGCTTGTCTTACATACGCAGTGTGGACTTCCGAACAAAAGACGTCCACATAATGTAGGTAGCACCGACGTTGTGTGGACTTGCCCACGTCCACACAGTGTTTCCCCATTTCTGGAAAACAGGTTTAGAGGCATTTTTGGGTTAGGTTTATCTGTAGCAGAATGAAGAGAAACACTAAAGGGAATCATAGAAAAAAAATTGGGTTGAAAGAGTTTTCACAGTTTGAGAAAAATGATTTTTTTCACTGGTTTTTCTTAACTACACGAAAGCAATGGAAAGTCCACACTAGTCATGTGAAACAAGTATGAGCTTGTCTTACATACGCAGTGTGGACTTCCGAACAAAAGACGTCCACATAATGTAGGTAGCACCGACGTTGTGTGGACTTGCCCACGTCCACACAGTGTTTCCCCATTTCTGGAAAACAGGTTTAGAGGCATTTTTGGGTTAGGTTTATCTGTAGCAGAATGAAGAGAAACACTAAAGGGAATCATAGAAAAAAAATTGGGTTGAAAGAGTTTTTACAGTTTGAGAAAAATGAGTTTTTTCACTGGTTTTTCTTAACTACACGAAAGCAATGGAAAGTCCACACTAGTCATGTGAAACAAGTATGTGTGTGTGGGTGGGTGTGTGTTTGTGTCCGGATAAATCTTGTCAGCGCGATAACTTTAGAAATACTTAACATATGAACTTCAAATTTAGTTTGTGGATTGTTCTTGGTAATCCTAAGAAGCCTTTTGCATTTGGGGCCAAAAGGCCAAAGGTCAAGTTCACAGTGGCTAAAACAATAGAAATCTTGTCAGCGCGATAACTTGAAAAATACTTAACATATGAACTTCATATTTGGTTTGTGGATTGTTCTTGGTAATCCTAAGAAGCCTATTGAATTTGGGGCCAAAAGGTCAATGGTCAAGTTCACAGTGGCTAAAACAATAGAAATCATGTATTTATTCTGAGATTATAGGGATTAGGGATTAATTCATATAAAACCTACAGAAGACACTAATGCTGTCAATGAATGTTCCATGTGACCAAGGTACATGTAAGTTGATGTTAGAGTGGTGTTATGTCATGGGAACTGTCACGGTTGCGGGGCATTTGTGTTTGTAAACGCACCTGACTTGTTTTTGTTATGAAAGTGAACCAACTGCATTTTTGCATCTAATTTTCAAGACAATGATACTCAGTGATGCATGACTCAGAAAACCGAAACATGGTATCATTGAAAAGCATAGAGATTACGCTTTCAGATGGTACCAGTTTTATAGCCAGTAAACATATCGTCTGTCTATATTCACTCACAAATAATCATTTCACTCAGATTTCATATTGTTCTTGCCTATGGGTGACAATGGACCGATCCAGTAAGCCCCGCCCAGTGCGCACGTGGGCAAATTAACACGTGCTCCTCTCCAATGCCACACTGCATTTTCCTGCCGCGCCATACGCGCGCGTGCACGCATGTCGGACTTTTGTGCACGCATGTCGGACATAAATCACGGCTGTGATTGGTCAGAATACCATGGGGCAGTGCTTACTGGATCGGTCCATTGGGCCAGCGGTAGTGATCAGGCTTACTCAAAAGCCATCAGGAAGTCTTGTGGTTACAGCCTGGAGACCGATCCCAATGCAGCGTGCACACTGCATCCCAACGTGAAAAGACCAAGTGTGTTGGGCTGTAATGACTCTTGAAAAAAGATTCACGATCTTTTTATGCTTCTTTGTGAGTGATGAATGCAAAGTGTGTAGGAACACCACGTGGGAGTACATTTCTTAACCTAAAGGGAATGGTTCTGAAAAGAACCAGAGGTATAAAGACTTTATACCTCTGGTTCTTTTCAGAACCATTCTCTTTAGTTTGAGAAATTTATTCTCATATGGTGCTTCCGCAGACCTTTCATTCATTAGTATCTCCACCATGCAAAGCCTCAATTCTTTGTGACTATTTTGGCAGCATTTTCAGATAAACGGAGGTACCAGTACAGGCATTTTGAGTTACGGGGCACTAATGTACATGTTTTCTTATTCTCTTGACGGGAATGGAGCATTACTTCAATATTAACGTAGCCTGAATTTAAGGTTACTGTATGTCCAATATTGTTTGTTTCCTGTCTGTTTTTCTTTCTTTCCCAAAATTTCACATAGTTTTTAAATGATTGTCTAAAGGAGTGTTTTTCCAGATCTGATACACCTTGCCCTCTGGAGACATGCACACAATAGGGAACAAAATATTGTATACGTCTCCACAGGGCAATTTCTATAGATGAATACGTCTCCACAAGGTTTTCATGAAATTTATATATGGATTTTACTCAAAAACTAGGAATTTCCAAGGTGGGTTGATCTGTCGCAAATGGTAGAGTTTTAGAAAAGGGATATTAAGTCCGAAATTCAGCCAAAGAAATTAATTCTGGTTAAAATAAGAGCATTTTGAAACTGTACTTTAAAACTTGAAAACTTCAGTGCACGAGAACAAAGATTTGTCTCCACAAGGATACAAATTTCAGTATGTGTGTTCTCATACATAAACAATTGGAATAGTCTTTCAGGTTTTCTGTCGAGTAAACCAAAAAGCAGTTGTGAAGTTTTGCAATATTTATTGCAACCTAATTATAATTTCTGAAGGAACTGATTGCAGGGGTGTGAAATCTCAGCTTTAAAGCTGATTTCAGCTTTTTTGTGTGTTGGATTTCAGCTTTTTTCAGCTTTTTCCCTCACTTACTGTGTACAAAAGTATAGGAGATTTCCAAAGTTCAGCTTTTTTTTACACATTTTCCAACTGTTTTCAGCTATTTTTATCAGTGGTCACTCACACCCCTGTGATTGTTCTGGATGGCACCAAAAAGATTTTGTGAGATTCCCTGGCTGCACAGGCCGTGTTCTGCCCACATTCCTGCTTTGTAGTAATACAAAAGAGCGGTCATGATGCATTTAATATGAGATGGAAAAGGAAAGGCTTGGAACACTAGTCAACATTTTCTGTGAACTTCCCCTCAGAAACTGATGACCATGGACAGCTCCCCCATTATTGACTACTACCCATTGGACTTTGCCAGTGACCTCAATGGCAAGCTACAGCAGTGGGAGGCAGTTGTGCTCATTCCATTCATCGATGAGGTGAGTTTTTAAAATTCCCTTCCAAGATGTTTTTTTTTCAAGTCTCCAGGGGTCCATTTCAAGGAGTTGCTAATCACAGAAACTTTCTAAAGACACAAATTTATCTTCAATTAGAAAAACTCTGAATTCTCCAACTCCATAACAGGATCACAGATTAGCGTTTGTATCTAGATGGAATCTCCTCTCCCCATATTATCTTTGGGGCATAAAATCTGCTGTCACACTGTATATTAAACTAGGGATACCACTTTTCCGGCTTTAGCTGGAATTCCGACTTTTTCATCTTTTGGGAAAAAAGTCCAGCATTCAGTCCCTTCCCAGGCTGGAAAATACTAAATTTTTTAAATGGGTACGTTTTGTCATTTAGCGAATATGTTGCACGTTTGATTGTCACTCATGAGCCAGTGAGAAAATTGGTTTCGCGCTTTGTGCTATCAAAGTACTAGACTGGTACCGAGTGCACTCGATCAAACCTAAGTTTTCTACATGGATGTACAGAATCCATTTGTGCACTGCTGGTTATTGATAATTTAAAAGTTGAGTGTACCGGTTAGAGTCTAGGATAATTATACACGTGCTACTCTGTGATGATTGCCATGCCAGCGGTTACATAAATGTATGTATTGTACATGTGAATGGTATTACAATGTGAGTATGTATGCGCATTGCGATTGTGTGATTTTTTTCCAGCCCTGGAGCAAAAACCCACTGGCATCCAAGCTTAACCCTCACCACACCCCCCTTTCCCTCCCCCACCCTTCAAAATCAGTCAAGAGGTTTTGGAGGATTGTTAAAACTCCGTCTGAGGCAATTATTCCCTACTCAAAGGGTTTAGTCTGACATGATTTCTTTCATTTTTCAATTGTCTAGAAACGTCTGCTAGCTGCAATGGATGATGTCAGTAAGTACCTGACAGAGGAGGAACGTAGTCGCAATCGGCACGGACCTCACCTGATGCACATGTATGAGGAGACAATGAACTACAAATACCCATCCTCACTGCCTGGCCACTTCCCTGACATCAATGCATGTAGGGTCAGGTAAGACAGGGGACTAGACCTAATAGGGTGGAACTGCTGAACAAAAAAATATTTCTATAAAGCAAGTGTATGTACTGAGGAAAAAAAATCAGCTTAAAACGGTCACAAGGTGACACTCTTTAACCGACCTAGTGGGAAGTCAATATACATGATACACAGAGAAATATGTAAAATCCTTTAAAACCCTGCAGGTCAGTTTCAGGTGAAGGGATATGAAGTGTTGTTAAGTGACTAGCCTCTTCACACTAGAGCCTCTCAACCCAGGTTGAACTCAACCCTGGGTGAACCCAGTGCTGCCCGGGTTGAGTTTTTTATTTTTCAACCCTGCGTTCAACCCCGCATCGTTTCACACTTGTTTCATGCAAATCAAGCCTATCATGCTCAGTTACTACTGTTTTGAACCCTGGCAAGAATTTCAACCCAGGTTGAAAATCTCAACCCTGGTCTGGAGCAGGGTTGAGTTCAACCCAGGGCGAAATCAATCTCGGGTTGACACAGGGTAGACGCAGGGTTGAAATGCTTCAAGTGTGACACGATGCGTGTTTTCAACCCTTCGTCAACCCTGCGTCAACCCCGAGATTTGTCTAGTGTGAAAAGGGCTAGAAGAGAGAGTCACAGCACCAAAAACAGTACTGTGGAGAGCAGTGAAGTGTGACTGAATCTGCCTGCTTGCCCTGAGCTTAACCACACCAAAGAATTGTGCAGGGATTTGAAGTGTTATACATACCCCACAGAAGATTACCTGGAAAGAATTTTGAAGTCTGGGTGCTAGCTCTTTCGGAAAAAAAGTGGTTTGGCAAAACTTTAAGGGTTGTGAAGTGCAGAAGCCTAGGAGGTGAATAAAAAACCCCACTTATTTGACTGACATCTCCCTGATGCAAATGCCATCATCCAACAAACTTCTCCCAGTTAATATAAAGAATCAGGTGGTTATGATCATAACATCAGCTCTGTTCTTTCTTGCAGGTGCCAGGAATTAGACAAGGGTATATTTCATCTGGATCCCAGGCAGCTGAGACAAGGTCTATGTGCAGGCACTAAGACCGGTGTCTACTTCCCTGGCTTCCCCACGCTGCATCATCTCAAATTCACTGTACGTATTACAAGCCCCTTAACCCTAAACAACACAGGGCATGTGGTGTATAAGTCTGCGGGACCTTGCTTTATTGAGCCATCAACACCAGCGCATAAACGGCCAATTGTGGAGTTATAACACCTCACCTACAGATTCTGTATCTTGATTGGCCGAGAGCGAGTCACATGGCATTCGGTATTTTTGCTATCTTGCTGTGCACAGCCAAAAGTACTATACCCATAGCAACCAAAGTACTATACCCGTAGCAACCAGAGTACTATGCATAAGAACCAGTAGTGTGTGAAGGGGTAGTTTGGAAAGTGCAAGTAAATTGTTTTATTGTATTTAGATTAAATTAATCAGTTATCGCCTAAAATCAAGCAGAATCTGTGGGAGAGGTGTTATAAAACACATATTGACTGCTTTATGGATCACCTCGGGAGGCTTGTTTTACTACACCACTCAAAGCAGTCAATATTGTATACTAGTCTCATACAATAGTTGTATCCTGCTGCAGTTGGTAACCACAGACTGTGAGGCAGTTTAGCCTTGAGATTTTTGACATGATGGACTTGCTACACTTGACAGGTTTGTCATTTTGACAAGTGTTGCATGCTGCTGCATTCAGCAGGGTTTCTAGGTAAACTAAATAGGGTTACAAAGTTACTAGGCAACAGTGCTAATAGCTCTAAAATGGAACTTGACAAAAGTATTTGATGTCAAAATAAGGAATAAGAAATAACGCATTTGCAGTTTACTGACACATTTTTATCTTGATTTCTTTTTTGATGTCAGACCCAGCTCAGAAAGGACGATATAAAAATCTTCCAGCAAAACAGCCGAGGAGAGAGCATCATTCTCAGCATTCAGACTGACAATGCTGATGTGGTAGGGGCCTTATTTGCTTCTTCTGTTTAGTTTGATTTTGGGAGGGAAATTAGAATCCTAATATATGAAAATTGCAAGAGGAAGGAATGTAGCCTGTGACTTACATAAAATAATGTAAGCAGTTTTGACATTAAACTGATCGGAAAGACTTGATGAAAAAAAGATGGTTGTAGCCAGTGAATTGTTTGGAAAACCCAACTATTTTGAATGTAATAATGAATGCACCTAGGTATATGCAGTGCTGTAGTTGAGTACATTTTCATGAATCATTACAAGTTTGAATACTTTGCCATGAGTCTGAGTAGAAAGAACCTTGCCATGAGTACGGGTACCAGCAGGCGTACACGCATTCACTGCATATATTTAAGTGTGAGTACGAGTACATTACGAGTACATGTATGAGTACGGGTACATTTTGAGAGTAAGAGTATGAGTTCTGTCCGTGAGAGCAAGCTCATTTCAATGGGCACACATGTTCCTGAGGACTTTTTTTCTGTCCAGGGAGGCATTAAACTTGTGAATAAAGCCTACCAATGATAGAAAATGTGTACGAGTGTGAAAAAGTGTACTTGTTTAGGAGGTTGGTGAAGCAGCCAATATATTTTGTAATAACTGACTACATATGATGTACACAATCGATACATTTGTATGCAAGGGCGGATCCAGAACACAATTTTTTTGGGGGGGGGGCATAAAAATTGTTGGTCCCCCAAAAAGTGGGTCCAAAATAGATGTTGCCATTGAACTATTATGAAGAGACCAGACTGCATGCAATTTACATAATTTATGCATCGTTATGGTAATTTCAGGAGGCCGGGGATGTGGCCAATGAAGTATTTGGTAAGAACTGCTTTGCTGAATGGCCACATCTGAAGGAAGTCAAAGTTGTTGCCGTAGCAGATGACACAACCAGGTAATAGAAATAACTCTGTTGAAAAGAATGTCACCAAAAAGGTAAAAGTGCACAATTAAGTACAGTATGATCTCAGCATGTGATGTACAGCATGTGATCAGAAAAATTGCGAAAAATACACAAAGATGACCCGTCTGCTGAGTGGCAATTGTCTGCGAAGCAGGTGGCTCTACAGCTGCTGAGCAGGCAACAATGTATTGAGTAAATTATAGTGAACGAAATTTTATAGCACACTGCCATATTTTGATTGATTACAGCAAAACATGTTTCGTATACTAAATACCGTAAATAAAATTTTGGACAACAAAAAAATGTGCTCAAATTGCTTACTGATAAATCCTTTATGATTTCAACTGCATACAACGTGCTTCAGACACTGTGTGTTTCATACTCAACATGCTTCATACTCTGTGTATACACAACTATACTCTACTGTGTGCATATATATACACAAGTTCTGAATGTGTACAAACCCACATGGGCCTCATTCACGAGTTGGCCATATTGAATTGAAAGTTGGGTAAAATCTTAATTTTTGGAACTTGCGAAGAGAAAGTTAATTTATAATAAATTCCAGTCTGCTTCAATGAATAATTTTATAATTTGTAATTAAACATTCCCTAATGTTAAAAGCTATATTTAGAAAAAAAATGACAGTAAAATAAGGCTGCATTGTGCCTCCATAAATAGTCTTTGCCATCCCCTTCAACAGTTAACAATTAATGACATACATTCGGGGAACTCGACAAAAAGGCCAACTCGTGAATAAGGCCCATTGTCTTATAGTGGGTAGCAGGCATAGCAACAATGCGTTCAAGAATGCCCCCCCATCTGTCTCTATGTCAGATTGAGGAGGTACTTGTGCAATGAGTCCGTTAAAGAACATATATGACAGTAACTGTATTGCCAGGTTGCCAAAGTTGGAGAGATTAATTCAGTCTATGTGACCTTTGACCCAGGTATGAGCTGGTTGAGAGCAAGCAGAAGAGCCCTGAAGAGGCGGAGAAGCCAAGCGTCAAGAAACGTGACATGTCTGATTTTGATGCTGCTGTCTGGGTCAAAGATATCAAGGCAATTCAGGAAAGGTAGAAAACACTTTTTACGTTTCTAGTTCTCTTGTTTATTCAAGTGTTTGTGTAGTTTTTTTTATTAGCTTAGTAGCATTGTAAACTAAAAGGATAAAAACGGCCTCTGAAATTTTATTTAAGAAAGTATCAGACCTGACAATGAAAGGGATATGAAAGGTTATATGCACACAGTAAATGATAGTACAGTGGAACGTGGCTATACCGATCACTGCTATACTGAACATCCTCCTTGGCTTTTTTGGTACAAAATGTACCGAACATTGTTGTTGAAAAATGTCAACGGAAGAGTGACTAGTGGCTGTTATTTCCCCAAGGAATAGCAGGGAAACATTGCTGTTGGTAGTAAGCTCAAAAACTGAGTAATTACATGATTCAATAGTCGGCATGTGTTCAAAGTCGTCTTTCAGTAACTACCAGGGCGTGCAGGGTGAAGTTCTGCAGGGCGCTATTTATTGAAAAGTGAGTACTGGAGCACCAGCAGCTTAAAATCGCTATACCGAACGATCACTTTTATGAACAATTTCTGTGGATCCCCTGATGTTCGTTATAGTGGCGTTCCACTGTATGCAAACACTTATGAGAGTTCCGTGTCCACACACTACATGTGTTTTGATTCACGCACCTGTAGTGCAAAGTATTTGCGACTAATTTTCATCAGATTGTGCATAACGTCTTTGCTTTAGGCATATGACGGCAGTGTGTCTGCCCAGTTTTGTCTGTCTTTGTTATGCTAAAGAGATGTAAATGTGTATTCAGGTCAAAATCAGGAAAAGGAGTTGAACGTGCATTCAGGAAATTACATAAAAAAAAAAAAAAACAATTGAAAACTTTGGTATAAATCTAAAAGAGATACTTGCAGTCTGAATTGATTTTGAACAAAGCAAACCATACATCACAGTTACATGTACATCCCAATTGGTTGATTCAATCGACAAGGGTTTTCTGGCCTACTTTTCAGGCTTTTTGTGGTTACAGTTGTCAGCAGGGAAAAATGTTCAAATTTTTTTTTTGAAAACTGTTGCTGTCAGTTTATGTGCAGTGAGGTTTGAGAATTTTCAAGGAATTGATTGGTGGGTCATTTGAATATTTTGTCTGATATTGTTTCTCACATAGGTACCACAAGAGGAAAGGAGTGATGATCGGGCCGTCCTATGTCTTGATCTATGCTTGTCCCTTAATGGGAAGACGGTAAGAATTAATAGCCATCAAATCCTGACATCTCATCACATTTGAAGGTGCTCATCTTTGACTCTTTGACATGTGTCAAATTGTTATTTTTCTAGAAATAAGCCAGCTGTAAAATTATTCTTCTCATCGTGTCCACTCCACAACAAGCTAAATTTGATTAAGCCAAAGCTGAACGCATTTCTCCACATCTTTATTGTACATTGCAAGGTCAGCAGCTGTGCAAGGATCTTGTAGTAGAGGGCATCTCTAAGGGTAGTTTGTGGCTCTACGCCACAATCACACATGGTGTCATTGCAGGAACTATATCTCCACTTGTTGAGTGTCACCTTGGCAACTCCAGTTCTTAGTCGGTTGAGGCATTTCCACTTTGCAAAGCTTCGTCTGCACCAGGTGGTAGTTGTTCTCTAGCCATCAGTTCCATAGTTGCCTCACTTGTAGTGTCAGGCTCATTAGGAATCACGGCTATTCCTTGACTTCAGGCGACTCTGAACTGTAAAATAACTCCATTGGAGTGAGGATTTTGTTGTCTCTTTACGCACAAGGAAACTCTTTTGGTGTCAGTAAAATTATGCTGGTTTTTAATAACAAGAATGGTGGAGTTGTGCATCCTCGCTCTCAGGCATTGAATCCCAATATTGCGACTTGATTGTTTCCAAATTGTGTGTAAGACCTTTCTAGTGAAGTGTCGTTAAAATGGAAGGCTTAGCTTTTCCGAGTCACAAGTCGTCTCTTCTTGCTGAAAGTTTTTACTTTAACAAATTTCTGAATTTAATGGGTTTTTGGTAACAACACAAATGCTGCCAATTACCTTTTCCCCCAGTGGACTTCCTCTCCATTTTCATTTTGCCAAAACTTGGTTGTGGGCTGTTCTCAATCATCATTCATATTGATCAATGCTTTGAGTGCTTATTCAGATGAGATAGTAATATTCACTTTTTTCAGCAGTATATTGCTTGCATGTAATTTTTGGTAGGTATGTGAGTGGACATAGTGGAGTGGTGACGTTAGAGAAGCAATGGTCAAGTACTCCAGTCACCTACGCATACCAGATGATGGTCAAGGTAAGACTACCACAAACTGATCTCTATATAAAGACTGCATAGCGGATATCCACACACCAGTCACACAGTAGACTTTGCATATTGACCAATTCGCACACGCTGTATCAAGAGTTGATGCGCATTTTGGTCACGTACACGTATGATGATGTTCTAAAAAGAACACATTTCCGTAGTGATTATTATTTCCAAAACGCCTAAAAAGTGAACTGCGGCATTAAAAAAAGTAAACCACGACGTTAGAAAAATTGTAAACCATGGTCAGTGGTGGTGGTCAAAATATAAGTCAGAGAATCGCGATGTTACAAACGTAATCATGCTGTCTATAAAGACGGCAACTTGTCCTTCGTAGGTCACCAGCCGGTCTCACCAAAATGACGTCAAATTCATTCATTGTGCGGCTCTTTATCTGCTATTCAGCAGGGGTGTGATTTTTCCGGATTTCTGGATTTTTAGTCTAACGTCTGCGGAATTTTATGCGGATTCCGGATTTCCAACGTTTTCTGTTTCCGTAATATCCCCCAAAACTTCTGGCAAAATATAGGCCATAATTTACGATAATGGATTGACTGGTGACACAAGTCTAATAAGCAGTGTGGTCAAGAACCTGATAGACATCAATGCAGTGTGCGCAGTGGAGCACTTGAGGACCAGACTAAAAATCATTTTCAATCGGTTTGCACCTCGTGTTTGTATATCGCGTGTGGATGTGTGTGTATTGTGAATGTATTGTGCAGTGACGATCGTGAGCTAGCAATTCGCAATCACATTGGTGTCAATATTGCCGCGATTTTGTCAAGGAATTTAAGAGTATGGTGGGAAGAACTGGTAATAAAGTGTCACTGTGGATGGAAATCAGTTTGAGCTGCAGTAGTGCTTTGAAAAATAGCCACCACCAACACAAAATTTCAAAAATGTTTTGGAAGCCTGGGACTGGAGTTTAAAGTAAGATTACTATAAACTTTTTAAGCACCGTTCATATTTTTTGTGTGAATCGTTTCTTTTTCTCTGCAAACACGCAAAAGTAATAACATCACACATAGGAAAGACATTATTGAATCAATCACGTATGGATTATATTATTTAATGACCAGACATTTTTTCCTAATTTTTCCCCCATTTATGTTCTTTACTGAAGCGACAAAATTTGCAAACATTACAGAAATTATACAGTACATAAAATGTACATACCCTATATATGGACATACAGTACGTGCATGTATACATGTACATCTATACAAGTACATGTACAATAATACATGTACATGTACAATATATACATGTACATGTACATGTATACATGTCAACCGAAGTTCGTGGATTTTTCATTTTTGTCCAATCACACCCCTGATTCAGTCTTTTTATAGAGATCAGTGCTACCATACCCTCCCTCTAACTCACTAGCAACCTATATCACCTGACCTATAGATTCTGTCTCTTGATTGGCTAAGGACACACTGTGTGCTATTTGTTTATTGAACCTCATACATGTACGTATTCACAAGGAAGCATGGTTCTTTCATTGGCTCATGTTTCCAAAACATCAGGGAAGTTTAAAGGGCATTATGGCATGAAATCCCAGAAAAACGTATGTTTTAGATTGTTAACATATCCTATTTCAAAGGTAACTAACCTAATGTCGTACCGTTCCCGAGACAAGAGAAAAAAAAGTGGTGGTTTAAATTGGGCGCGGCAGACATTTTGTGGCATGCGCATACTTATTTCCAGCCATTTCTATCCAATGTACGCCATTCATTATGTTATTTATATCGGGCTGACTGCATCCTCAAATTACATCGAATATTTTTTGCTTACCGAAGCAAATTTTGCGCCACTGGAAGCTGCCAGCATGGTTGTTGACAACAGCTGTGAGTTTCTGTGTCCTTGATTGTGTGGGAACCGGCGAAATTTGTTATAATGCCCGTATGAGGATAGTTTCCGGGTACTTTTACTGACGAAATATTGCAGTCATCCAGGTGCTTTTATGAAAGCATAAAATACGCTGATTTATTTTCTTTTAATGGAAGCTTGATATAAATAATAATGAACAATGTTTCATCTCGCACCAATCCTTACAGGATATAGCTGTACATGACTCCACCTTCAAACAATTCAAGACACTGGAGGAGGTCTTTCCGAAGGACTCGCATTGCTTCATGCTGGGGGCACCTAACTATGGCTGTCAGGGTAGCGTTGTGGACATAGAGGCAGGCAGGATTCGTGTCTTGCTGTCATGTCCCGTGGAGCCCAACCTCAACCAACTCAGGAATTCTCAGAGTGTAAGTAACCAGTACCCTTGCAGTGGTCTGAGTATCACCCGTTATCCACGGAGCCAAGTCCTGCATAAGTAACGTATGATATGTCTAGTCATGCAGATATATGCAAGCCATGCGCCAGCCAATCGGAGCCGACTTTACTAAATCATGACGTCTTTCATTCATAAATCAGGACTAAATGGTTTGATTGGTCAATTTAGATGCAGTGTTTTGTAATACAACAGCCAGGCGCATATCGCGTACCATGATACAGAGCGTGTGACACAGTTTTTTTTATCCATTGTCTATGACGCGCAGTGGGTGAATGATCGAAGACCCGATATAGAAAGCGCCTGCTGATTGGTCAAAATCTAGGAGGTCAAGAGGCAGGGTCTTGCCTAATTAATCAGCAAATCTGCTCACATATTTCATAGACTACTCTTGCAGAGGCTAAGGGTAAATTTCATTGTCGAATATTGTGTTTACCGGAGAGGTGTTTTCCTCTGAGGTTTAAGTGTGCCTTTTTATGGGCTCACAGCTTTGTTCGCTGTGAAGTAGACAGAGGCTCTGTTGGCAGACAATCATTCGCTAGCCAGCACTTTGAAATTGGCACCTGTAGTTAACATGTGACTAGTGACTACGATTGCAAAGTACTGTAGTTTTGAGAAATGTAGTTTTAGTACATGCATCTGGAGTGCTGTGGCCCCGTGGTCTGGAGCATGTGATCTGCAGGTAATTCTGCAGGTTGTGGGTTCAAGTCCAGCCTGGGGTCATGGTGCGTGTGCCCTTTGGCAAGGCACTTTTGTCACTCGTTGCTTCTCTCCACCCAGGAGTAAATGGTTACCTGTGAGGGCAAAGATGGGTATTGTGATTGATTTCAGCTACTTTGTGCAGGAATGGCAGCATCAAGCTGTATACCCTCCAGGGATCTGAGATTGTCTTTGGAATGTTTCGTTGGCCCAATGTGTAGGGTAATAATGATGAAGTGCTTTAATACACATTATTATCTGTCCTAAGGTAATGGGGGTACAGTCAAGCATCATTAAACAATAACAGTCTGCAATGTTGTTACATTTTCACTAAGTATTGACCATTTTAAGATCATGAACTAGGAATGTTGGGCTCTCGCAGTCTTTACTTTGGGATTTGGATCATATTGATTACATGTAGGTCATTCCTGAATGCGTGGCTAGAATGAACTCCGACAGCTGTTTAATTTTACTTTTCACCTATAATCAGGAATCCAGGGGCCGTTCCTTGGACTGATATGTCCTCCAAACGAGGACACACATTTGTAATTTGACCATGTGAATTAGACCCTGTGAATTAGACCCTGTTTTGTCTTCTCCTCTATCTTTGCTCAGCACTATGAAGTCCAGTACCTGCCTTCTTACATCCTTGCCCAACGTCTTAGCCTGCCATCACTCATCATCTCACGGTTAACTGGCAGCATCTTTGTCGGCAGAGGATCCAAACATAGGTGAGTCTCAGCGCAGAGCAAGACCTAGCCCGTGATGGTTCCACTAGTAGCAGCCTTGACTGCACAGCCTAATGTCCGACAAAAATTTGACATGGGTGCAATTATGCATGACACATGGAGTAAGGCATTGGGGAGAGGCACATGTTAATGCCCACATGTGAAAGTAGGCAGAGTTACTGGCCAGATCCCAATGGTACATTATGTGCCAGCAGGCGCGGATCCAGAGGGGGGGTTTTGGGGGTCCAACCCCCCCCTCAGCTCTGTCAAATTTTGTTTTTCCCATACAAATTCCAAAAAAATAAGTCGAACCCCCCCCCCCCCCCCCCCCTGCTGTGACACCCCAAAAAAGTTATACTGGTATAATGTTTGCCTGTTCAAAATACGGTACACCATTCTGTAATCTAGTGTTAATAATCATCGAATTTGAACAGCGCCCCCTATTGAAATATGTTACCAGGCCCCCCCCCCGTTTTTGATTTTACGGAGGCCAAGTGTCCGGAGAAAAAAACCTGTGTACATTTTCAGAATTTTTTGCTGATGAACCCCCCCCCCCCCCTGCGAAAAATCTTGATTACATCCTTGCTGATTAGGGAAGAATCCAAAATGAAACAAGTGGTCACTTGAGGTTGAACCTGGAGGTACCCTGTAAAACCTTGTAAAACCTCAAGGTAAATTTAACTTCCGCCTGTCAGGGATGTATTCGAGTCCATCACCAGTCCTCTCGTCCCAATTCAACTCACAAGCTATTTAAATGAGCTTTTGACAAAGGCATTCCTTTGTTATTGTTCATCCACTGTTACTTGTGCCTGGACTCGCGACTGGACTTCTGATTTACTTGTGACTGGACTTGTGATGGACATGTGATAGACTCGACCACATCCCTACCGCCTGTTTAATATTGCATTCTCTCCTTACCTTGTTCCATCCTGACTGATGTTGCGTTTTAGTTCCTCTGTGGCTCCGTCCAATAACTTCAACATCGGCCTGAATCTGAAATTCAACAAGTCCAACCAAGAGATCCAAGGCTACTCCAAGAAGGATGAGACGGGCACCTGGCTGTACTCCATCAAGGTCCTGGAGGTCATCAAAGACTACATGGAAAAGTAAGTCAGGAAGCGAAAATGTGACCAACTCTGTGAAAAGTGTGTTGCTTCGCACAACTAACCTTAGCAGCGCCATGTTTGTAAACTTACAAACCACCAAATCTGTTTTTGTTTTTGAATTACTCGTTCAGGGAGGTGTTTTCTTTTAACCTCTTAACGTAGGTAAACCCTAACCGCCCTGAAGCCTTCAAAATCAAAATGCCAAAGTGGAGGAATTTGGAGGATTGAGGTTACATGGCAAAAGTGCTTTACTGGTTTTGTAGGATGCACTTTGTCAAGGTCTTGGGCCTGACCTTGTGTTGTTTTTGCTCAGCCATGCATAATTATAGGCCTGGATTATGCTTGAAATCCTCCGTATTGCTCCAGGATGTCACCGGCCAAGCCTCACCATATTGACAGTCACTGCCGCAGGATTTTGCAGGATTCAGGCAGTGGTCACCCCTTCACGGACCATATTCAAGAAATAATGGAGGAATTTGCAGGATTGAGGCCATATGCTATTTTTCCATGAGGCCAATTGGAGGATTTGGCAGGATTAAGGCTGCATCCTAGCAAAAATGCCTAGGGAGTTAGGGTTAATGACGATATCGAAGGTCTCTCATAAAATTGAAGGAAAAGTTAGCGTCTTAGTTTTCTTCTGAAAGCCACTTCAGATAATATATCTCCTGACATTTCCATAATTATCTTATTTACTTGATATTGTTCTGATTTCTTATATCACAGAGGGTGAAAGTTTGGTCAGAGATCAGACATTTTTCTGACAATAGGTTGTTTAAGTCTCACCAGTCCATGTTCACTTTCTAGTCACAGACTCCCAATTTGCCCAATTGTCATCTGCGTGATCGATTGAACGGAAGTTGAGGTCAACAATTTTAATTTTATGATAGTCATCGATTTGCAATATTTTCATTATGTTGTAAATTGTAATGCTTTCTTTTCTTTGAAAATACCCATTTATTGCCCTCGATCATGTTGATTGGATGGGCCCAGTCAGGACACTAAATAAATGCAAAAAATAGGATGTTACACATGTTGTAGATCCTATACATGGTGCCCGGGTGTGCTGTATTCTTGTAAAATCTCACAGGTTATTTAGATCAACTCGCATGCTCTGTTAACCATATTTGTCCAAACAAAAACCAGATGTGCTCAGTCGAATATTGTAATGTGAGTGCATCTACATGTAAGTTTAGTGAAGAAATTCCACACTTGGCATGTGACAGCTTAAAATAATTGTGGTACTTCATTTGTTACAGCAGGTTTGATGACTCATTTCAACCTCTGTGTCGGGTCCTGTTAATTTGTTTCCTTAAAATAATTTCATTCGATCCCACTCCAGTCATCTTTTGTATCTTTAATGCAACACTTATTACCTAATTGCTGCCAGATTTCCTGAAGTATTCCGTCACATTGGCCAGAATCCACGTACCGACACTTACTTTGAAGATAACTTGTTTGAAGGCAAAGCCGGCCGGATGAAACAGCTGCAAGACTTCATCAAGGCTTTGCCGTGCGCCAAGGTCTCCAAGGTAGATGTGGGCTTGAAGAACCTGGACGAACCAATCATCAAGCTGATAGAGGCAGAGGTTCAGAAGGTGCGTAGAATTTGAAACGTAATGGAATAGATGGTAATGTGGAGCTTTTTACATAAGTCTCAAAGTGCTTTGCAAGCATAGCCCTGTTCATCAGATGTTGAGACCAGTTTTCTTCAGCAGCTTGAGATCAGGGCAGTCTGGTCTCTACCCTCACAAGTACCCATTAATATATTCCTGGGTGGAGTGAGACCATTGTAGTGAAGTGTCTTGCCCAAGAACACAAGCATAATGTTACCATCAGGGCTTGAGCCCAAGTATCATCGGACAGTATTGGCTCAAAATATTCGATTTGCAGATGGCGCCATATGAATATCAATCTCCAACATTTTTGTTGTTGTTTATCTAGCTCCTGTCTGCACAGCATCATTGTTATAAGCACATTGAACTCGTCCTGTTCAAATTTTTGTAAGTTCTGAGTTTTTAACCCATGGTCCTTTCATTTCATCTCTGCTCAGGTTGCAGGACTGAAAGTCAAAAAGCAGAAGTTGTCTGTAAGACCACACCTTCTCTACAAGGTAAGCTGCTTTTATTAAAAAACAGGAATAAAAAAAAAATGAATTGTTTGGAACTTTGTGAATAATTACTACCTCAGTGGAAAGAATGCAGAACAGGAGTATTATTGACAGACATCAAAGGGCACAGTCTGCCCACGCTGAAATGCATTCCTCTCAACTTCAGGTTTATTCACACTCAGTTGAATTGTGTTTGCGCGCCATTCGCACCTGCAAATTAGAGGGCACAAGTACATTTTCGTACTGTTGTTCTTGTCATATAAGACTCAAAATTTAGTAACCTCACTGTTTAGTAGTTGGCCACTTAGGCGCCAATTTGACAAATCTTTTCAATATATCCATCATCAAGAACCTCACTGGAACAGATTTTCCTGGGAAGGATACACCTAAGGCGTGCTAAAAAGCATCAGTGATGTAGTCTAATCCTTTTCTGAGTGCCCAAAGCACCAAGGCCGTGTTGAGTGAAAACTTGGAATCATGAATGTTTAGACTCACAACCGACATCAATCAATCAATCATGGAACGGCGACTCTCACAGTCATCTATGTACCGCTGTGTTGAGGTAGAGCCACCGTTGTAGATAGCAGAGTGCCAATGGGAACGGTTGCTGGCAGTTGACTCCCCCAAGTAGTGTTTGGTATCCCAAAAGCGGTGAGATCGCTTTTCAGGACATCTTTGTATCACAGTCTGGGTCGGCCACATGGGATTCGGCCGTCGACCTGCCTATGCACGTGACCAGCCCACCCAATAGGACTCAGACTTCAGTCTGAGTTCTCCTGCAAAAGTCTGGACTTTTCTACATAACTTTTTTTCCCCAATACTCAGATTGCTACCTGTAACCAAACAGCCCAAATACTAAGCCTAGCATGTCAGATTTCATGCCTTTATTTCAGATTTTTTTTTAGATTCTAAATGGACTAAATTACAACAAAGATAAAAATGTGCTTTCTTGTTTTTATTTTCTTCAGCCTCTCCATTATCTTGGCAACTTGATTCCAGACCCACAGGTGGAACATGAGTTGTTTGATCGAGTCGTTAATGTCCGGGAGGGCTACACTGTGCCTCTAGGCCTGCATGGGGTAATCATTGGAATACAGCCAGGTAGGAACATGAGTTGTTTGATCGAGTCATTAATGTCAGGGAGGGCTACACTGTGCCTCTAGGCCTGTGTGGGGTTATCATTGGAATACAGCCAGGTAGGAACATGAGTTGTTTGATCGAGTCGTTAATGTCCGGGAGGGCTACACTGTGCCTCTAGGCCTGTGTGGGGTTATCATTGGAATACAGCCAGGTAGGAACATGAGTTGTTTGATTGAGTCATTAATGTCAGGGAGGGCTACACTGTGCCTCTAGGCCTGTGTGGGGTTATCATTGGAATACAGCCAGGTAGGAACATGAGTTGTTTGATCGAGTCATTAATGTCAGGGAGGGCTACACTGTGCCTCTAGGCCTGTGTGGGGTTATCATTGGAATACAGCCAGGTAGGAACATGAGTTGTTTGATCGAGTCGTTAATGTCAGGGAGGGCTACACTGTGCCTCTAGGCCTGTGTGGGGTTATCATTGGAATACAGCCAGGTAGGAACATGAGTTGTTTGATCGAGTCATTAATGTCAGGGAGGGCTACACTGTGCCTCTAGGCCTGTGTGGGGTTATCGTTGGAATACAGCAAGGTAGAAACATGAGTTGTTTGATTGAGTCGTTAATGTCCGGGAGGGCTACACTGTGCCTCTAGGCCTGTGTGGGGTTATCATTGGAATACAGCCAGGTAGGAACATGAGTTGTTTGATTGAGTCATTAATGTCAGGGAGGGCTACACTGTGCCTCTAGGCCTGCGTGGGGTTATCGTTGGAATACAGCCATATAGGGACATGAGTTGTTTGATCGAGTCATTAATGTCAGGGAGGGCTACACTGTGCCTCTAGGCCTGCGTGGGGTTATCATTGGAATACAGCCAGGTAGGAACATGAGTTGTTTGATCGAGTCGTTAATGTCAGGGAGGGCTACACTGTGCCTCTAGGCCTGTGTGGGGTTATCATTGGAATACAGCCAGGTAGGAACATGAGTTGTTTGATCGAGTCGTTAATGTCAGGGAGGGCTACACTGTGCCTCTAGGCCTGTGTGGGGTTATCATTGGAATACAGCCAGGTAGGAACATGAGTTGTTTGATCGAGTCATTAATGTCAGGGAGGGCTACACTGTGCCTCTAGGCCTGTGTGGGGTTATCATTGGAATACAGCCATATAGGGACATGAGTTGTTTGATCGAGTCATTAATGTCAGTGAGGGCTACACTGTGCCTCTAGGCCTGTGTGGGGTTATCATTGGAATACAGCCAGGTAGGAACATGAGTTGTTTGATCGAGTCATTAATGTCAGGGAGGGCTACACTGTGCCTCTAGGCCTGTGTGGGGTTATCGTTGGAATACAGCAAGGTAGAAACATGAGTTGTTTGATTGAGTCGTTAATGTCCGGGAGGGCTACACTGTGCCTCTAGGCCTGCGTGGGGTTATCATTGGAATACAGCCAGGTAGGAACATGAGTTGTTTGATCAAGTCGTTAATGTCAGGGAGGGCTACACTGTGCCTCTAGGCCTGTGTGGGGTTATCATTGGAATACAGCCAGGTAGGAACATGAGTTGTTTGATTGAGTCGTTAATGTCAGGGAGGGCTACACTGTGCCTCTAGGCCTGTGTGGGGTTATCATTGGAATACAGCCAGGTAGGAACATGAGTTGTTTGATCGAGTCGTTAATGTCCGGGAGGGCTACACTGTGCCTCTAGGCCTGTGTGGGGTTATCATTGGAATACAGCCAGGTAGGAACATGAGTTGTTTGATCGAGTCATTAACCCTAACGGAACACAACCCATCAAAGTTCAACAGCAGGTTTTGTTTAAATCTGTTGGGATAGGTACAGTGCCCCTTAACTGATGGTCTTTTACACTGGGGTTGGCATACCTCCAGAAACTAAGTCCAACAGTGTGTGTGTACAATTTCCCATGTGGGTGTTGGGATTTGCCTGAATGGGTATGGTTCCTTGTAAATTAGGCTGGGGAGTTAGGGTTAATGTCAGGGAGGGCTACACTGTGCCTCTAGGCCTGCGTGGGGTTATCATTGGAATACAGCCAGGTAGGAACATGAGTTGTTTGATCGAGTCATTAATGTCAGGGAGGGCTACACTGTGCCTCTAGGCCTGTGTGGGGTTATCATTGGAATACAGCCATATAGGGACATGAGTTGTTTGATCGAGTCGTTAATGTCAGGGAGGGCTACACTGTGCCTCTAGGCCTGTGTGGGGTTATCATTGGAATACAGCCAGGTAGGAACATGAGTTGTTTGATTGAGTCATTAATGTCAGGGAGGGCTACACTGTGCCTCTAGGCCTGTGTGGGGTTATCATTGGAATACAGCCAGGTAGGAACATGAGTTGTTTGATCGAGTCATTAATGTCAGGGAGGGCTACACTGTGCCTCTAGGCCTGTGTGGGGTTATCATTGGAATACAGCCAGGTAGGAACATGAGTTGTTTGATTGAGTCATTAATGTCAGGGAGGGCTACACTGTGCCTCTAGGCCTGTGTGGGGTTATCATTGGAATACAGCCAGGTAGGAACATGAGTTGTTTGATCGAGTCATTAATGTCAGGGAGGGCTACACTGTGCCTCTAGGCCTGTGATGGGTTATCATTGGAATACAGCCAGGTAGGAACATGAGTTGTTTGATCGAGTCATTAATGTCAGGGAGGCTACACTGTGCCTCTAGGCCTGCGTGGGGTTATCGTTGGAATACAGCCATATAGGGACATGAGTTGTTTGATCGAGTCATTAATGTCAGGGAGGGCTACACTGTGCCTCTAGGCCTGCGTGGGGTTATCATTGGAATACAGCCAGGTAGGAACATGAGTTGTTTGATCGAGTCGTTAATGTCCGGGAGGGCTACACTGTGCCTCTAGGCCTGTGTGGGGTTATCATTGGAATACAGCCAGGTAGGAACATGAGTTGTTTGATTGAGTCATTAATGTCAGGGAGGGCTACACTGTGCCTCTAGGCCTGTGTGGGGTTATCATTGGAATACAGCCAGGTAGGAACATGAGTTGTTTGATCGAGTCATTAATGTCAGGGAGGGCTACACTGTGCCTCTAGGCCTGTGTGGGGTTATCATTGGATCGAGTCATTAATGTTTGTCTCTTCTCTTGATTACCTCCTCATAGGTGAAACCATACTTGACTTCATGTATGAAGTTGTCTTTGACGAGGAGTTCCCTGGTGGCCTGGTAATTCGCTGTACTGGTACCCGGGGCTACCGTTTACCAACCACAGCCATCATCAATATATCGTACGGTTTGCGCAAAGAACAGGGCCAGCAGCAGAGCAATAAGCCCATGGCTGTTGTCAAACCACAGGTAAGATTATATATTTCACCTTCTTACAGAAAGGATATGGTTCTGCCCGCCACCTTTAACCTAGGCTGTTCAGTTGCGTACTGATATTGTGTCTGCATGTAATACTACAATTGTTAGCACATTGGCAAAGTTGTTGTCCAATCAGACAAGAGTTTAGGTAATTATTGTCAGTAATAATCCACTCTATCTTCCATGAATGAGCTAATGTTTGTGAGCATGGTCTTTGAAAAAAAGGTAACATTTGAAAGCACCCTACATCAGAATTGTCATCTTTTGTGAGAAAAGTATGTCTGAATTCACAAAATTGGTGTAAGAGCATTCATACATTCATGCCTCACGTCAAGAATATAGAGAAAAGCAACAAAGAAAAACAACGTTTGGACGGTTTGGGAGAAACAAAAGAAACTGTTGTGATACTTCTGTTCTATTGAGATAATGAGATAATGCTTCTGTTCACCGATGTGTCCTGTTTGTACTCGATCACAGGCTTTCCAACAACCCAACGCCCAAACACAGAGCCGTGGCTGGTACTCGGACACAATCGGTAGGCTGGGTGCTTCACAGCAGCAATCAAGCCAGCGGCAGCAGCAGCAGCAGCAGCAGCAGCAGCAGCAGCAGCAGCAGCTGCAGCAGCAGCAGCAGCGTCAGCCGCAAGCACAGGTCCCATCCAAGTCAACCTCAGCAATCAACTACAAGTAAGCAAATTCATTCTGGATGTGCCATCAAGAATAGAATACTAGGCCAAAATTACCAATTAAACATAGGAAATTCAGACATTGTACCCTTGCTGACTTGAACAAGGGCAAGAGGCGGCAAAGCCGCCTGACAAGCGCTTCGTGGTCGAGAGGCTGCTTCTGTCGCCGTTGTCCGTTTCGCGGTCGAGAGGCGACTTCGACCTGCTTTGCAGTCGAGCAGCTCGTCAACAAACACACATACACGCACACACGCGTTTATGGTGTAAATTGAGGATTTGCTATGTTCCTCTTCCCTTTTCCTTTGTTTACACTCTAAACATTTTTGCAACAGCTCTCATTGGTTTTGTACACGTTTTCTAATCGAGGTTGTTCTCAATTTGGTTCCTGTCCTCAATTCATTGATGATGTTGCATATTTGTGTCCTGGATTTACACCATACAGCATACACGCACATGCAGTCAGTGGCGTCAATCTGTGCCGGCGAATGGGGGAGATTGGGGATGACCAAAATCCAAAAATTGCCCGGCCGTGGAAATTCAAAAAGCGGGGGTCTAAAAGTGGGGGGGGGGGGGGGATATATACCCCCATTCCCCCCCCCCCCGGGATTTACTCCCCTGCATACAGTCATACTTTACATAACTCTCGAGGTTAAGGCATTGTGTTTTCCTTTGTCCCTATAATATAACACACCCCCATAGACTAAACACAAACAGACGATCGAGGACCGTTTTGAACAAACGATGAACGATTAAGGTCAACAAAGTCGTTCTCCAAAAAGAAGAGATCAACAAAATCTGTTGTCCTCCGTTTGTCTGTCGGTCCTCGGGGTGTATGTAGTGCAGGTACATGTACATACACACATACTTGCGCCGTAACTGTGTGGACTGCACACGAGTTGTCCCATGGTAATATGGGGACCGAAGAAGCCTTGGGGACAGCAGAAAGTCCCCATAACTCGGTCCTAATTTGCCTAACAATAAAACACTTCCTGATAATGTGGTGATGGCCCACACACACCATTGTGTAAAAACTTTCAATCGTGGACCCCTATTGTCCCTGTTTTGTTTGTACTTTAACTTTTTAGGAACACCTCCCATATGTTTTGTGCACGATGGTCAATTGTGGACCTTCAGGGATTTTAGGCCCTATTGTCCTCTATCGTTCAACATCCCCTATTGAATGCAAAAACAAACCCACACACACACACACCCTTTCTTCTTTTTAGTAAAGCGGTGATACACACATGTATTTTTAAACACACGCACAACACAAAGGTTTGATGGAATTTCATATCAGGAAGATACAAATTTTGATATTGAGTTTTATCCTTCACCAACATACCTATATAAGCACTGTATGGGGATGTGTTTGAAAAGTTTTGGCAGATGAGGGTACAGTGTGGACTAACAGTAGTGTTTGCTATGAAAAGGTTGCTGTTATATTTTTGGATTTACTGTGGACTTTAATAGACAATTTCTATTTAATTTTTTTTAATTTTAATTTTATTTCGTAGGGCTGCATTATCACAAAAAAACAACAGCAAGCAACAGAAGGAGCAAGGTTCCGTTGGCCAGCCTGCGCCAGCCATGAAGATCTTAACGAGGTCTGGCCCTAAGATGATCGCTCGCTCCCCCATCAAGGAACCTAGCACCGGGAAAGGCACATCACCCCAAAACACACCACCTAGACGGCAGAGCAAGGAAGAAATAGAAAGCAAGAGGAATGCATCAAAGGAGCGTAGAAAAGATTCAGGCTCCAAACCCGAGTTGGTGTCGTCAACAAGAGTTGTTTCTGACAAACCTCTTAAGGAGTCACAAAGCCGGGATGAAATCAAAGCAACCAAGTCCCCGCTCATCAAGACAACGAAGCGAACCCCTGAAAACGAGGCGGACGAGTTTGCAATCATGTGGCGGAACCTCCAGAAAAACTCCAACAGTGGCACTTCATCACCTGTCACTGATAAGGAAAGCAGCCGGAGCGATGAGCTGACCTCCCCCTTGGCCTCTGGGGGCCAAACACCCCTGTCTGAGGAGGAAGTGGTACAGCCCTCCATCCAGATGCAGCTGGCACTGTCTGCATTGCCCAAGGTGGAAGCTCCTGTGTCAAAGGTCATGGAGGACAACACCAATCTCGAGGAAGGGGACGAGAAGGAATGCGAGGGGGAAGAGTTTGAAGTGGATACAGAGGCCCGGATGACACCAAGAACATATGTGAAGGTATTAAATATTCATGTTCAATTAGAAAGTATCAATATCCCACAATGTCTACACTTTTTTTAAATATCTACTTTTTTCAATGGGCTCAGGAGAAAATTTGTTACACCTGTATTCTCTTGGAATTACAGAGTCAAAATATTTTGTATTCCATACTATTTACGGCACGCTGCTAGTTTTTTTTACCTTTATAATGTCAGCGATGATCTTTATTAACCAAGACCTTTGCAAAGGCCCTTCACTGTGAGATACACACAATGAGATTCATTATATATTTTTCATTTGGACAAAACTGTAACGCAAGGTTAAGAAAAGTCTTTCTTGAGAAATATCTGTTTTATATTTTGACCTTTTTCTGTTTGAAACATTTCAGTCTGGAACTGAGGAGTTGTGTCGAATGCTTAACATCACATCCATGTCAGATGACAATGATCCACCCAAGGATGTCGCTGTACCTCATTCTATCGTCATAGAACCATCAACGGGCAAGAAGCAATATGGTGTACGACTCACTGTCGACCAGTTATTCGCAGGTAAAGCCTCATACATAACCTAGTTTCTTTCTCACATACATGTATTAAGCACCGTCGATATATCGATATATCGATTTTATCGATATTGGTTTGATATTGATATCGCCGATGTTAGTTATTTGGTAAAATCGATAAATCGAAAATATCGGATTTTGGAGAAATATCGAAAATATCGAAAATATCGAAACTTCGAAAACATCGATATTGAAAAATACTAAATATTGCTACTGAGGAACAAACTTTATTAAAAAAATACGAAAGTACATCGTCACGGCTTACGAAGTTACGTTGGTTCTCATGCTGAGTGAAAAATGTCCCTGTAGCTTATATTCCAGGCGGCGTATACGGCGACATTTGAAGAATAAATTCAGTCACCTATCTCAGTCTCGCACTCAAAATTCGAGTACACTTTGCCTCGAAAATATCACCAAATTTATCCTCCAAAACAGAATTATTTGCTAACCAAACATACGTAGACTAGCACCACGTGCCGATGATATCGCTATGCACGGCGGCGTGTATCCCAGGCCCATCCCATGTAGGCAACGTACGTAATACAGACGCTAGAACCGCAGGCGGTGTCAGACGTACCAATCAAAAGACCACGTGATAAACGCTGCTAAAAAATTGGAATCGCACTTACGATCCGGACATGAGGAGTGCCCGGAGCATCAGTGCGATACCAAATTATCCGCAGCATTTATCATGTGGATCACACCATTACGGTCTAGGGGTGTACCCTTAGAACAATTTACCAGCATTTCCACCGTTTCGGAATTAAAACACCGAATCCCAGCGTCTGTTTTGTTTGTGATTGAGAATATATACGTTACGAAATGCTGAGCGGCGGAACTTTCTGTTGATATTTGCTGGAATTCACGGTCTCAAAGTAATGATGAGTTCCAAAATAACCTTTTGTGATGTGTCGTATTTTGCTTAATTTTCATTCTGTTCTGTACTTCCCCCATCCATCAGTAGCCTCTTTAAAACGCACTGTCACCATGGATATACAGTTGCCTAGCAACACCATGTCGGTAGGAAGTTTGTAGGCCTGCTTCATTGCCCCTCTCATACCAGTACTTAAAGCCCCTTGGTAATTAGTTGCAGTTAAATGTATTCTCCATTGACATCAATCTGCAAACTCAGCCCTTATTTGCATAATCATAAATATGCATTGACCACTCTAAAAAACATAATTCGTTGATAATATCTAAAATAACAATGATTGGTTGAACATTTCAGACTTTAGGTGTACAAAATTGAAGAAAGATAGTGCAGAATCACTAATGATGACATCTGTTGCACTATCCTGGACATTTTGGTGCAAAAAATGAATTTCACTGTGTACTGTATCATATATAGATTCCGAAATCACTCCTGCACAATTAAGCAGATGCCTTGAAATCTGTAAGTTAAGGGTCTGGTGTTGTCATTGCACATTGACTACATCACCCGTCGTGTTTGGGGTTCACGACTTAAAACGTCCCCCCACGCAGATTCGGTGTCAGGGCGTCAGGCCTTATTTTTAAGTGAACAAAAGAGTAGATTCTATGTAATTCATGCCTATTATAATACCTTGAAAATAAAATGTACAAAATATCGATATATCGAGAATATCGATATAAAAAAAAACGATATATCTTTATCGGCCGAAGCACGATATCGACGGTGCTTACTATGTACCTATTTCGTACGTTAGTTAAATGGCCCATACAAAATAATGTTTCAGTGGAATTTTGTGAATGGATCTTTGTGCCTCTTTTGCAGACATTTTCAGTCATTTCGTGTCCTTGTATTGGTGTGTCTGGGATTTTTCCTCAGTGCCTTTCTTGTTTTTAGGAGCAAAACAGTGCTGTTGTCTGGGCAGAATCTTCAGCGTTACAGTTGTTTCCCCATCAAAAAGTTCCAGAAATGTAGGTTTCCTGTTCTGATCCTCCGACCAGAATATATGTTGTCCTTTTGTCATTTTAAAATAATAAAGTCAGTGCCAAAATTATGTTTACACTTGTGCCATATGAAAACTAAACTAAAATTTGTAATTGTGACATTTCTGTTATTGCAAGGTGCCAGTGTTAAAAGCTCCTCACCCAGTATATCACCTGTACCAGTTACCCCTACGAATCCTGCCTCTGCAACCATGGTGCCACATGGAGTGAGACAACCCACAGCATATCAGCCCCACCCCCTGGCTCAGCAGCCTGGGCCTGTGTCTGGTCCCCACCCTGGGGTTGTTAAAGGTAAGTCGTTGTTGGACAACTTAAAGAGTTGGACGTTTTCATGTTTGCCTCGACAGTCCTTTGATGGGCTTAATTTAGAACAACTCATGGACCTCAAAGTCATTGATCTAAAATGACAATAGTGTCCTTTGCAAAATATCGCTGAAACTTAAAGCTATAGGCCATCATTTGTAATTAGTGCATTTTGTTCATTTGAAGTAACAAAAGTGTTCAAAATCTAATGAAGGATACTGATCAACTAACTTGATGAAGTTTCAGCTCAGCTTCAGCTTCATATTCCGAGAAAAACAGCATTCTGGGATCTCAATTTCAAATCAAAATTTGCTGAATCATGTTTTGAACTGTTTTGAATTGCAGCTATACACCATGTCGCGCACTGATCCGACGAATTATAACAACCGCGCGCGCGTGTGCGTCGTCCCAATGCTTGTGCGCGCTGCGCCGAATAACAAAACTAACAACTAATTTAAATTTTCCTACGGTGCTTCTTAAGAAGCACCGTTGGAAATGCCTTCTTTCGTTGATTTCTTAAAATGAGAGCTTGCAAGACAGGATAATTTCACAGGGAGTTTAGTCCACTTACTATCTTTCAACCAGTATGTTTTTCAACAATAATTACGCCGGTTACTTTTTTGGATAGCTGCAAATGATGGACTCTGGCTTTAACGCGACTAATGTCTTAAGAAAATTCACAGACCCCTTCGCATACCAAAAAGGCAAGAATCTAGAAGAAAGCTGCGGAGAGGTTTTTGACATTGAGGTCACCTTAAAAAGTCATCCAAGACTTTAAGTCGGGCGATTCACAATGCAGTGCGCCACCAAGAGTTTGCCATGGAGAGTTAATTTTTGCCAGTGCATTGTGGGAGATGGTTGACAAATTCACCGCGCGGAACATTCGAAATTGTTCGTTTTTTTGGACAGTAGTTTCATAAGCGTATGGTTCAAGTATTTGTTTGCCCTTTTTTTTTTTATCAATGTGGTGTTTTTGGTAAGGCGTCAGAACGTTTTGCCCCAATCTATAACAAAGTTAGCTCAAGTTGTCTACTGACACTCATTCAAATGGGCCATGTTTTGTCTTGAAAAACTTGAAAAGTGGACTCTCCATGGCAAGGTCTTGGTGGCGCACTGCATTGTGAATCGCCCAAATTGAACCTCAGATCACTGTGTAAAACCTCACTGATCACCTCATTGGCCATAATGGCAAAAAAGGAGAATTGTGTAAGAGTTAAATTTATGAGATATTTACCAAACCTCAAGTTTGACTGCAAAAATGGCAATGATTCAGAATCAGTTAATTTTAATGTTACTTTGGAAACTCCAGATATAATTAAACCTCACAACTCTCTCTCCACTTTTTTTTGCCCAAGGGGGATGTTCCCAATTCTTTTTTCGTCAAAATCACATTAATCAACTTGAAAAATCACCATGTACCTGGAGAAACTCTAAAGAAATCATGACCTCTTGATAGCACCTCAAACCACTTTGTAAATTATCTTGCAAACCTTGTAGCTAATAACTTCTAATTCAGTTGTTATAACTGTTCTCATTCTGTCAGCTCCCGTGCCTCTGCATCCAAATGGCACCTCAGACCAGCCAAGGTATCAACGTCAAGGACTCCCACCCGGATCCAGTGACCCTTTACCCATCCCCAGGTCAGGGCCCCTACCCCAACCTCCAGGGCAAGTGGGTATCCCTGCATCTGCTGGTGTCATGATGTTGCCGCAGGGTCAGCTACATCGGATGAGTCCCGGCTCAGTACCTCAAGGCGCTGCGTCACCAGGACGGTTCCCAGCTGGGATGTATCCAGCCCAGCCTGTAGGCTCACCCGGCCAACATATGCCACTCCATGTGCTTCAAGGTCCTCCTCTAGTTGCTGTTGGTCCTGGGCACCAAGGCATGCCGCACCCCTCAAGTTTCATAGTCCAGCCTGTACAAAAACCAGTTCAGCAGCAGCAGCAGCAGCAGCAGCAGCTGCTGCAAGCCACAGCACCGCAGCAGCAGTTAGGAGTTCAGCAGCTAGTGCAGCAGCCAATCGGAATTCACGGTCCTGGCAACCAATCCCCGGCCAGCATGGTGAAACCGGTACCCACTCAAATGGATCCCCAGCCCGCAGTACATCTCCAACAGAAACCAGCGAGCGTTGCTCCTAACGTGAATGCATCCAACACCAACCAGTATCCAGCATCAGCAGCGCAGCAGCAGGGCGTGGTTGTTGCCCAAGTAAATGCCCCTGGTTTTAATGTTGTTAAACCGGGGCCGTTTCAAGCACCCTTTGACTTAAGATCTCAACAGCAGCAGCAACAACATCATGTTGGTGTGCCGTTTGCCTCACCTGGAAGACCACATAGTGGGCCTCATGCCATGAGCTCCCCCTCGCAGCCCCCGAACCTCAGACCTAGACCAGCATTCCCAGGACCCCAGCAAGGTCATCCTCTCCCCCAGGGCTACCCTATGAGACCCCAGACCCCATCCCATGCTCTCCTCATGTGGTGTCAACAGAGGGGCCTCCCGTCACCAAAGTATCAATTCCAAAAGAACAACACCACGGTGAGACAAAGCTGTGATTAACCCATATCCTCCTGGATCATTCACAATCCATCACATGGTTTGGGTGGATTTTGCAGGATTGAGGAGCTCGGCCACCATAAAAAAAATGGGGTTTTAACGCATATATTTGGGGGCAAAAATCGTTGGAAAATTTAGGGGTTTTTATGACCCGTTTTGTGATATTTCGTTCATGCAGAAAACAGATAAAATTAATAGAACTACTTTTATTGGGGAATTATATTTACTACAGATACTAAAAATTAAATTTTGTGCAAACCTGAGAATATTATTACACAATAAAGAGCTTTTGACAGTTTGTTTTTGTTTTAATTTTCTGACAAAATTTTTTAAAATAAACTTGTTCAGAAAATTTGTTGAGCATTATCATGATAATTTAGTATACATTCCCAATGAGAGAAATATGAGAAAGGTTGAGTAGAAGCGGAATTTACCAAATGTAAGGTCATGAAGGTTATAGCAATGAAAATGGACAGTTTGGGGAAAAACTAAATTCAACAGGCAATATTTTATTGTGGAAAATGGCATTGTGGTTGTTTGTTTTAAGATTCAGTTTTGATGGTGAGAAATGTGTGAATTGTGTGAACTCCAGGATAACTCTGATTTTATAGAATGTATTCCTGATAATCCACTTTTGTTTTTGGTTTGATTTTGAAATTTGAGACTCATTCTCTTTGTTCCCTGTATCGTCTTATAAACATTCAGGGTCAGTTGCGAGGTGTGGTCCAGTTAGCCGATGGCAAGCAGTTCTATGGACAAGACTGTCCAACAGACGCAATGGCAGTAGATGCTGCAGCTCATGTTGCTATGACGAACTTGGTAAGTAAACACCAGCTTACCTTTTAGGCCTGGTGCAAACTGCGACATGCAAAAAACGCTAAAAGGGTTTAACAGGAGTTTCTTGACAACTTCGTTGGAGAATGATCAGGACTTCCTGAAGTCGTAAAGACTGATGACTGGTGTTATGTGGTCATTAGTGAATGTTTGTGCACCCTCAGGGGTAGTCCGAGTATCGCCCGTTGTCCATGGAGCCCTCCCTGTCTCCGGTCCAACGTCTGATATATCTAAGCATGCAAAGAAATATTAGACGTCATTTCATTCGAAATACGGACTAAGATTTTGATTGGTCAATTTTGATGCCACGTTTTTGTAACTCAACAACAAAATGGTGCTCATTGATGGTGCGATGTTTACGCCCGCGAGGAGTTCGCATTACGTGCGTATAGAAGGCACCCACTGAATGGTCAGTTTCTCAAGGTCATAGGCAGTCAAGTTGCATAATGCTTAATCTGCTTGCATATAACACTACCCCAAGGACTGCGAACTGGGAACTAAATAAATTGAACATCGTAAAGAATCGTAATCCAAATCAGCATCCTACAATGTTTTTGTGAAATGAACTGTATTGGCCATTTTCACAGTACAAGTCGTCCATATTGAATATGTTCAATCCCCAGTTTCCAAGAAGTGATTTTGCATTGTGTGGGTTTTGTAATTTTGTTGTGCTTGCTCATACTTAATTTTGCCGAAATTTGAGGCAACCAGATCCTATGTTGTGAAAGCCAAGCATACATGTAGCAGTGCAATAATTAGAAAGTATGTTTGTTTTTCTTTCCTTCAGACATCACAATCACCTAGAGGTCCCGCAATGCAACAGATGAGGCCTACCACCCGACCTTCATTTGGTAATGCCTTGTGAATTGACTTAATACCCTGCTCCAAAATTGCTATGCTTTTCACCAATTCTTGAAATGAGTTACAGTGAAAAGAGTTGCATACTGCACTAGCGTAATTCCTCAGAGTATAATACTCAATCAAAATGGCTAGGTCCGGGCCAAAAGTAATTGCTCTGCCTAACGTAAGCAAAGAATTCCTGCTAAAGTAGACAATTCTGTGGTAAGAATTGGACAATTTCCTCATGTGTAAAGCTTTTGTGGTGAATTCTGTGGCTGGCAGCGCCGTGAAATTGGGTCCTGTCATGCTGTGGTCCGCAGCAGCAGTCCACACTTGCACAGTATTCAGGATAGTTCACAGATTCATTTTCAAATTGGTGTAAATCCATAGCATGCACAATAATCAGTAGCATAGCCTACAAGTGTAGACACTTGTGTTTTAGTAGCAAACAGCGCATTTCAGAAATATTGTGAACACTGTAGAGACCATAGTTGCTAAACTGATTGGAATAAGAAATGAATTAAAGAAACAACTAACATTATTTTGTTTTTGGAGGGGAAATAAAATTCTGGTTAACCTCCAATTCGAATTTGGAAAATCCGAGCTAAATGCATTAACCCAAACCCCCCTAGCCCATTTTTGCGAGGAAGCGTCCTCAATCCTCCAAAATCTTCCAAATTTTTGCACACTTTATGTTGGAATGAAGGATACCCAGCGCCTCAATCCTTCAAAAATCGTCCAACAGACCTGCCTCCAACAGACCTGCCTCTCAAAATGCATTCATCCTCAATCCTCCAAAATCCTCCTCTTCTTCAAACACCATTCATCCTCAATCCTCCAAAATCCTCATGTGCTTAAACACCATTCATCCTCAATCCTCCAAAATCCTCATGTTTCTCAAACACCGTTCATCCTCAATTCTCCAAAAATCCTCCAAACCGCCATGAGGATGTTGGAGGATTGAGGAGGGTTAGGGTTAAGCAACAGTTGAACCTTATCCCCCAAAGGCAATCTGGAGTTTTTTTGGAAACTGGAGGAAGGTTCATTGCAAAAAGTCTTAGGGATTTAGGGTCTAGTAAATTATCGCATAAGTGTGCACCATGAAGTTTAGCACATTGTGCATTTGCTGTCATAAGATGAGACAATCACTGTTTCTTTCTTATTCAGTGAATTCAATGTTGTATCTTACAGGTCCAATGGGGCCAGTGCATGGGCCTATGATTCACACCAGTGGACCAAACCCCTTTGTGCCTTTGCAGGTATTTATATCTTCACCTTTTGGAACATTTAGAGATGTTGCGGTCAAGTTTTTGTCAGAAAAAAAACATGCTGCTAGAAGCTAGAAGGAGCAGCCTGAATACTATATTGAGGCTCTAGACAGTTGTCTAGATACTCATTTGAAGTACTCAGCCCAGCCTTGTTACAAATGCATGATTCCATCCTGCATGCCAGTTAATCTTTTGGACTAGATTACAGCACTGTTCTTTGACACACCTTATCCAGGGTTAGCCCTTAACTTTTTTTTCACAAGCCAGCCGGACTAGTGAACCAGACGCTTATCTATCCTGCGGGCCTTTTCACTAGTCCGCAATAGAATGTTTTGTTTTAATTTATATTTTTTGTTTTTCTTTTCTATATTAATTTATACGCTAACAATTTCGGTACAATAATCGGCAGTGCAACGGCATGATAAAAAGCCGCATTCCCGTCAGTATCAGATAATTTTTTTCTCAGACCGGCTTAAAAAGAACCTACACGGAAAGTTTCATACCTTATCTCAATCATTTTGACTCGCCAGGCAGGCTACTAGCGAATGGCTTTGACTATCCTGCGCTGTTAGCGGGCTACTGCTCAGTTCGAACCCTGCACACCTTATCATGTTTATCTAAATTATCTTCCAAAAGCTTTTGGATATTATAATCACCAGAGGAGTAAAATTTTTCCCAAATTTTTTTGAATATTTTCTCTTCTTTTTTTGTTGTTGTGTCACCCATTTTTGTAATTTTAAGTTTTAAAGAATTGTTTAGCCATCAACTTGATGCATAATGCACCTTCTCGTCTCTGACAAACATTGAGCACAGTTTTGACGGGTGGCCATCAGTGGCACAAATTTCAACCTTGGTTGGCAAAACTTGGCAACATTTGTGCCCAAATGGCATGTCACTCTCAGTATTTGTTAGCCTTGGTCAAGGCGTTAGATGATAGAGTCCAATGATCAGTAGTTGGCAACATTTGTGCCCAAATGGCATGTCACTCTCAGTATTTGTTAGCCTTGGTCAAGGCGTTAGATGATAGAGTCCGATGATCAGTAGTTGGCCGCCAACATACAATGCACTCACGTCACATGTACTCATGCAAACAGCGACCTCACGTGGCTAGGCTACACTATGCAAATCAGGTGGGGCTGAATGAACGCCTTGGGACAGCCATAGTGATGGCCTTTCTTTCGGGCAAGTTTCGTTATTTTGTTGCCAGATTTATATCGAATTATATTTGATCTGTGGACTCAAAAACGTTTTTGAGAATGTAGCCACACTATCCAGATCAATGTCCATGTAAAATATGAGCCTCCAGGACCAAGCACTGGACATCCAGCCACAAAATAAAGAAAAACATATTAAGCGAAAGCCCACGGATGTTCCAAGGCGTTCATTCAGCACCACCTGATTTGCATATTGTAGCCCAGCTGTGCGAGTTCGCTGTTCGCGCTTCATACATGCGTACGTGTGAGTGCATAGCTAGCTAGTGTGCAGCTGTTGTGTATGATTGCGGCCGACTATCAATCTTTGGACACTACCCCTGAATGCCTTGACCAAGGCTATTTCATAGAGTCCGTTGGTTAGTCAGTGTCTTCAGTTGGTCAGTGGTATATCTCAGAGACATTGAATTATTCCTCTTTTTTGTTCAGGTTACTAAGCAGCTCAACTCTCCACAGAGGTCAACATCTACCGAGACAGATGCAGAATCACCAGGGAGAACACTCCCCGAACAACAAATGGAATATCCCACCCATGTTCCATCCTCACAGATTGCTCCCCCCTTTGCCAGAGTGGACTTTGCCCAAGCAAGAGACCAATCAGGAAACATGGACGAGTCCAAATTGAGTTCCAGGAGGGAGCTTTACTTTGGGAAAACCATTGTTGAAATTGGCTCCCCCATTATAGAAGTGGCAGAATCTGTTGGACCTCGAAAGTCAAGCATTGATGAAATATCTGGAGCAGTCCATTCTGAGATGAGGGATTCTACCGCTGCAGCTGCCAAACGGCGCCGATCTTCCTCCAAGGCCAAACTTGCAATCAACTTTGGCGGGAAACCAGGACAGGACTAAGGTCACATCGGTTCAAAGGTCCTTTTGAGGTTCGTTAAAAAAAAAAATAGTTGAGTTTAAAGATTTTTTTATCTCTTTTAAATTTCTCCCTAAAACCCCCAAAATATATTCTTCAATAAAATGTTGATTTGTTTTGCCATTATTGACCCACAATTAATCTATCATCCCACATATTTCCAGGTGTATATACCCCCATTTTTTTTAAAATTGAAAGTATTAGATTACTGTGTATTAAATGTGTGCAAATAATGGGAAAATCTATTTTTCACCAAGTTGCAATCTAAGCCTTAAGGCCATATATGTACAGATATAAAAACCTTTTTTGGTGCTGTTTTGGAGGTAACATTTTTACTATGATTTTAATCTTTTTTTTTTTTTTTTTAATTTAGCAGCTGTAATTTTCAGAAATGGTTAGATTTAGGGGTTAGTATTTTATAGCAAATATTGTTACACTGACCTGTTTAAAAAAGTTTGTTCAAAAAAATGTTGTTCTTGAAGTCTGGTTCCCTGCCCCTACAAATGAAACGGAGCAATTCATAAGCGTCAGGGGACCAGACTAGCTGGCGTGTACCCACCCATCCATGGATGTGTAACAGATTGCAAACTAAATGTGGACTAACTTAATTTGGTGAATTGGGTCAGTCAGTCATAATAATTTGGAAGTTTTGTTTTTGATGTTTGCAAATGTTGTATATTTGCCTTTAAGTCGGCATTGATGAAAATACATGATATGGAACAAAACCCATTTTCTTTTAATGGCTGCATTTTTGGTTTACAACACTTGTCATTCTTTATAGGCCTAATGTTCTCTTGTCACACATTGAGCCCTCTGTGATACATCCCGTTGCTTTATAAGAATTGTTTTATTATTATAATGTGTACATTCTGAATGCCGGTCGGCTGTGATCCAGTGATATCTTGTATGCAGCTGTTTTTGGTGCGACATAAAATAGTTTTATTATAATAAGGTATGAATGAGATGTGATGGTATTTTGAATTGGGGTTTACCAACTCATTGTAGTTTCATTGGTCTAATTTGGCCACTTGCAAAGTATATTACATACAAAGACTATGGCATCTTGTACATCACTCATACTGTCTAGCACATCATTTAATTACATCTTGACACATAAACAATGTACAGCGCATGCATCAGTGCATAGGGCTTGGTGCAGTGTGTCCACTATGTAAAGACATGCCTCACGAACATGACGAATGAGCTTTTTGTGTCTGTTGAGAAACTCCTCAGAAAGATAGCATTTTTTTGCAGAATGTCACAATATGTACCATGGTAGGAATGTAATCACTGGCTGTCTTTACAATTTATTTCATTCCTAAATTTGTCAGCCGATTGATTCATCAGGGATTAGCATTCAATGTAGCAAAACCATTTTTGGTGATTATTTGTTTGTTCTAATTTAATATTATTTCTTTGTATTCACATACAGGGCGCCCCCAAAAAAGTTGTGCCAGCAGATATCCTTTAATTTCTCAAAAACTACTTAACATGAGTATTTCATCTTGATGGAGCATATTAATTTTACGCTTGTGTATAATCAGTGAAAATGCCATGGAATCCGTTCATGCCAACCAGAGATCTGACAGATTGTAAAAGGCTATGGGTTTTTCACCCATTCCAATGGGATTTACACAGTTAGTGATATCAGTGCATCAGATTGTCATGGGCCTTTTCACTCTGATGTAAATTCAGTTAACTGTGTAAATCCCATCCCATTGGAATGTGGTGAAAAACCCACAACCTTTTATAATCTGTCGGTTATAATAGCCGGTTTGTTAGTAAAAAATGTCATACACTTGTGCGCACAACTGATTAATTTCTAGCGCCCAATCCGCCCATTGGATAAACACCCAAGTTGCGTTAGCTTCTGGTTCCAATGGTTCCAATGCTACTTAATGGGCAGTGGGCGTGGTTAAACTGAACTGACGTCACACTAACAAACCGGATACGCAAAGAGGATAATGAATATGCTCCATCAAGATGAAACACTGAATGTTAATTAGTTTTTGAGAAATTAAAGGACGTCTGGTTGGAATTTTTTATGGGGGGGGGGGGGGGAAGGGACACACCCTGTATAAAGAAATAGTGGTAACGCTCTCTGCTGTGCAGGGTAATTGGCTTGGGTTTAGCACCCGAAAGTAGAATTTTGCAAGTGGAGTTCTTGTAAATAAAACATGACTCTAGGCATAAACAATGGGTCATCAGTTTAGCATACTTTTGATTTATTACGTACAATAAATAAATAAAACAATATTTACATCAATTGGTTATATTAAAAGGCACTTACTTAAAGGTAAGAAAAATGTCTTGCATTCTTTTCTTAAGAGTTCATGGTGAACCTCTTCACAAACATCAATAATGTGATGGTGTTGCAAGCTCCTGATATGAGCTCTGTAACTCAAGTCCCAAAAAGGTATCTTTTATTTACTTGATGTAATAATGGGACAGGAAATGAACTTTCATGCTTGATCAAATCTATTTCAACTACATTGTATATTGGTAAATTTGCCTTTAGACAATCCAAAAATGTTAAAACACCTTCATGTAGATAAGGCTACTTTGCAATACTGTCTACATATTTTGATAAAATGAAGCTATTTTAAATTTGAATCTGCAAAAAAAAAAAAAAAAATCAAGACAGGCAACACCATCATGATTTAAAAAAAAAGGAAACAAAAAAACAATTGAAGAAAGAGCGTCATCCTCTTCAAGCATGTCAAGTAAAAGATAAACCATGTCTTTCTAAAATTTGCATTAAAAAATATGTTCATGTTCATTTGGGGGCCCTGACATGCCTGATAAACATCAAATTTACAAAGCTCTCAAAAGTGACTTGATTGTCATGTGCTGTCATCGTGACCATCGCGATGTCTGTCCAACTCCATCGCTAGCTCCTCAATATACTGACCACTGATATCCTGGGAAATAAAATGGAACAGAAAGTGTGGAACTTCCATCAGGGGTTTATCAGTTACAGCAAGGTATGTCAATATCCAGCAGTTTCTTATTCGTAAAATGCTGCTCCGTACCCTCTGCTAAAAGCCAGAGGGCTCATAATGGTGATCATGTCAAGGTTATTCCCGTGACATGCACAACATGGCTTAGGGGGTAGTAGTGCAAAATTAATTGTATATTAACAAGATGGCTAATTAAATAAACATGAAATGAATTCTGCTGTTGCATATAGATGGAAGTCTTGGAGCTAACCTGGGGTGCCATTGCATAACCCTACTGACTGGCTGGGTGTATGTGCATTGTCCATCCAGGAGTTTGCTACTTCCCTTACATGTTCGAACTTTGACCAATGAAAGAACTGTATTTGGCTCATAAATATGCATGAGATGTCCTCATGTGTGATACTCCCTGTAACCAGACAAGCCTATTTTACTCACCATGAAATTCTGCAGCTTGCGATCAGTAAACGTTGAGTGATCCTTCTCTGCTTGTAATCTCTTGACCATGGAAGTCATCTGTGTCTTGGTCTTCTTATGGTCTGCCTCGGCCTGCCTAGCGAGGTGACTCAGGGCCTGTCTACTGGCCTGTAAAAAAGTGGGAGCAGTAAACGCATTGAAATTACACAAAAATTTTCATCTGCTGCAGCAACTACTGCTGCTGCAAGTTACTCTTCCCTATTGTTGTGCAAACCCATCCCAAGACCGAAACCAAGGGTCGGGTCGGTTTTTCCATCATTTCAGTCTGGTCGGGTCGGTTTCGGTTAATATGCATTTGCGATTTTTGGGTCGGGTTGGTTCGGTTGAGCCATCTTGTGAAAAACCCAAAATAACACACAAAAAAACGAAACAGTATGGAAATTCACGCGGCGCAATATTATTGCAGAGTTACTGTGCCCGTTACAACCAACGTCAACCCACCGCGCGAATGTGCATGTGGTTTGCGGTCTATCACGCAGTCTGTAATGTGTAGGCCTACCAGGACAGTAGGTAATGTCTTCACCGTAATGTACGGTATGAATCTTAACTGAAAGATGACAATTTTCAGGTGGCGCGGGTATTAGTTCAGGCATAAAAGCAGACGCAGTTGTCCAACCAGATATTCGTTTTTTTTAAGGTCGGTTTGGTTTCAGGTCGGATGGGATCGGTTTTTGCTGGAACTTTTGTCGGGTCAGATTAGGGAAGTTCAGATCGGTTTATATCTATAACAACGTATCTATAACTTGCTGCAGCAAGTTACTCCTCCCATGACACACTCACCTACTCACCCTGATCATATTCCTAGCTCTCTCTCCTGCAGTAGCTGCTGCTGCAACTGCTACTGCAGCAAGTTACTCCTCCCATGACACACTCACCTACTCACCCTGATTATATTCCTAGCTCTCTGTGCCTGCTCAACAGCCTTCATTCTCTCCTGCAGTAGCTGCTGCTGCAACTGCTACGCGTTACTCCTCCCATGACACACTCACCTACTCACCCTGATCATATTCCTAGCTGTCTGTGCCTGCTCAGCAGCCTTTATTCTCCCCTGCAGTAGCTGCTGCTGCAACTGCTACTGCAGCAAATTACTCCTCCCATGACCCACTCACCTACTCACCCTGATCATATTCCTAGCTATCTGTGCCTGCTCTGCAGCCTACATTCTCCCCTGCAGTAGCTGCTGCTGCAACTGCTACTGCAGCAAATTACTCCTCCCATGACCCACTCACCTACTCACCCTGATCATATTCCTAGCTCTCTGTGCCTGCTCAGCAGCCTTCATTCTCTCCTGCAGTAGCTGCTGCTGTTGCTCCGTGTTGGTCCTCTCCAGTTGTGTCTGTCGCTGTCGAGCCTCGATCAGTTCCTGCTGTAGCGCATCATGCCTGCCTTTGAACCAGGAATGAGCCTCCTGAAGATTAGCTGTTATCTGAAGACAAAAGTGACATCAGCATTGACCAGTGACCAGATTATTTTTAATGGAGCTATACTATATTGAATTACCGTGTGGTCTAGCGGTGGAGCACAGGATACTTGATCAAGAGGTTGGGGGTTCGAGCCCCACCATGACCATGCGTGTTGTGCCCTTGAGTAAGGCACTTTACCTCAATTACTCCTCTCAACCCAGGTGTTAAATGGGTACCGGCATTGTTCAATGCTGGGAAAGTAAGGCGGACAGGCTAAATACCCCCTGTTCACTTACCGGGAGCCGCTTTCAATTGAGCCCCTCTTTTATCGGCTCCCGCTTGAAAAGAAAGCGGGTGACCTGTTTCTACAAACCGTCCCACGGTTGGCACTCCCGGCTCCCGATACAAATAACCGTTTTTATAACAATGAATCCTGCGGTTTCATACCCCTCATTGGCGGCTTCTACTCACCGACTGCAAAGACCTGGTACATTGCTAATCCTCTGATCTTTTGTCTGCCCTAAACATACAAGCCCCACTGCAAACCGTCACCATGCACGGCTGTACCGTGTGCGTTCATGCGTGGACCGTCTCCCGCTTTGGCTTGAAGGGTCCCACACTTCCTCAATAACAATACCGTCCCACGGTAAATGAACAGGGGGTATTTAGCCCGCCCGCCTAACAGACTCGCTGTAGAGGAGGTGTGGCGATCCCCCACAGCAGCATTTCATGGACTCGACTCTGGCCCAATCGCTAACGAACACAGGTTCGTCCCCTTTACCTTTACCTACCGTGCAACTATTTAAAGCTATAGTCCATCATTTGCAGCCATCCGAAAAGTAAGTGGCAAATTTTTGTTGAAAAACATACTTGGTTGAAAGATAGTAAGGGGACTAAACTCCCTGTGAAATTATTCTTTCTGGCAAGCTGTCATTTTGAAGTAATCAACGAAAGAAGGCCTTTTCAACGGTGCTTCTTAAGACGCACCGTAGGAAATTTAAATTAGTAGTTCGTTTTGTTATTCGGCGAAGCGCGCGCAAGCATTGGCACGACGCACACGCGGTTGCTATAATTTGTCGAATCAGTGCGCGACATCGCGTAGTTGCAATCGGCTCAGCGAGAACGTGTTTCGGATGCTGAATTCAGGCCCGATTCAAAACATGATTCAGCAACTTTTGATTTGAAATTGAGATCCTAGAATGCTGTTTTTCTCGGAATATACAGCTGAAGCTGAGCTGAAACTTCATCAGGTTAGATGTTCAGTACCCTTCTTTACATTTTGAGCACTTTTGTTGCTTCAAAAGAACAAAATACACAAATTACACATGATGGAAAATATCTTTAAAGGAATGTTATCACTGCTCACCTGGATTGATTCATTGCTAGCTTCCAGCAGTTTCTCCTCAGCATCAGTCTTCTCTACCTGTAGTCTGACCAGAGCCTCCTGGAGGCCCTTGGCCTGCTTCTGTAGATGGACTCGCTCCTTCTCTACCTGCCGGTCTTTCTTCCTGGTTAAAACAAAATTACACATTACAAAACTCAAATACCCACAACTCAATTCATTTATTTGTAATTTAATTTGATTTTTAAGAGAAGACTTTTTCATTGATGCCGCATATAAAAAAAAAAAAAAAAATTGGTAAAGGTTGGTCGTGTGACTAAAAAAAAGTTGATTCACCATCAGTTTTAAAATGCTCTAGAGCTGAAGCAACAGAAAGGGATATAGTAGGGAAGTAAAAGCTCTTGTATGTTTCTGACCTGGTGCTGCTTGACAAGCTATCCTGAACCTTAGACAGAGCCTCTAGGTCAGCTTGAAGCCCTGCCACTTGCTTGACAAAGTTGGAGATAGTCTTAGCCTGCTCGCTGTTCTTACGAGTGTACTCTCGCTTTGCTGCTTCCATCTCAGATAATTGGTGACTGATGCCTTTGATCTGCAGAAATCACACAACATTGTCTATTAAAGGGACATGATAGTGACTGCCCAAAACTGTCTATAATTACTCATTGTTACATATTGTGTCAAGGATACGGTAGTTTCATTGGTCTGGTAGGGTCATGAGTCACGTTTGGTAAGTGGTGCATCATATACATCACTTAAAAATTCAAATATTAACTTCCAAGAGTACAACTGACTGTGGTCCTCAAAACTTCCCAGGGAAAGACTTGATCTACTGCCTAAAAAGTTCCAGCAAAATACTCACTGTACTGCACGAAGCTTATATTTCCCCCACAACATTTTCATGGAATATAAGAATTGATGAAAAATATCAACACTGGGTTTTGCAGATGTGTGCACTAGTAAGCAGGAGGTTGTGGGTTCAAATCCCACCAGGGAAACCTTTTTTCCCTTCACAAGCTCTCTGACAACAACAATAACAATTCTTATAAGATATCATTTGTGAGAGGCCAAATCAAATATGAGTCTCCCTGAAGGAAAATTCAAACCAAACAAGAAATTTGTGGTCACACTAAGTGAAAGGAAATTGTTATTGTGAGTTGGTTGTGATTCAGTGAATAACTGGTAGAAAAGTAATGTTTGGACAGTACGCTCTGCCCATAGTCAGGAAACTTGCCTTCATGTTATGTCAATACAAATTTACACTTAATGCTTACTTCACCATGCAGATCTTCAAATCTTATCAAAAACGAAGTTCCAAAATGTGATTTGAGGCAACTTTCCTGTCCAGCTTGAAGCCATACATGTACCTTCTCTGTCATCTCTGCGTTGGTCTTCCTCAGCCTACTACAGCTCTCTAGTTGTGCCTTCTGACTGCTGATCCTATCTCGCTGCTTGCTGCAGGTTTCTTCTAAGCTAGCCACCTTGGCGTGGAGCTCTGCATTGGCCTGGGACAGGTCTTTGATCCTCCTCGTCAGGTCCTGGTGGGCCTGCTGCAGCTGGCTCACCTCCTTGGTAGCATTCTTGAGGGATGTGTCTCGCTTGGTGGCTAGTTGGAGCTGGAGGGATTGCAGCTGGTCTCTGGATCCCTCCAGCTGGGCTTGAAGATCAGACTTTTCCCTCTCCCTAAAGTTTCAAGAAGGGTGTATCCAAAAAGGTAATCCAAGAATATCAGCGTGGGATTTGAAAACAATATCAAATCATGTAATTGCGTCAGGGAGATGAGAAATTCCACAATATGATTGATTGTGGTACCCACTGCTACATCAGATGCAAACTGGTCAGCCGACACTAGCAAGCTCGTTGGTTGAGTAGTAAGCAGGTAAGACGTCTGCGCTTTGTAAGCAGGAGGTCGTGGGTTTGAGTCCAACCCGAGTAATTAGTCTGTGAATTTTTGTCTCACCAGCTCTCTGCTCAGACAGCACTGAGTATGCAGTCCTCATGATTTAACATTGGTGCATGGCAAAAAGAATTAAACAATTATGATAACTGTCAGTGTGGTTGCATCTTAAGAAGTTGTTTATCAGCTTCCTAGTTATAGTGCTTTACATGCATCCTGACATTCATGGATGACTGCGCACCACTGATTTCAGAACAAAAGTTTTTTGCCAAATTGTTCAGGTTTATGTGTGGCTTAAAGTTTGCCAACAATCATGATGCTCATCTATGTTGACTGTGTTGGCCTCCCCTTTCAATTATCAAATAGAAAAACGGATAAAATAGGGGAAAATAAGGACAAGGACAGCAGAAGTATTGAGTTTGTTCGACATTACACGTACCTTGTTTCTTGTAGCAGTTTGTACTTATGATTGCGTTTCTGTAGCTGATTCTGTATCCTCTCGGTAGTTGCTTGTAGCTTCCCATTTGTTTGTAGCAACTCATCCACCGTCTGACCAAGTTTACTCTTCTCTGCTAACGCTCTGTCCAGATCAGATCGTAGGCTGTCCAACTGCAATATCATTTGAACTTCATTATTTGAACAATATTTAGTTTGACATAGAAAATCCACTGAAGTGAGATTCGAATCCACGACTTTCAGAATACTGCACCAGTGCTCTACCAACTTAAAGCCCTGTGTTGGCTGTCTCCTATCTGCCAATGATTTTGTTCTCTGAGTGCACGTCAGAAGCATAAACTCATACATACCCTGTGGACAGGAATTATGCCTAAAGTCACGATGCTAACTGAATAGACCTTATGCGTTAAGGCGGAGTTACGGGGCAATGGTTTTGTATTGCTTGGGTACGCATGAGTAAACATTTTGTGTAATTAAAATAAAAAGAGAAAAGAAAAAATTTACAAAAAGGTCTACAAAGGAACAAAGGGATAATTAATGTGCTTTTAATTTTGATTATCAAAAATAAAGCACGAGAAGAAACTGACCATGTTCACTTATCAGTGAATCTGGTTGTTTCAGTTTGTGGTTGATTGATGCGCATCATTTGAAAACTGAAAACTAGAATCTAGATATTTTCATCGGCAGACATTTGACACCAAGGTATTTTGATATAGTGGAACGTCGCTATGCCAAACACCACTATACCGAACATTCAGCCATACCGAGCACCATGCTTGGCTCCAGATTTGTGTGTACAAAATGTACCAAACATTGTTGTTGAAAAATGTCAACAGACAAGAAGAGCTACAAGTGGCTATTTTTTCCCAAAGGAAAAGAAGGGGAAAGCCAACTTTTGCTGTAGGCAGTCAGTTCAAAAACTGTGTAATTACATGATTCAATAGTTGGCACGTGTTCAAAGTTGTCTTTCAGTAACTACCAGGGCATGCAGGGTGAAGTTCTGAGGGCGCTATTTATTGAAAAGTGAGTACCAGAGCACCAGCAGCTTAAAATCGCTATACTAAAGAATCGCTATTACAAACAATTTCTGTGGATCCTCCGATGTTCATTATAGTGGCGTTCCACGAACTGTATCAAAAAAAATTATACAAGTGCAATGAGCTTCACAAAAATCAACTGTGCACTATTCACTCAAATACAGATCCCTTGACATTGTAGCTGGGAATCTGTTCTTGCAAAAACTTTCTGGTACCAATTCTTACCTGGGTCCCTTCCAGTGTTTCCACGGTAACCAGCTTTTCTGTCAACTTCTCTACCTCCCTCTGGAGTGATCCCATTGTCTTTTGCCTGCTCTGCCTGTAGCATATTTAAAAACGGAAACATCCTAACAATTGAAACATTCAGTTCTGAAGTAGAGAAGTTTCCAAGACCTCTTATTTTTTTAATCAATTATTTCAACTTTCAGCGACAAAAGTCAAAGAACTAGCTTCGTTATTCAATGGAAGAGAGGGGATCTTTATAGTTGACTTAAAGGTTTTCACATCTGCTATTCTAGGGGATAGAAGTTGTTATGGTTTGACACACCCGTGCGTGATAACCCGCCGCTGCGATAACCCGCTGCACGAAAAAGCGTTATCAGGACCAACCATATCATCCACAAACCGTCAGTAACAACTTCTAGGCCAATTGGTATTGGTTGTGTAATGCACGTGCACCCGTTTGGCCTAATATATGCAGCGCGCATTCAAAAATATTAAGAGTAGTTCCGAAGCAAACTCTCAAATTTCTTCTATTAATGAAAAAGATGCAGCAAGACTTTTGTGCAATTTCACTGGTCAGCTCTTTTGTTGTGTGTTAGTATGTTTGGGACTGAAAATGGACCGTAATTATACTGACTAGTGTAAACCCATGACCACCCCATCCCTTACCACCCTTCCCCTACCCTACCCCTACCATGTCCCTTCTTACCTCTCATTCCTGAGTGACGATAGCTCGCTATCCTTACATCCTAGTACCATCTGTAGATTCTCCATGGCCATCTATACTGACTAGTGTAAACCCATGACCACCCCATCCTTTACCACCCTTCCTCTACCCTACCCCTACCATGTCCCTTCTTACCTCTCATTCCTGATTGACGATAGCTCGCTATCCTTGCATCCTATTCCATCTGTAGATTCTCCATGGCCATCTATACCGACCAGTGTAAACCCATGACCACCCCATCCTTTACCACCCTTCCCCTACCCCACCCCTACCATGTCCCTTCTTACCTCTCATTCCTGATTGACGATAGCTCACTATCCTAACGTCCTAGTACCATCTGTAGATTCTCCATGGCCATCTATACTGACTAGTGTAAACCCAAGACCACCCCATCCTTTACCACCCTTCCCCTACCCTACCCTACCCCTACCCATGTCCCTTCTTACCTCTCATTCCTGAGTGACGATAGCTCGCTATCCTAACATCCTAGTACCATCTGTAGATTCTCCATGGCCATCTATACTGACTAGTGTAAACCCATGACCACCCCATCCTTTACCACCCTTCCCCTACCCCACCCTACCATGTCCCTTCTTACCTCTCATTCCTGATTGACGATAGCTCACTATCCTTACGTCCTAGTTCCATCTGTAGATTCTCCATGGCCATCTATACTGACTAGTGTAAACCCATGACCACCCCATCCTTTACCACCCTTCCTCTACCCTACCCCTACCATGTCCCTTCTTACCTCTCATTCCTGAGTGACGATAGCTCGCTATCCTTGCGTCCTAGTTCCATCTGTAGGTTCTCTACAGCCGTCTGCAGCTGTTTATGAGATGCCACGACTCCTTCTAAGGTTGCCGCAATCTTGGCCTGGTCGGTCTTTGCATCAGCGAGGCTTCTTTGGAAGCTTGCTGCCTGAATAAATCCCAAAAGAGACAGTGAGAACATGGAGATCTCTGACAGACCAAAGTCTGAACAAACATGTACATGTACCTGAAGTTTGAGAACAGCACGACAAAGAGAACAACAGATTCATTGTTGTCCCCGAACAGCGATATTTTGTTGAGAATGGTCCCTGCATGTGCTGTGTGTTCACCTTATTGTTAAAACCTAGATTACTCTTTCAATCCACCCACTTGCATTTTGATTCTTTTGTCTGCTCGACATGTGTTGTTCTTGTATCAAATATGCATTGCCCACAACGCTGAACCATTGGAAGCAATTTTGTTATCGAAATGAAAACTTGGAAATTGGGGAGAAGTGAGTTTTATCAAATGGCAGCCAAAATCACAGCCCCTTTTCCTAAAATGAAATATAATGCAGTGTACAATCAAATGACATAGACACATATTTTTTATTCTGGGTTTTAGAGCAATTTTAAGAATGATTTGTTAAAATTTAATTCATATGCTTAAGAAGTTCCCTTTTCCATATTGAGATGACAGCTCTTGTTGCTTGCCAATGGACCTTATTCTTGAGGAAGCCATTTTGGTCGTGTTCCCTGAATGCATTTTATACATTGTGAACTGTTAAATGCAACAGTGCCAGACTATTTATGCATTATAGCCTCACTTGCAATTTTTTTTTTAAAGTGGCTTAAAACATTAGGGTATGTTAAATCACAATGTTTAAATTATTCATCAGAGCAAACTGCTATTAATGTGTAATTAACTTTCATGTAATTGCTTTCATATCTCTTCGCAAGTCCCCAAAATGAAGATTTTACCTCAATTTCAATTTAATATGGCCGAATTGTGAATAAAGCCCATGCTGAAATAGTGTTGATTTTAGTTTTACATGTGCAAGGAGACGTGTTTACCAATGTAGAATAGCTAACTCTCAGTTCTCAAAACCTTTGTCTCACAAAAGATTACACGGTGGTGTAACGCAAACTCAAATGGCCAACATTCAAATTCCAGTCTCTGGAATAAAGGCCACAGATACATTTTGAACGCTTGGTTAGTTAGTACACACCCACATGATTCATTTTTGTAAATTTTTTGTATAGTAGAATTGTTTGTATTTCACCTTTTGTTTTTCCCTGTCCTGCATGACCTGGAGTTGACCTTGTAACCTTTGACATTCCTGCAAGACTTCATCTCTTGCCTGGATAGCCAGACTGAAATCTTTCTCCTTTCTGCCAGAAAGCTCCTGCTCCTATTGAAAAAACAAACAATGGAAACCACAAACATCTTAATCAAGGACGAGGTAACTTACGCCTGTGCATTAACAGTAAGGTGAGAACACCTGTAGTCAAACGATGGTCAAAACGTCATCACAAATGTTCTTGGTCGTTCTGGCTTCCTGCCGTCCACAAACATGTGCAATGCTATCATAACCAGGGTTGCAACCACACAGTTGACTGGACTATCCTCACAGTTGACTGGACTATCCTTGACTATTAAACCAGCGTTCAATCAGAGTTTAACTATAGAACTACAGTCAACCATGTTTTGACTAATAGTCAAAACATAGTTGACTATAGCTCCTAATTGAATGTGCTCAAATTACAGAACTCATTCAATGGAATCATTTCTGATACTTCTTGCTAGGGTTAAGACAACCCCACACCTGATGCCAAACCAAAATTGACCCAATATCTGCTTTCAGACTAGGTTGAGTCTCGTCTTTGAGTCCAATCAAAGACAATCCCCGACATGCAACTACAGCTTGACATTTTATCAACTGGCGATGGTTTTGCTACGAATGCCCTTCAGATGTTTTTAATAGTGATTACTGATTCACAGATACCTGATCTTGCGTTAACCATAAAATGAAGTCTGAGACTGTTTGAGTTATAGTCGTGTTCCCTAACGTGGCGCACTTCGAAGCTTACCCAACTTTCCTCGTGTAGTGTTGCCAAACCTCAAATTCATGCAGTAAAATACTGGTACTTTTACCTTATTAATGCTTGCTACATGTATTTAAACTCTGTGAACAATTTCGGTTTCATAAAATTTAATCCGAAATTCAAAAACGGTGGCGTCCGGAAATTGGGCTCAAATTTGCGGAGCGTTCCCTAACGTGGCGCACTTAAGCAAATCTCGGAAAATTCCAAATTAACATTTAAGAATTTCTGTACATGTGATAAATTCTGATGAATCATTATTATCTCTACTTACATACCCAGCCAGAGGTTTGTCAGAAAATTATTTTCTTATTTTTTGGGGCATTTTCAAAGGGTTCACTTTGCACTTTAAAATAAAATTGGAAAATAACGCCAAAATAACCTTTTCTTTTAATTTTGTAACGGGTAAATAAACTCGCGATTTATAAATGGGAGTGTTTAGAACTTGCTAAAGTTTCACTTTTTGTGAAATTTCAGTTAAAAACTTTTCCTCTAGCTAGGCGTTACAGGCGAAAAATCAAAGTGCGCCACGTTGGGGGCCGCGCCACGTTAGGGTACATCAACAATATAGTGAAGTTGGATAACAAATCACTGGTGTTAATGTGGTGGTAATCACTGGTGGTAATTTACCTGTCTCAATTTACTCTCCAGTCGCTGCATGGTGACTTTGACTGAACTCAACTCACTCGTAGTCTGTTAAAAAAAAAGAGAATTTTGTTGTTGTTGTGAGTTACAAAATGGTGTCGGACTTTTATCACGCTGAAAACTTGCTTTTTATAACCATGCACACAAGCTGGCCCACGTGTACGACCGCCTCCTGTCGTGTGACCAAGCCTGGTCACGTGATGGGACACGTGAGGGCCTCAACAACACCAGTTGATAAAGACACCATGATGGTGTCCCAAGCTCCTGATACGAGCTCTGTAACCAAAGTCTCAAAAAGGTATCTTTTATTTAATTGATATAATAATGGGACAGGAAACGAACTTTCATGCTCGATTGCTTTTTATAGTATTGGGTAAGTCCATATATTTGTTACATCTGATAGAAGATTTTGTCAATTTAGGGCACATTTTTTCCAGAGTGATTTTGTAAAGCAAAGTACCTGCCAAACATATAAAAATAGTTTGAAGTCAATTTTAATGATAATTGCATTGCAAATTGCACAGGTCAGGAGTAACAGGGACACAGAAATGTCACACGTTTGGACCCCAAATGTACGGACTGATCATGATCCCATAAATACTTACATGCGCACTACTTCACTTTTAAAGACAAAATCGTTTTGTGAAACTTGGAGCATGAATACCCCAAATTTTTCCAGAACTTTCTGTTTATTTTTCTCAATGATTTTCAAGGTATTTTTAAAACTCCGTCCACCACAAACAAACTCACTTCGTTTTTGACAATATTTTGTTCCAAATTCAATTCTTCTTTTTCATTCCTTAAACAAGCGATCAATAACACCGTTATCGCACATACTGGAAGAGGGAGTGCATCTGCTCAATGTATCAATTTTTAAGTAAGTAAACTGTACGTAACGGCAAAGACACTGGTCTTTTTTCAATTGTTTGCGTCATGCTTAAGCCAATGTGCACATGTTCAAAACGACGTAAACAATAGAAAAGGACTAGTCTGCTTGCTGACACCAAGCGTCTCAAAACTCTCGGATTAATTTCACTCTGTTTTAATCGTTTTAATGTACTACATGTATTTTAATTGGTGTCACCGTGATTTATAATGTAAAATAACTGTTTTTATGTGATTTTTTTAATGTTTCCAATTGCCAATGGACCAAGATTATCTGTAGTTTTATAATTCGGATACAATAAAGAATCCTCTCCTATCCTATTCATTTGCATTGTTTGTACATGTACCTTGGCATACTGTGCCTGCATGGCTGCATTAGCCTTCTGTAGCTGCAATCCCTCAGTCCTTGCACTAGCTAATGACTGTAGTTCCTCCTGTAACTGGGCCACGCGGCTCTGTAATCTCCCCTTGTCATAGGCCAGACGGTTCTTACTGTCTAGTAGCTCAGCCATCGTTGATTGGACCTTCTGCTGTGCATCCTGGGATACACATAGTGATGTGGCATAGTGTTACTCGATATGTCAAACAATGCACAATGTTCCAAACTGTTTTTCCCAAATAAGCCAGTTCTGTAATCCAACTAGGCAAGTACAACTTCAATATTTTAACAATTTTTCTCTTGACAATCAACTGTAATGCACACCAGGGGTGTGAGTGACCGCTGATAAAAATAGCTGAAAACAGCTGACAAAGGTGTAAAAAAAAGCTGAACTTTGGAAATCTCCTATACTTTTGTACACAGCAAGTGAAGGAAAAAAGCTGAAATCCAAAACAAAAAAAGCTGAAATCAGCTTTAAAGCTGAAATTTCACACCCCTGGCACACAAAGCCACAGAAGGTGCCAACAACATGGAAGAAAATTTTCTGTTTTGTGGTACAAAATTTAAAACACATTGGACCGCACCATTTTTTTTATGATCGCATTTTTGTTTTAGAACTTTAATTTCATATTCTAATTGACTGTACAGAAAATTGCAGACTGCAGATTCGGTGACCATTGCTCCCATAGACTTGTATACATACATTTATCATCGGTGATTATTTAAAACTGAAAAGGGTCGCACATCAGTATGCTCATATGAAGTTGGAACATCGAACTGGCATACTGATTCTATACTAGGCTTATTTCTACAATCAGTAAAACCTGCTTTCGTTTGGATCTTGTAAATAAGCGCCCCCTACATTTGTCGCGCAGACTGCATACCTGTTGCTGCTCCAATGCCGCGATGCGTTCCATCAATCGTCTGTTCTCCTCCATCAAGTATTGCTTGTCCTGTCCAAGACTTGTCAGCTCCAACTGCAGGAAAAAAAACCCAAGACAAAACAGAGGACTGGGGGTTAAGTCTAGGTAACACCAGATAGCATTAGTTAATGGTAGAGGATTTACACAATTACACAATGGTGCAACTCCATGAACGTAACATTTTACTCCATTGTGCAACAACTTACAACACATTACATGAAAGTTAAATAGTGCATTATCTAAGTACTTAACTTATGCAATAATTAATGGACATAACTTAAGTAACTTGACTGACACAAGTTTGTGCACACCATCAGACCATGCAAGAATGAATGGTTAATTACCTTAGACTGGGCAAGTTCCTTCTGGAGTTTCTCTGTCTCCTCTGACATGCCATCTACAGCCAGATTGACCTATCAACAATGAGCAAATCCGTAAAAATGGAGACATTAAAATTAACATGGCATGGTTATAAAAGCAAAAAGCATAACAAGATGACTTTAGTCCATTGATACTGTATGTCAATTGACATACATGTATGAAGTCCATTACAAGTCCATCACAAGCCCAGTCACAAGCCCAGTCACAAGTCCCAAGTCCAGTCACAAGTCCAAAGTCCAGTCACAAGTCCCAAGTCCAGTCACAAGTCCCAAGTCCAGTCACAAGTCCAGTCACAAGTCCAATCACAAGTCACAAGTCCAGTCACAAGTCCAGTCACAAGTCCAGTCACAAGTCCATCACAAGTCCAGTTACAAGTCCAGTCACAAGTCCAATCATAAGTCCAATCACAAGTCCAATAGCGAGTCCAATCACAAGTCAATTCACAAGTCCAATCACAAGTCCAATCGCGAGTCCAATCACAAGTCCAATCACAAGTCCAATCACAGGTCTAATCACAAGTCCAATCACAAGTCCAATCACAAGTCAATTCACAAGTCCAATCACAAGTCCAATAGCGAGTCCAATCACAAGTCAATTCACAAGTCCAATCACAAGTCCAATCGCGAGTCCAATCACAAGTCCAATCACAAGTCCATCACAAGTCCAATCACAAGTCCATCACAAGTCCAATCACAAGTCTAATCAAAAGTCCAATCATAAGTCCAATCACAAGTCCAATCGCGAATCCAATCACAAGTCCAATCACAAGTCCAATCACAAGTCAATTCACAAGTCCAATCACAAGTCCAATCGCGAGTCAAATCACAAGTCCAATCACAAGTCCAATCACAAGTCCAATCATAAGTCCAATCACAAGTCCAATCACAAGTCCAATCGCGAATCCAATCACAAGTCCAATCACAAGTCCAATCGCGAGTCCAATCATAAGTCCAATCACAAGTCCAATCGCGAGTCCAATCACAAGTCAATTCACAAGTCCAATCACAAGTCCAATCACAAGTCAATTCACAAGTCCAATCACAAGTCCAATCACAAGTCCAATCACAAGTCAATTCACAAGTCCAATCACAAGTCCAATCGCGAGTCCAATCACAAGTCCAATCACAAGTCCAATCGCGAGTCAAATCACAAGTCCAATCACAAGTCCAATCACAAGTCCAATCACAAGTCCAATCACAAGTCCAATCGCGAATCCAATCACAAGTCCAATCACAATTCCAATCGTGAGTCCAATCATAAGTCCAATCACAAGTCCAATCGCGAGTCCAATCACAAGTCAATTCACAAGTCCAATCACAAGTCCAATCGCGAGTCCAATCACAAGTCCAATCACAAGTCCATCACAAGTCCAATCACAAGTCCATCACAAGTCTAATCACAAGTCTAATCAAAAGTCCAATCACAAGTCCAATCACAAGTCCAATCACAAGTCCAATCACAAGTCCAATCACAAGTCCAATCATAAGTCCAATCACAAGTCCAATCACAAGTCCAATCGCGAATCCAATCACAAGTCCGATCACAAGTCCAATCACAAGTCAATTCACAAGTCCAATCACAAGTCCATCACAAGTCCAATCACAAGTCCATCACAAGTCTAATCACAAGTCTAATCAAAAGTCCAATCACAAGTCCAATCACAAGTCCAATCACAAGTCCAATCACAAGTCCAATCACAAGTCCAATCATAAGTCCAATCACAAGTCCAATCACAAGTCCAATCGCGAATCCAATCACAAGTCCGATCACAAGTCCAATCACAAGTCAATTCACAAGTCCAATCACAAGTCCATCACAAGTCTAATCACAAGTCTAATCAAAAAATCGCAATTCCAGTCACAGGTAACAGTGGATGGCCAATGACCAAGGAGTAGCCTTGTCACAGTTCATATCAATAGCTTGCCTCTTGAAATGAAGCTGGCTGACTTGTGATTGACTGAGGACACCTTGATTGCGAGAAGTGACCTTCAACAGTAACTTACCGGTACAGATATATTATTTTTATACATGTACATGTACTTTGTCAGTGACGTTAAAGACGTATTAAAGTCACATGATCAGATATTTCTCATGGTAAGTTGAGGAAATTTGGGCCCCGGCCATCTACTGATTGGCAGTCAGCCATGGGCACTACTGGGATTAAATGTAAACTTGATTGACATTGGTCATCAAAAACTGGCTATGATGCTGGCCCCAATTTATCACCTGATCACCAGCAAGTAAATCGCACCATACAATTATTGTTTTTTATCATACAATGATAATCCTTTTTCTTCCCCAAATATACACATATTCCATCTTCACTGATGTAATGCTACAAACAAATTACATGTACATGTGTACTCACTGCTTAACAATGCTTAATGGAAAACCAGAGCCAAAAATGGCAAGTAGAGCATGCATCAAAATCATTTCACAGTATATACAGTCCACTTTGGATACACTAAAGCACATATGAAAACCTCCCCAAAACATCCTGTCTAGAATCAGTGAAAGGAAAACAAGTTGTAAATTGCATTACTTGTTCACAAACTGATAAAAAAAGATTCCCAATCACAATATAATGGGAGGTGATTTCTAAAGTGTGTTCAACTGAACGGCAGATATACATGTACTACATCATTGATGAAAACATTCCCCAGCCAGTCACAAAACCGACAACTGGGGAAAACACAGTGCATGCTTAAAAGGTATAGGACATCATTTGTCATCTGTGATGCGATCAAGCTAAATGAGTCGTTTGTCGTCTGTGGTCTTTTTTTTATATTTCTTTTTACAGATTTGAAGAGCACAATCTTAGCATTACTGATGTGAAAACCGCATGCTGATACCATCTTTAGTTAAAAAATCATGGAAGTCAGAACACCAAGAGATGTGATGAAGTGATGTGATGAAGTGGCCCTATTTTGGCCTGTATCTCCAAATGAAAGTTCCCGACAAAGGACTCATTTAGCTTGATCGCATCACATTTGTGCATTTTTTTGTTTGACAATGTTTGAGTTAACAAAAGTGCTCAAAATCTAAAGATGGGTGCTTTACAACTAACCTGATGAAGTTTCAGCTCAGTGAATGTTGTATATTCCGAGAAAACAATATTCTAGGATTTGATTCAATTCAAAAGTTGCCGAGTAATGTTTTGAATTGCGCCCGAAATCAGTGTCCGGGACACTTTCTCATTCAGCTGATTGCAGCTATGCGATGTCACGCACCAAAACTGACGAAGAATAGCAACCGTGCGCACGTGTGCGTCATGTCAACGCTTGCGCGCACTCATTCATCGCTTCGCCGAATTAAAAACGAACTACTAATGGAAATTTCCAATAATGTGTCTTTAGACACATTGTTGGAAAAGGCCTTCTTTTATTTTCTTCAAAATGACAGCATGCCAGAAAAAATAATTTCACAGGGAGTTTAGTATCACTACTTTCTTTAAACCAAGTATGTTTTTCAACAATAATTTCATCAGTTACTTTTTGGACAGCTGCAATGATGGACTCTACCTTCAGCTTTAAGAGTATCATCCAATGAAACAGGTATGAAGATTTTTATACGACCTGATAAATTATTAAAGGCAGCAGGATATTGGAAGGTTTCGGTTCTGATGATTTAAGTGGGTAGTGGTTGACATCAACCAGATGCCAATACCTGGGAATCAAACTGGTTTCCTGTGGGGGCAGAAGCTGTGAGTTTACGAGACGTTTTCATGTTTTTCATCCACAGAGGTGCAAATCCCTGGTGATATGGTGAGAATAATGGTGTGGAGATTTCATGTCTTGCCAAAAAGGGGAGAAAATCGACACTCTGGGTTCGGGAGAAAAAAGCTTGATGATTTTTCATTCAGTGGACTGGAAACCAAAGGATCTAACAAAAATCAAGGCAGGGGACGGAAAATAAATGTATGGCTCGAGTTGACATCAAGTCTGTCAAAAGTTAAATCATCAGTTCAAATTGAATTCACTGTTGGAGAGAAATTTACCAACTATTTACAATTTAGCATTTAATTGGAACAATCAAATTTTATAGTGGAATTACAAGCTGATGTGGCAGCTCATTTTTGATTTTGTGTGACCAGATTTTGTGTCTAATTTCACACTCCACACGTTCATTAAAAGCATAACACTTAAATAACAGTGGACGCACAATGACTAAAGAGTGCCATTGTCACAGCTCATCTGCATAGCGTGTAACTTGACACAAGACTAGTTGACTTTGCAACTCTGGCATTTGTCTGGGTAGATCTGTGTTTGGATCAGTGAGGTTTATGAAACCCTTACTTTGTTTCTGGCTTTGTCCTTGCCTCAAGCCCAAGTTTCGCAGGAATTCCTGACATACACCAACCATTCGCCTTCTGTGACAGTACTCTGGGTCCCTGTCCCCATAGATGCAAATTATATGCATGACGTGTATAGGTGTGAATCTTGCCTCGTGAATTCAAAATCACAACGGTTATGGCTGCGCGCAACCAGCCTGTTGCAAAATGGGAATAGGCCGCGCCACAAAATGCAATTTCCGAGGTGATGAGATTCGTTTTTGCTGAATTCGAAAGTGTCTCTGGCAAATATCAGTAAAGAGACGATTTTGCGTACTTTTTGTGGTAAGACAAGAGTGAGTTTTTTTTATAATCGTGTGTTCAATCAACGTCCATGAACAAAGCTAAGCAACAATTCAATAAAAAAATAACCATGATGCACGCGTACAGAGGTGAGCCAATCAATGGCTTTCAATGGGAGCTAGCTACCGGTCCCCATATTTTAGGGGAGGGGGCAGGAAACATGTTACTGTAACAGGAATTGGGGTCTCAATCATTGTCAATAATATCATAAACCAATACTGGAGTTTGTTGAGTCAGGGAACTAAAATCCTGACACTGGAGCCTGAACTCCAAGACTGAGATGAAGCCAGGATTTCATAAACACCTACAGACGTAGTGACTGCATCGAAATCAATTGGATAAAAGGTCTGAAAGATGCATATGAGCTAATCCAGCATTATGGAAGAAAACGTAATGTCCGTGACACAGCCAATTAACCATGATATCTAATTAATGATTCAGAGAAATGATCCAAAACTCCTAGTCTGTAATCTCCTTGACCAAATTACTAGATAATGGATGCATACGATTTGAAATATACATTTTCAGCTTTAAAAGGCAGAGCTTTTAAAGCTCTGTCACCGACATTACATTTTCGTCCATAACGGTGGAATTGCCCACATCTTTAATACTATACAAACTGGGCACGTGTGGTCTAGCGGTGCAGCACAGGACTCATGATCATGAGTCTGGCCCAATTGCTAACAAAAGAGAGATGGGCACTCCGTTCCTGTGAACACAGGTTCGTCGCCTTTACTTTTACCTTTTACACAAATGTACATGTATACAGTTTTTTCTCGTATAGTCAAAAAGTCTTGATTTCAGACTAAAGTCTGAAAAATCTCATGGCTCACAAAATAAGGGGGGGGGGGGGGAAGGAGGGAGGATGGTAATTTGGGCAGTGGCTCATTAGACAAATGACAGAAATGATGCTAGCTATACCTCTTCCAACAGGTGTTCCTTTGCTTTCAAGGTATCTTGGTTGTGGTGCCGCAATGCTGCCAACTCATTGTTTAATTCTTCTAAGGAATTTTCCTGTAAACATATAGGAAACGCAGCAAAGACAAAAACATTAACTTGACCACAAGACTTCTTGATATCAATGTGCCTGTAAAAAGGTACTATACGGGTATATAGGCCTATTGTTAATTTTACTAAGATCGTACAATAACTGCTGAGCTAGATTTACTTAGCTATTGTTTCCACTCTAAAAACTGAATAGCAAGCTCAAAAATATACAATAATATGTATACATGTACCTACGTTTTACACAGACAAAAAGACCCACATTGACATTTTAATCACACTGGAAAAAAGCTGGCAATAGATGGCAGCAATTACTTAATGTTTTTGGGTACATGTTCAAGTGTTGATCTCAGCACATTTCAATGTTTAAGGATTTTAAACAGAAATTGCATCATGTACCCATACACAGTAAATTGCAATAATAAATATGTGCTTGGCTGATTTTAAACAAGTAAAAATAATAATAATAGTGTGTATTTACAAAGAGCACATATCCACCAGGACTGGTGCTCAAGGTGCTACATCATTATTACCCCTGCTCATTGGGCCAATTAAACATTCCAAATACCATCTCAGCTCCCTGGGGAGTATACAGCTCGATGCAGCCTGTTAGGCGCAAGGAAGCTAATTCAATCACAATAACATGAATAACCATGTTTGCCCTCACAGGTACCCATTTACTCCTGGGTGGAGAGAAGCAATGAGTGACAAAGTGCCTTGCCCAAGGCACACGCATGCATAACCCCAGGCTGGACTCAAACCCACAACCTGCAGCTTTACCTGTAGACCAATGCCCTTAACCATGAGGCCACAGCACTCCACTAGAGTACGTTTCAAACCGAGCCAAAGGCAAGGGCCATTATCTGCAACCAAGCCCCTAGCCTAAACGTACTTGGCCAAGCACATATTTATTCCCATTCATGAAATTCAAAACAGGTTAAAAATTCACAAATTTCCCACTGATTTTGTTCAACAATATTACTGTTTTGTAAAACACCCCTCTGGCCATGTCTATGGTATGTGTCTGGCACGCGTAGTGCTAAAAATCTGCTCATATCGTGTACTGTGTGATGTGACGCAGAACACAGGGGGTTTAAAATCACCCACGTGACCATGGTGACGGGCTCTCGACCAATATGAGTGGGTAAGTTGTCTAAGGTAAAAAGATAACTCCCTGCTTGTTGGAAAAGGTGTAGTACACGTATTTTGATACTTTACATACATGCATTTGTAGTTACCCCACACCCTGCACAAAACATGCATTTAAATACATGTACCAATTTTTAACCTGAACATGTAACTTAGTCTCAACAAATCTTTCTACCTTTTTCATTGTTGAGGGACTATATTGTAATGCATAGATAGAGTCAAACTTGTCCAAAGGCTTGTGAAAGTAGTACAACTTCAGACCCCTGATACCATCCTTAATCACCCATCCCCTCTCCTACAGGAGACATAATAGCCACTGACTTTCTGAAAAATGCTGTGTGAAGAAGGTAACCTTTCAGCACCTGGGTCTCTTTTACTGGACAAGTAAATGAATAAATGTACAGCCGTGTCTGAAATGGCATTTTACTATAAAATATTCAGCCAGTTTGCCAAATCATCTCATGCAATTGATGGAGTAATTAAAAGATGCCATGGCTGTCTCTGCTGAATCAGTCAGGAAACGTAAATCACCCCTTTTTATCATCAACATTCAAATAGTCCGCTGATAAAGAACAGGCAGAGAATAAACGTCAGAACTCATTATTATTGTATGATATTTGTCCAGTGTGGTTGACGTTGACAGATTTATCTGTCACTGCAGTGTGTCACTTCGGAGGTGGTGTGAGATGGTGGTACAAGGGCACGATGTGACATGAATGTTTGATGAGGCAGACAGATATAAACTTTTCAAAATGAAAGCCAGGCTACATTTCAAAACAAAACAGATTCATATTTATATTGCTTGCGAAAATGCAACTTAAACTTTATGTAGGCCTATTGAGTTCACTGTGCACACTTGTACAGTTTTTGTATCTTGCTGTATCGACGCACCAATGTGGTGGTATTATCATGGGAAATTCATGAACAATCTGAACAGCAACTTCTGAAGTTTAAATTTTTGGGCTGGTTTCCTCGGTCATGTAGGGGTCATTAGAAGTCATTGCTTAAAAATGCACAAAATTTGACTTTCTTAAAGAAAAAAACATACAGGGATTGTTTTTTTACGATCATTGTAATTATAACGTCCATTCCTTCTCAATAATACTCCTTAATTTGAAATGTGATACTGCATTTTGCCAGGATAAGATTGTAACATTTTAAATTAAAGAACAATCATATTTTTGTAACTCATGGCGTGACAAATTGATGCTGTTCATGACGGATCCAGCTCTTTAGGAGCCGACCCGACCAAACCTACTAACTGGTCGGGTCCTCACGCATACTTTTGGAGCTTTTCTAAAGGGAGAGTGCATGTGTGCCCCAGGGGATTAAGATTGTTATCACCACTAATCCTATAATGAGTGTGATAAGAGATCCTGCCTGAACGATTCAGCTTACAATTTTGCAACTAAATACCTTGATATAAATTCATATAAATATCTTATTATTTACGTGTGTGAAATGTTATTTTGTTTTCTTTTTTGAACGGTTAAATTCCATAAAGTAATGACAGAGAACGATTATTACATACAGATGCACATACAGTGTATGTACATGTACATGTACATGTCCATGTGGTCATATGGTAGTTCCAACACTCACCCAGCCAGCTGTGTTGTCCACAGGAGGTTGTTTATTTAAGTGATTAGGGGGATTATCTTGCTGGACATGGGTGAAGTGTGTTTACTCAAGGACTCCCCACTGGGGTTGAAAAGTATGTGTGAATCCATCTAGGTTTTCTAAAGGGCTGTTCACGTAATGTTTTACCAAAGACACCGCATATAAACAAACGCTAAGGTAACACACATGTAGGTACCAGACTATTCCTCATTTGCATACATGTTCCCAAATTTTGCACATGCAAATTAAATGATCCGATACCAGGGTGAGAGAGCAGGTAGTGGTAGGCGCGTACTGCTCGACACCCTGGGGATGAGGTTGCCGATTCCCGTACTACCCGTAAAAGCACACTCCTGAACATTACCAGTAAAAGTACCCCCTAGAAGTTAATATTTATTTTCAGTGCCTCTTGCTTACTGTCTCCATGAAATAGACCTGTGTAGAAGATTAGCAGAAAACCATGCGTCCCAATGATAAATTGAGCTTATACATGTACGGTACATGTAGGTCGGGTAGATGCAAAGTACGTCAGGATGCAAAAATTCATCAGGATTTTCATTGGCAGTCGCCAGCATGATACCGACCAAGACACAAGGGTGTTGAAGATGACCAATGATTATGATGCAGTCTGCGGGGGAGTTATGACCCCCAGAGGCCCATTAGCGAGGTGTCTTGTGACTGGCCCATTGAGGGAGGGGGAAAGGGATGACTTATAAGCAGGTGGGATAATGATGAATAATTGAAAGTGACAATGAACAAGCGACAGATTAATAGGGATTTCTGCATCAAGCCCACAGTACGTCAATGACAAGTTGTTTCAGTTGGGCAAACTCCAGACCGCAGTTGAGTTGTGTTGGTATTAAGTCCTCATAAAAAATGTGTGCTGTTAGTTTACCATCTCATTTTGCAGGAGTATTTATGGTTTTTAATTAACGTTACTGTCTCATTCCCTTCAGCCGCTCTTTTTCATTCTAAATAAGCTGCAGAGACTAAGCACATACAACTACTGTTTGTTTTTTAAATTTCCTCCACATCAAAAACATTTTCTTTGGAGAGGGGAAGGGACGACATCAAAAAAAAAAATTTCGAGCACAAATGTGAACACCTGTACACATGTACAGGGTGGTACAACTGAAAAGAAGGAAACCCACTCTTAACAGGAATTTTAACCCACTTAACTTATTTGAACTGTTTTTTTCTGCATCATGTAGTCAAGTATAGCTCTTCAACCATACGTGGTGAAAAATCTTTAAAAAAATTGCAAGAATAGTGTTATTATGATAATTTGAATACAAGTCACTAAAACCACTGTTGTCCACATGTAAGTCTTGTGTAGTGTTTTTGTCTTAGTCAAGCGGCTGGAATATTCTTGTACTTTTTTTTTTCAAAATAAGACTCATCTTTCGATTGCTTGTACACAGCATTCCATGTGCTATAACTGCCCTGAGGAGGAGCCAATGACAAATTTTCCCCCCGAAACCTAAGCACAACTTCATCAAGTACAAAGTATATAATTCTGTCACATTATGATTGCCTGCACTATGCAGAATTTATAGTACTAAGATTCCTACTTATTCAAAAGCCAAACATTCAAAACTATTATTCTTGTTTCTTAGGCATGTTAGGGTTAGTTCCAGCTACTGTACATTGTACATGTATGTATACCTCCTTATATTTTGGTACAGCTATCAAACTCTTTTCCATGGCCAAAAAGACAGCATAATATGTACATGTACATTTACATGTACATTTGCTGAAACCTTTCTTATTCCATTGAAAGGTAGCTTTGGATGAACTCACCAGTGATTGGATACGGTTCTGGTTTTGCCTTGTCACATCCTGGTAACGTTCTTCTGTGACTTGTAAACTCATCTGCAACTCTGAACTGGACCAAAAATCCCAGAAATGTACATGTACTTGAAATTTGTACGATGGCAAAATCTGTATGATGCACGCAATATCAGCTTTTATGTATGGTTTTGTCAGAGGGCACCAGACAAAGCAGTGAATATGTGGAAGGTTTTCAGTTGTTTGTTTGAGATTTCAGATGAAAGTTACCCCCGAAAAAAAAGCTTAAATGAGCAAGATTAGCAGTTCTTGGAGGTACACCAACTTGCTAAATGTTTTATGCTGCCTGCTAATACAAAAAATGTATGTTGTCAATCTGTTCACATTTTTACTTACCACCGTTCTATATTTATTATTATTTTTAAAAATCATTCCCTTATTCATCTAACATAAAAAAGGCAACAGACAATTGTACCTTTAGATTCTTGATTGTCATGTAACTTTGTGAGCATTTACATGCGTATTTCCCCGATATTTCCACTTGTGCCATGTGCAGTGCTATTTAGGCATGAGAATGATTTTCAAGAATAAACAGGAAAAATTACTGAAAATTACTGTAACTAAGGTATCCAAAAAAAATAAAAAAAATACAAGAAATGTGATGCGATCAAGCTATTTTTTAATGAGTCGTTTGTCGACCCCGGTCAAATTTTTTTTATTACAGATTTGAAAGGAGCACAATCTCAGCATTACTGCTGTGAAAACTGCATATTGATACCATCTTTGGTTGAAAAAATTATGGAAGTCAGAACACCAAGAGATGTGATGAAGTGGCCCTATTTTGGCCTGTATAGATCTCCAAATGAAAATTCCCAACAAACGACTCATTTGGCTTGATTGCATCACAAATATTATTAGGCCAAAAAAAAAGTCTCCGGTTTCTGGTATGCGCGCGCGTCGCCATAGCCATGGGCGTCGGCAAAATGAATTTTTTTTTTTTCAATGAAAGATGATGTCTCAAAACCACCAAACTCACTGGTTTGACTGAAATCCTGCTGCTGCACAATTTTAACGTGTTTTTAGATTGGGTTATGGTCAAGAATAAGCTTTATGTGGCCTCTCTGGACTCCCATATATTTCCACTAAGTTTAGTCGGACACCATTTGCAGTCATCAGCCTACATTTGAAGCAAAAAAATCAGGTAAAAAAAAAAAAGCCGCGTAGCCGCACCACTTTTTGGGCAAGCTCCATACCAGAAACCGGAGACTTTTTTGGGGGGCCTTAGGTAGTGACATTTTTTTCCAGGATCCACTTTAATGTTCAGGGGATTTATGTGCATTTCTTTATTGTCATACAGTGGGTTTATTTTCCCTTGTTTTCTTTTTTACTGTGGACATAAACACAGCACACTGGCTGGGAGACTACCTGAGTTGTTCTGCTGCTGTTCTTGCCTGCGTCTCCTCTGTCAGCTGGGACTGAAGCCTGGCCCTCTCAGCTTCAAGCCGGCGCAGACTCTCAGTTACTTTGATGGCTACGGACCCTGGCTCTGATATCTGGCGAAGAAAATTGCAAACATGAAGTAAAATTGGAAACATAGATTGCTCGGGAAAAAACATGAAATAGCGCAATCAGGTCTAAACAGTACGTCACATAAATTCTTTATGAACACTAACTTGACTGAGCATGTCCGTTTTTAGTTCAGAAAATCAATGGTAAACAGTCGGAAAATGTCCAATACTAAGGTGTAATATCGCCCTCTGTTACATATCCTCACTCATGTGGGTAACTGTAACATAAGCTTTCATGACATCTGAAATCATAGTAGTAGTTAAGTCTGTCACGAGCCAATGTGGCCCATCTGGCTGGCGTTTATCTTTGGTTTCAGTAGCATGAAACATGTTAAACGACTGAGGATAGTTCTACTCCCCCTGGATGGGATGCTAGTAATCGCAGGTTACTCCCCAGCTAATGCCGGTGCCCATTTACATGTATACTCCTGGGTGGAGAGAGGCAAGTTGGGGTGAAGTGGCTTGCCCAAGGACACAACATACCGGTATGGCCAGCAGCTGGATTCAAGCCCCTGATCCTCTGATCATGAGTCACAAACTGTAACCACTAGACCAAACTCCTTATCTCAAATCATGACTTTCTCTTAATACTGCATGTACCGGTACGTGCACATCTTTCCCACAGAACTTCTTGAATACTTCAAATTCCTCCACTGTGCGGAAAACCTACATGTATGGCAATTCCTTTGTACAAGTACTGTGAGTTTTAGGAGGCATAATGTACAGTGTATTATTATGTTGTGGCAATGTCCTTTCATTCTTAGTTAGAAATTAAGAAATGCTTACAGCAGATATATCAGTTTACTGAATCAGAGATATAGGTTGCCCAAAACCCCCTCTATTGTCTATTGACCACAATGCTAAACAAGATGTTGCCTCAGCACTAAAAACATCCCTAAAAAATACTTACAAATAAGTTAATTTCGAGACTCGTATTTGATTGGCTAATTCCTACAGGGGGATTCCAAGGTGAGCTATACTAAGTCCTACCTTGGTTATGAGTTGCCGTAAGCTTGTTGGGCTTGTACTAGTAGACAGTGCTTGGGTCAACGCACTATACAGTGCAGTCCTCTCCTCTTCAAACTGCTTGACCTGTGTCTGTTTACAAACAACCAAACAAAAAAAAAAAACAAATTACATGTAGCCTTGCCAAACTTCCCATTGAATCAAAATATTTCAAGGGACAAAAAAAGATCCTTGGTAAGAAATGATTATAAATCAATTTTTAACAATTTTGTCCTTCTTGCTTGATGTACATGTAAATGTAATGATACATTGTAAAATTACTGTTTGCTCAGTGCCTTACAGGTTAGAAAACTTCACCGTAGCCACTACGTACATGTAGCTATCTGACTATGGTAGGACTCGCACATGGCCATAGGGCTTAATGGGGTCAGCTGGCCAGGTTGAATTTGCCAGCATGGGTGTCACAGGGGGGGGGGGCACTTGCCCCCTGGAAAATGATTTTAAAAAAAGAGGGGAGGGGGGGGGGAGGAAAGGGAAAAAGAGGTGCAAAGCCATCTTGCTGTTTATTTGATGAAAGGGGGGGGGGGGTAGGGCAAATGCTCCCCTGCTCACGCTCGGAAAAATGATAAATTGAGAATATTAATGAAAAAGTTGAGAAATTTTGGGAAAAATTTGCTTTGCCCCAGCCCACCTGGAAAAAATCCTGGCGACGCCCATGTCTGCCAGCAGTGGATACTGCAACCTTTGATATTTGATCGTGTTAATTAAGTTTTAATTTCAATACTTGGCTGGTCCTTTCACTGATTTAGACGGACTTGAATTTTTAAAGTTACGGTATGCTGGTTGTTATCTTGCCGTTGCCCCTCTCAGCAACCCCCTCCCCCATCAAAAAATATACTTAACTAGCCGGGGGGGGGGGGGGGGGGCTACTTTAGGAAAAGAAATTTCACGGCCTCTCCAAATGCAGCACTTATCAGTCCATTCTTGATTTACAAATCTGAAAGCTAAGCCCTTACTTCGGCTCCATTTTTTAAAAATAAATATTGTATTACAACTGTTGTGTTGAGCAAAAAGCACAACCAGCAATGAAAGCACTCTCCAATATTACTTTCATTTCAAAAACAAATTGGGTGGAGGAGGAAAACCAAGTTAATTACATACGGGATGTATATATTTATCAACTCTTCACACACTTTGTTCCTGTATTCTTAGAATCAAATAGGATTAAATATATGTGAAGTAGTAACTTTATCTCAATAGACCTGTCAAAACACGATCTGCTGCGTATATAATACATACAAATCAAGCATCAATTATGTAAGAACTGAACAAACAACTTTTTTTGCCAATGGACCTGTCATCGACACGTCCACTTCTTTTTACCCCAAATGTCAAATGAACAGGTGCATTAAACAGAACAGGAACTGTTAGCAAAGATGTGAAGAATTCTCCATTTCCTCAAATGTCATTCCCATTTGAAGCAGAACAAAACATAAAAGCTTATAAATCATATCCTGAAAGAGAGAACTAAACTTGGCAATGCCCCCAGTGCTGAAGAAGCCATCACTTAAAGAATGTCCAAAGTATGACCACTTAAGATGATTATACTGCTGGGAGGCACGCACAGCCGGAAAAAGATTTGTCTCTTTTTTGTGTGCTAGTTCTTGCCATTTCTGTGTGTGAAAAACACCATTTAGCAGCTGTGGTTGATGGCATTTCAAAACATACCTCTCCATTGGCATTTTTTTGTAAATTTGTTCCCAGGCAAAAAGATACCTCAACATTTCTGACACAATCTTGTCCACGTTTGTCAATGACTCTACTCTACTTGCAGGCAAAGGCATCCAGACACATGTTGGACCTTTCCTTTTCAGAACAAAAAGTTTTTTTCCTGAATATTCATCAATCAGCATTCGTTTTCACAATGTTTCTCAAGAGAATTCAGAATGGAGTCCAATGTATGATAATTGTGTAACGCATGCATAATACACGTACAGCCCTTGCTACATTGTGTACTTAAAAAACGCATCATACATTTTGCATTTTTATTCAAATGTATGCACTATTCCAAAACATGCATTATACATGTATATGTACATGTATGTTGGAAATATTTGCTGGTAAATTCCTAATTTGTCTGAAAGCCTGCAAATTTGTTGGGTACATATTGCACAGTGGCACTTTCATTATTAGTTGATGCTTGTACACACTCAGTATGACCCCTTCAAAGCTTTACTCACAGCAAGAAATGCATCTCTTATACACAGATATTGAGCCTCAGGATTTATGTGTAGACACATAACCATTATAAAAGATTTGAATTTAAGATTTGGCTAAAAACAAAAATACCACACCCCCCCTCAAAAAAAAAAACTACAGAAAAAAAAACTGTTCAGAAACAAAACGAGGGTATCTTGACCTTTTGATAAGACATGATGCAGGGATTAAAAATAAACCCAAGGCTGAATTCTAGTATTACTACACGTATGATTATGAATAACATGGTCCAACAGCTAAAATAGACCCTTCTGTCATCTGTATACATAAAGTCACAAGTTTCTTGAAGCAAAGTATATGCAATCCTTGAAATGTACCTTTGCGTTCCATTTAACTTGATTTGCAATCTTGATATTGCCAATATAAAGACCTTTTTGTGCCTTTTGGTTTTATGCTGATGCAAATTTCCATATTCATAAATAAAACTGTGATGTCATTCAATGCAGAAACTTGAGTTCACATCTGCTTCAGTATAAAAGGTCACCAGAATTGTAGGGGTTTGCTGTGGCTATGTCTCTGGTTATGACAGTAAGACAATTTGACAAAACGTTATGCACAAATATTTTCAACAAGCAGGATTTGGGGTTTACATTTTGAAGAGAAAACCCTAATCTGAAGAGTGTGTTCCTAAAGTGACATCACAGCAACAGCGCCCTCAGAAGTCAGGAAAAATATGAAACATTTTCAATATTTTAAAAAGTGCAATTTGCAAAAAATTTTTTACCAAAAAGGGATGTCTGATAAATGTACAATGGAGTACCGAAGTGTGACATCATTTAGAACTAGAAAGTGTAGTGCAAACCAATGGAGTACGCGCTCGTGTTGGTTCTTGGGCTGAATCACGCGCTAACGTCTTTTACACACATTTTGTGCGCGTGACGTATTCACTTCAATACTCCATGGGTGTGCACAATCAAAAACTTGGAGCTATAGTACATCTATGATGAAAAAAAAAATGTGTCAAGATTTAATTAACTTTAGATAAAATATATGCAGAGGCGCCTCTTCTGCCAGAAAAAAATCATGGGGGGGGGGGGGGAGGGAGGGAGGGGCTGGACATGGTTATGAGAGTAATAGTTTTTTTTTGGGGGGGGGGATATCCTCCCCTTTGGGTGTTAACCTGCTCATAATAACCTAGGAAAACACAAACATGTATGTGTTCACGTAGCCGCAACATCCTTTACTTAGTCTTTCACTCCACTATGCAAACCCTCCAGTCTTGTAAAAACTTCCTCACTTCATCAGAAACTGTTTAATTTCCTATGGGACTTTGAAGTCACATTATACGTACACTCTCAAACTGGGTCTAATTTGCTATCATTTCTGCAGGCCAAAAGGTCCCAACCTTCTCCATGTACACAGCCCCAGCAAAATTAACGAAACCTTAGACCACTAGATTCAATCTTTCAAACTCCTTGTTATCATCTTTGTCAGAGAGAAAATACAGGCAGGGCAGGGAGTCCTGTTTCAATGAACTCAGGCTAAAATATCTGCTTTCATAATCTGTTGTCTTTCAGGAATTTTTTTTTCGGTGTATGTAACTTGATTGTGTACACAGCAGTGGGACCTCAAACTGCCGACACGGGATTCTGGAAAAACACGGGCATTCTAAATTGGGTTTCTGTGGTATACATGTACATCCATCGGATCATGTTTTCACTGCTACCGGTATGTTATTGGACCAAGTGATGTCATGTTTCATTTATGAAAAAAATATGGAAACTTTATCTTGTTAAAATTTCATTTAAAGGGCATACTGGTAGTTAGAATTAGTCCGATTCAAAACGGATGAATCGAGACCTGCCAAATACTAAGTTTAACCTCATACGTGTAAATCTACAGTGTACAGGGTGGTCCAAAAAAGGTTAACACTTTTTCAGAGGCAGATTTCTCAAAATTGAAGAGACAAGAGACATTTTTTTTAAGATATTCCTAAAGTCCAAGATCTTTGTCGTTTATGGTGAAAATATGAATGGTGAAAGTTAAATAATAAGGGCCTTTTACATAAGAATGGTAAAAAAGTAGTTTGTCCACGTCTACATGTATGTCAGTCATGTAGACCTACATGTAATTAGAATTATTGCAGTCTTTGTGCATGCAGTGCTTATGTGCTGACCAAACAAGTACATTGTAGCTCATAGACTTGCATGTGGACGAACTGGTTTTTGACCATCTTTTTTAAACCATCTCCATTTCTTAATTTAGGCTTTATTTTTAATGTTGTTTCACCATACACCACATAGATGCGGTAGTTTGGGAATATCTTGAAACAATTTTAACGTGTCTCCCCAATTCCAAGAAATCTACATCTGGAAAAGTGTAAAAAAAAATTTACCACCCTGTATAGCAACTACACCAAAGAGAAAGCTCAAATTATGACTAAAAGGCCGCTGATTAGGTTTACTTTTAAAAGCTCAACAAAGCAAATAGACAATTCCAGAGTTACTCAAGTTACATTTGGATCAGTTCTTCTGTCAACTTTGTGATGTTATTCTTTAAAGTCAAAGCATTTAGGGTGGATTTTTTTTCTCAAAGGAAATCCCTTGAAATTAGGTGAGTAAACTATAAAATAAAAGGTAAACAAAATAAAGTTCTGTTGATCTGGGAATCACTTTTTTATCGGTAACACAAATGGACATGGAAAACAAATGAAGTATGGTAACCTGCATTTGAAAGTTTCCTTATACTATGAACTGTTAGAAAGATCTTTTCAGTGCCCCTACATGTACATCATTTGGGTGTAAGTCATATGCTACCACAACAATTATTTTAAAATCTCTAGCGGGATATATTTTTGTGACTCACATTACAGTAACTCAGGTTACAGTTTGCCCAGCCATCTTTGGTACAAAACAAAACATATAAGAAAATTAAAGTCTCACAAAAAAGTCTTTTGGCAAAATATGAACCTTTCCGTCTGCCTGAAAACCACAAACTCACAATAACACTTACATTTTGCATGTGAAACAAGGTGCAAAAAGACTACCTAAAATCCATAACTCTAGCCTAACAAAAACACCTGTTTTTTTGACATGTCACTGGCACATCACTCAATGAAAGTTGTGTTCCCTTTAATTTTGACCACATTTGACGTTGTGATGATTCCCCTCCATGGATGATTGTAGTTCTAAGGATTTCATTAAATTTCCACTTTTCCCTCTCTCATGGAATTACCCAAATGATGTCAGTAGGATTTGAACTATTTCAAATGTGTTTTGTAAGATAGCTTTGTGGGTTGTTCACAGATAGTGTTCCTTAGGCCAAAAACAAGTCTCCGGTTTCTGGTATGCGCGCGCGTCGCCGTAGCCATGCGCATTGGCAAAATGAATTTTTTTTTTTTCAATGTAAGATGATGTCTCAAAACTGCCAAACTCACTGGTTTGACTGGAATCCTGCTGCTGCACAATTTTAACGTGTATTTAGACATGTTAGATGGGGTTACGATTGAGTATAAGTTTTATGTGGCCTCTCTGGACTCCCATATATTTGCACTAAATTTAGTAGGGCACCATTTGCAGTCATCAGCCGATATGTGAAGAAAAAAAAACGGTAAAAAAACCCCCAAAAGTCGCGTCACTTTGATAAAACATTCCACAATGGACTGTGATAGTTGTTGGACACATGTCGCACGCAAAACACCAAGTACCAAGACGACAAAAAAAACGCCCGGAGAAAAGACGCACTTCTTGGGAGAAGACTGGCGCATGAATTCTTAAAAAACACCGCCCCCTAGGGGATGTGCAAATTATTTATTAAAAACCTCCTCAGCTCTGAGGAGATGAATCTCCAGGATATCATCACTCATCTCAACAATGCACAGCAATTTTTCTTCCATGAATAAACCATTCTCTGATATTTACTCCGGCATATAAATCTCCCGAATATCAAAGACCCCGTTTGCCAAACCCCAAAAATGGCCTGCGGCAATATCCAAATTTTGTTTATAACAAATTATGTACATTAATAACAGGAACAGGATATTACATTCATGAGGTTCATATGTTCAGCCGAATTAATAGGTTCCTTAGGGGAAATTTATCGCACTTGAGATCAAATTAAAATCAAGTATAAAAATACATAAATCTTGCTAACACCGCCTTCGGAGTTTAAAAATCCGTACATGTAAGTATTACTTCCAAGGGTGTGTGTTAGTGAACGGTTTACAGTTTCAAAAGCCCGTTACCGACTAGCCTCCTAAAGATGTCACTCAAATTGACAAGACTTGGGTATTCAGGAGAAACTGGTTTAATGGGGTATCCTTTGCATACCCGTAGATGTGAATTTATATGAGAGGGGGTTGTGATGGATGCAATTTCATCAACAGGTGTTTAAAAATCACTTCTCTTCTCAAAATCACAGCCCCTCACCCTCCTGAGGACGGACAGAGCACACTGTCCGAAACGTCGAGTTCTACACTCAACCAACCGGTTCTTTTCAGAACCACACTTCTTCCAAGAAGAGATTTCTGTCCACATGGTGTTACCCGCAATTTTTGTCTATTTTATGTCATCTGCCATGCAAAGCTTTAAGTCATATATATGTGGAGCGCTGTGGTCCAATGGTTAAGGTGTTCGGACTTGCCGCGGTACGTGGGTTCGAACCCGGACGGGGAACATGGTGCTTGTGTTCTTGGGCAAGACACTTTACTACAATTGCCTCTCTCCATCCAGGAGTATAAATGGGTACCTGTGAAGGTAGAGACCAGATTGTGCTGATCTTGAGATGCTGCAGAAACTGGTCTCATGGCCTGATGAACAGGGGTAATAATTGTGAAGCGCTTTGAGACCTTTGGTATAAAGCGCTATATAAGCACTATATTATTATTATATTATTATATAGCCCAAAGTGCATTAAATCTACATCCACATCTATAATTACGCTCTATCAAAGCATATACAAGATAGAGACGTTTGGCAACTTGATCTTCATTTCATGAATGTAGGCTTTGGGCGTGAACTCGGGATACCTGGGAAAGTGACAAGTGTAAAACCAATTTCCAAATCAATTCTTTTTGAGATGCCGAACATACCTCTGTGTTCTCTGACACTGCCCTGGAGTTCTGCATTTCGTTGCGCAGTGCCACATTTTCTCGCTTGATGCCGTTCAGGGTAGCCAGAAGAACCTGATGTGGTGGAATAACAACGGACAGATTAACACGCTTGACTAATAAAATATACTTTCATTCATTTAACTGTACTGGCCTACTCAAATAAAATCCTAAACTCACCTACATTTTAGCCAAATACAGTGAAGAAAGGGTGGGAATGTTTTATCGTCCATCCCTTCATACATGACTTCAAATCCTTGTCAAAATTGACATTAGACATGTCAGAAAGCGAAGCATTGAACAAGGGAAACCGTTTGCCTCATTGACCATTAATCCTCCTACATGTCCTATGCAAACATCCTTGCAGTCACTCAAAATCAATCAAGTGACTGTTTCCAACCCTTAAAGGGAATGTACATCATTTGCTTTTGCTGTAGTTTTCAGAAATAAATGGATTTGGAGGATTAGTATGTTATAGCAAATATTAGGAGCAGTTTTTGAACAAAAGCCAGTTTTCTCCAACGCTGGTCGGCAGACCAGCATTGGAAATTGATACAAAAATACCACTTTACTTAAAAATGTCAGCACACCAGGAGCCATAATTGTACGGGACGCTTTAGACTGTCATTCCCTTAACAGTCCAGTAAAGAATTTTGTGGTAATTTAATCATTTTGTTTTGGATGTTTGCAAATGTTGTATCTTCCCTTTAAGAATTCCCAGCCCACATACATGTAAAGCAGGATTGACTGCCTTGCACTGCTTGATACAGCTTTGCTTCGACTCCGGGAGAGTGATAAAACAGCTGCGCGCGCCCACAACTTGCCTGCTTTGTCTGTTGACCCAGTTTGACTAAACGCAGTACTTGCTTGACCCATGAGCTGACTGCTGGTGACTAGCCTTTGTTACAAGTATAGCAGGGGAAGTGGAAGTGAATTTTGACTGTCCGTGACTGCTTAAATAGCAGGAGGGATAAAGTTGAAGCACAAAAGTCAGTGTAACCATGAATTTTGGGGATTTTTTTTACCAAACACGGCTGCTTTACCTTCAAAAAACTTCAGAGGCAAAGAAAATTAAAAGAGCATTTATTATCATAAATAAGAATCAAATCATTGGCTAAGTGGGTGCAGGATCATAAACATCATGGCAAGATATGGTGCCAGTTTTATAGCGCCGTTGAACAGTTTAATAAAGAATGCTGTAATAAAAAAGAAAAAAATAGGCTGCTGCTTACTGCTTACAGTCTCCATGAAATGGATGAAGGTCCTGTTAAGCAGAAAATTAAGTGCTTAGCAGGACCATAAAATGACACAATCATCACCTGATTTTCTTCATGGAATTCAGTCAACTGAACTTCTTTAGCACCTGAAATAAAAAAAAAATCACGATGTAAATTACAAAGTATAGCTATGCGAGTGAGAATTTCCTTCTTACGACCTACTGAGGCATTCTTGACAGATTTACTATAGTTATTGACCATACCACTTATACATCTTAAGCATCAGTATTGAAAATAATCCGCTATGATCAAAATTTCGTATTTAAATTGCATTGCGCATTCAAATCTCTTTGGATTTTATTCCAAGGCTGATACTACGAAATCGTATCTGTCATTAGAAGATGAGCTAGTCTTACCTTGCAAGCAATCCTAGGATCAAGTGAGCTCCGTAAACATAAGATACCTGAATGTTCATGAGTCCTTTCCCCCTTGCCAATATACACAGAGCTTTACTGAAAGGCATCTTTACTTAATATGATAGCTATTCAGCTCATCTTATCTCATGAATAGGAGCATAACTTTAAATGAGTATATCGTCAGAAAATCACTGCTCTCTCCGTTTGCATTTTGTTTTTGGCGGGCAGAATATATCATTTCAAGACGAAGAAATAATTCCCAAAGGGTAGTTGAGGGCACAAGCAGGAAATCCTCTGAAGGAACAGACATGAAAACATTTCGTAGTCCCATTATACAATGTTATGATTCAACTTTTGCAAACTGCATTTCCATCTTCAATAACATGAAAATTTAATTCCATCAGGCCATTTTTTTTACTTACTTGGATTATGGAATTGTCGCCGAAAAAAATCGGAAATCCTTTACAAATTGAATTGAATCTTCAAACTTGGTTGGTGAAATACTGAGTACCTTGTTTTTGCCTCATGAAAATTTTGGAGAAGCTTGCCGGCTAAAAGAGTGAATAAATTCATCTGATTTTATTTTGCGTGTTTTTGAGCACTGATGGTCCCAGTCTGGCCAAAGCCGTAGACAAAGCGAGGGTTACAGAAATGTTATTCATCCAGCAAGTTCTATCCAGCAAGACATTTCTGTTAGATGAGTTACCCTTACCAAGGTCTGCCCGCAGGGTCTTGACCACCTCTTCAAGCCTCGTCTGCCGGGTTGCATGATTCCTCTTCTCTTCCTGGATTCGAACCCCCTCCTGCCTCAGATCTGAGCAGTCACTAGACAGGATTTGAACCTGACATATCAAAATAAATAAATAAATAAATAAATAAAGGTCACCCGAAAAAAGTGTCTTAACCCAGTAGCACCTGTACTACACCGTATATTGTGTTTATTTACCAACCCTCCTGCTATTTAAACAGCACAGACAGTCAAAATTCACTTCCACTTCCCCTGCTATACTTTTAACAAAGGCTAGTCACCAGCAGTCACATCATATGTCAAACAAGCACTGCGACTAGCCAAACTGGGTCAACAGACAAAGCAGGCAACTTGTGGTCACAGCTGTTTTATCACTCACCATGAGTCGAAGCATAGCTTATCAAGTTACTTAAACAGTCCCAGCCAGTCAATCCTGCTTGTATTAGGCTGGGAATTCTTGATTGTTGAAAACAGTCACTTGTTTGATTTTGACTGAAAGGACTACTTGACACAGAATATGATCTGACTGCTGGTGACTAGCCTCTGTTGAAAGTACATGTACATGTATAGCAGGGGAAGTGTAAGTGAATTATGACTCTCTGAGACTGATAAGATAGCAGGAGGGTTAATGTTGTACACAGCACTGCATGCATAGCCCTGTGGATAAACTATATAAAATACATGCATATATTCAGGAAACTTTTGGCCTTATGGGAATTGGGGCAGGTGAGATGACAGTACAGATAGACCTTTTAGGTCCACTACAGCTCTGAACTATATCAAGCCAGCATCTAAATCCTATCAGGCAACGTCTCCAAAGGGGACTGAAATGTACAGATTTGGAAATGCCAAGCATTCTGAAAAGTGTACAGCTTCAAAGTGCAAAGCAGTCCCTCAAAGATCAGCTCGGCTATCTCTAACCGTCTGTTAAAAATGTAGCTTTATACACTCCAAGTGACAGAAATAGAAATGGGTAGGTGTTAAGAGGCACTATTAAGTGCACAAGAACCCCCTAATGGGACTGGTAAAATACGTATTGATGGAGCTCTGCCTAGGTGTGCATGTACATAGGTCACCAACAGTCTTTTTCCAAGGGAGATTTTCAGGAGCAAATTGAATAAAATGTGTTAATGAATTAAAATCACATAGTGCATTGCAGCTCCCACTTGGCATACCGTACCTACACATTTAGCATGTCACATTTTGCCTAGATTTTTTTTCAAGAGAGAAAAAAATAAACACACATTGTATCCATATGTACATGTATGTTTGTTTATCTGTGGTGCAATTTTCTTCAATACCATATCGTACCAATGAATTAAAAAGCACAAACGATGTAATACATGCATCTACCTGAATCAAAAGCACAAATGATATGAGGAACCCAGTTTGAAACAACAAGTACATAAATTCATTGTGAAGATCGAGGCCAAGTTCAAGTGCTGCCCTTATTTTGCATGGGAAAATCATCAGTTCACTCCGCCTTGATGAATTTATGTTAACAAAGTGGCATGCTTGACAACATGTACGACCTGGTGATACATCAGCAGCCAATCTAGCAGGAAATAACTCTTAAATCTTGCGGGTAGCTCATACACACGTATTTCAGCCTGTGCAGTCAAAGTAGTCCGCAAATTTGGGAATCTCTATACTGCGTATGAGAGTCTCAAAACTTGAATTGAAAAGAAACATGCAACACAAGAAAATAGACTGGCACCTGAAACAACCAGTTCAACAACCCTTCAGTACTGCATCAATCAACTGTGCCAAAAGAAAGATCTGGCATGTTTGGTACAGGCATGCAACTGGGAAGTCACAACAAAGGAGGAAATTCAAATCTCTCTAAGACTTTGTATGTACAGTAGGCCTATTTTTTCTATTTTTTAATGGCACACATGGGAAGTTAAAAAAGAGGAGATCAGCTGATCAAAGGAAAAGTTGCATGCCTGCTGGTACTATTTCTACACATTTCTCCATAGTCAGCCAACAGACTAATGACAATGAATGAAGAGGTCAGTCTTTTTAAACAGTTGGACCATGGTAGGACATGTACCGGTCTAGTCTGTAGCCTCATTTTTAAATCAACCGACTTTTCTCTTATGTGCACAATATTGACAAAAAGTCTCCATTAAAAAAAATTGAGTTGAGTCTTCAAACTTCATTGTTGAAATACTGAGGACCATGTTTTTGACCAATAAACATTTTTGAGAATTTTGCTGTCTATAGAGTGAGTAAAGTTGGCTTGATTTTGTTTTGCATGTTTCTCAGCCCTCAAGGTCCTAGTTTGGTGTAGAAGGTGAAATCACTGTCTAACAATTAATTTACACGCAAAAACAACCATTCACTTGTCTTTTACTATACTCTCGAGGACAATGCTTTGTGTTTCCCTTTGTCCCTGTAATTTAACACTCTCCCATAGAAAAAGCACATTATAGAGGACTGTTTTTAACAAAAGACACCACTCCCGAGGACTGAAAGGATCTGTTGTTCTCCCGTTGTGTGTCGGTCCTCTCAGGTTATAATGTAGAACACGTACAAACATACACGTACTAAAGTCAAACTTTGTAATCAATGGTAATTAAGGATCAATGGTAATTAAGGATCAATGGTAATTACGGGAATTCTATAAAGACACTTTTGACAGATTAATACTGATATGATTTTGCTACATGTACATGTATACAGTTCATTTTGTCCAGGTAGTTAGGGTTACTTATTTCACTATCTTCTGTCCATATTTTCCTATAGATCACTTTGATCCGTTGGATGAATGACCTCTATCTTTACCTGTTGTCTCTCGCTTTCCACGACCCCTTCCATCTCCCTGACCCTGTCCAGCAAGGCAGCATGGGATTGCTCAAGGCTCCTGCGAAGACTGCCCTCTCTGGCCAACTCTTCTCGTAACTAGAGTCACAGGAGAACATTTACAATGTTGGTTAACAGGTGTACACGTGCACAGTATTGAATTCTATTATGAATGCACATTTGGTGCAGTGAGGTTACCAATGCTAAAACACTTCAACTCAAGGCTCTAGCAATAATTAATAATAATAATAATAATATCGGATTCTTATATAGCGCACGTATCTACCAACAATTACATGTAGGTACTCAGGGCACTGGAAATTATATATATTAATAAAGAAAGGCAAATAAAGCTCATGAGAAATATGAAACCCATTACGTAGCACCTTATAGGGGTTTACAAGGTGCTGCGGCGCATATTGCAGCCACTGCCAGAAACACCGGGGCAAACCCCTTCTCTTAGCGATAAGTGTTACTGGGTTCTTTAACGTGTATTATACAACACACGGGACCTACGGCTTTACGTCCCATTCGAAGGACTAAGTAATAATGGTAAAGTGCCTTGCTCAAGAGCACAAGCACCATGTTCCCATATGTTTCATGTCAAATTTGTTTGGCAGCATTTGTACTCGCTTGGTGTGTGAACCAACCTTGAAGCAGACTTGTAACTTTGATAAATATGCAACACATCCAGTAATCCAAAGCTGACATGAATTATCGACAAGGAAACTATCTTGACCTTGGCAGGCATCAACAGTTTTAAATTCAGAAAAGTCAAAACAATATTTCTGTTTGTTTGAAGTGTGATAAAATAAAGCTTAAAACATTTTGTAAAATGGAACACACGCACACCTTATACAATGTACATGTATTATATAAAGCCCCTAGGCCCAGAAAGCCCACTACGGTACTTTTGCATCATCAGGTTACCACTGACAAATCGCCAATGCAACTAAGGTGTTCAAGGAAACCAGTGTTAAAAAGTTCAAAATCATCAACAATTACGAATTGAGCACACAAATTTAGAGGTGGCCATCTGATCAAATGACACATACCGCTCTCTCAAAAACTGATACTTTCTGAGAAAAAGTATGAAACCAAGTATAGAATCTATTAAACCGAGTAAGAAACCGAACTTTCAAGCATATACATTTGTAAACCCACCATTTGTTTAATGGTAATAATTATAATAATAACCGGGAATGGCTGATTAGGGAGACTTTCCCATAGACTTGTGCACACACTTTTTTTCCAAATTAAATGTGCCCTAACCTAATTTTCCCTTGTCTTTTTTCCACGAATTGCGGTATTTTTACTAATTAGACCACGAGCAACAAATATAACCTAATTGCAACAATAAACTTTTACCTCCAAGGGGGGGCTGTGCCATGAGGGAGACAGTTATGTGTCTTCCTAAAAGCTGGTGTCTCCCTATTATCAAAAAAAAAACAATAACGTGTCTCCCTAATGGTACATTTAGTAATATATAATGTCAATGCTTACAAATAAATAACCTGAAAGTTAATAAGAAAAAAAGAATCATGTACATTTATGTAGGTCATCGATAAATATTCAGAAGTTTTCAACCATAAAACCTATAGGCCTATACCGGTAGGTTTTTCATCATTTGAAGAAATAAAATTAATAACAAACATTTTGGTATTAAACATTTCAATCAAAAACTGTGACATGTGTCGAATGAAATCTTGCACAAAATTACCAAGAATTAGTAAATTACACAAAAATGTACAAAATGTGTTTGGAAATGGAATGTAAAGGAAAGTGGCAATCCGGTAATTGTTTTGGACAATGGCAAATGCTGGACTCAAGGCGGGGATATAATTAGCTTTCTAACGAGAAAAGAAAAGACAAACACCTTGGACCTTGTCCCAATCATTCGCTGTGGCACCTGTAACGGGGCAAGTCAATTAGCTGGTTCATTCTAGCCTACAGCCAGGCGTTAAAGCCCAGGGATAGCCCGCAAGGTAATCAAATTGCATCTGAATACATGGAATAGAGAGTCATTTCTGAGATGGTCTTTTTTTTGTAATCCCTTAATAGCCTAGAAAAGCTTCTCATTAAAAGAAAGGGAATGAAACGAATGAGGGAATTAACTTTGCAAGTAAATTCAAAGCCCACTAGCCCAGACGTATGGAGGGACAATTTTTGACCCTGTTAAAAAGCACGTTGGAGGAGTATTAAGAACTCATTCAAGATTTCTGGGAACAAAAGGATTATAACCCCTGGCCATTCTATAAAACTGTACAAAAGTGGGGGCATTATTATTCAGAAGTAAATTGAATTGAACTTAAATGATTATCTAGCAACTTCCGGAAAGTGCACAAAAGGAAGAAAGTGGGATACTGGAAGATGTGTACATTACCCTAACAGAACTCAACCCATCAAACCCCAACAGCATGTTTTGTTGGAATCTGTCAGGATGGGTACAGTACCCCTAAACTGACAGTCTTTTACACTGGGTTGGCACACCTCCAGAAATAAGTCAGAAATATGTGTGTACAGTTTACCATTATGGTGTTGGAATTTGCCAGGATGGGTATGGTTCCTAGTAAATCTTGCTAGGGAGTTAGGGTTAAAGATGCAAAACAAGTGAGTTGAGGCTACTCTATGTACATGTATATGTACATAGAGTTCACAGGATGAAGCAGCGTTTCAGCCAAGATCTGGCACGTCTGGGAGTAAGAAAGTTGTCTCAAGTTTGCCACCAAAAATAATAAAATATAGGACGACCAATTGTTCTAATCATCAAGTTTCAAGTATGTATAACGACATTACAATGTAAGACATGTGTTTCAAATCGTTCATCTAAAAATACTAAAAAAAAAACCTGGCTATTAAAAGCCTGCTGGAGGCAGAGAATTTAATCCTCTCAGATCTGCAGATTCTTAAACATCTACATCTAGCAGGAGGTTTGCTGAGGATTTGGCGGGACTGAGGAGGATGAAGCCTGACCAACATTACGACATGGTTGAATGTCCTTCATGTCCTTAGATTAGAATTTTATGTAAAAAGAATCTACACACAGTGGAAGGTTTTATCAGATTCAGGATTGCTGCAATGAACAACTTACATGTACAAGAGTGTGTGTTAATTAAATGGTGCAATGAGATCAGACATGTATCTGTCTGTTGGTGAGTTTGTTGACTGGTTGTATTTGACTGGTTGGTTGGCTGGTCTGCTTGTCTTATGGGTGGGTCAGCTTTATGAATTGCTCTAAAAGCCTGTCAATAAGCTTTATCTTTTTCAACAATCCTCCAGGCCTGCGTTCTGTATGGATGTGGGTTTTTCATTTTTAAATCAAGTATTACATTTGTAGTTTTATTTTAACAAATAATTAAATAATTTTGTTTGTGTACTGTGTACCGGTACTTTAATTATGTTTACCTGGATACTTTAAAAAACAAAAATAACTAAAAAGAATTTCTTAAAAAAAAAATTATTTTACACAAATATTCTTTTAATTCTCTCTCCCCCCTTTGTTTTGCTGCGGGATAACAGCTCAACAAATCAACATGTCTCGCCATCATGTCCCTTAGTAGTTAGTAACAAACATCGACATGGTCTATTGCTCCTACATATTTTGACCAATTTCAACCAAACTTTGTCAAAAGTATCAGTAGCCAAGCCCCAAAATGTCACATGACCAACCTGGGGTCAAAGGTCGTCATAGGGTCACTGGGGTCAAAAACATGAATTGTTTACTCAAAAGACTATGTCTACTCCTTTCAGAAATTACATGGCACAATCAAGTGTCTCATGCATTAGCACAAGCCTGCAGCTTCCGAGATATACATGTACATTGTATTTCCAATCCAGCTTGTTTTTTTAATGAAAACTTTAAAACATTGATTATGTGAAGTAAATCAATTATGTCTGCTGCACTGCAGTTATCTGAAGTACAATGTAGTTATCCACTGTCCCTATCAAACAATGGGCCAGCCGCAGACATGGCTGTGTGATCATGTGCCATATGGGGTACCGGTACATGCTATACTGCACGTCTAAGTGAGCTTTGAAAAACTTACATCTCTGTGTACATGTATATCGAATAATAACACAATGCACTCAAGAGAGGCACTGCCCTCAACAGCAAAATCTAGCTGTAATTTCTGCCATTTTACCTTTGAGGTTTACAAATTGCATTATCTGCTTAGATGCTACGTGACAGCAAACACGATTTCTTCAGACTACAGGCGTTTATCTTTTTCACACCCTCACACTAGCACTATTAAAATCAAGTTTTGAGAAGTAGTGACAGTAGTCCATGTACAAGGTACACTTAACCCAAAAAGAAAGTCCCCCCTTAATACTTTTTTGTCTAACTCAAAAACTACTGGGCACATCTTGCTCAAATTACGACTGATCGGTACAGAAATTCCTTAGCAAACCAGCCATACTCTTTGTTTGGCCCAAAACAATGATAATCTGTACAAAATTATGCAATTTATGACAAATGGTAACGAAAAGAAAATTGCACTTTTGTGTACGTGCAAGGTGTGTGTGAGAGTCAGGTTGGCGTAGCGGTTCTTTCCTCGCCTTCCACCGCTGTGACCTGGCTTCGAATCCCGCCTGGGCCAATATGTGGATTGGGTTTTCAGTCCCTGCCTTATTCCATGGATTTTCCTCAGAATTCTCTTCTGGGGTTTTCCTCCCACCTCTGAAACTGTAATTTCTTCTCATTGTCTTCTCTCCACAGGTTTCTTCAGGCTTGCGAGCTACAGTGCATAGGGCGCTCTTGAGGATTCCTTGGTTTCAATACCAGAAATGTAATAATAATAATAACTACTACTTGCACGTATACAAAAGTGCAACGGTTTTTGGTATCATTTGTCATGTTTGTCATAAATGCATACATTTGTACACATTATCACTGTGTTGGGCCAATTAAAGAATATGGCTTGATTGCTAAGGAATTTCTGTACTGATTAGTTGTTAATTGAGCAAGAGGTGCTCAGTAGTTTTTGAGTCAGACAAAGTATTGGGGGAGGGACTTTCTTTGTTGGTTGAGTGTATATAAGTACAGGTGTGCATTCGTACAGCTACTGTATTTCTAACATTTCAATTTCAAACCTTGCATACATTCATATGATGGAATTTGCCTCGGTGTGATGTAAATTTAAATACGTTTTGCCCTTCACTGACATTCATAAACAATGTATACCGGTACATACTCAGTATGAACTTTCTTACTATGATTCTCAGTAATACAAACTTTGAAGAACTTTAAAGTCCTCAAAATATCATCATGTCAAACAGTACAATAACACAGATTTTTAAAGTCATGAAATTACCCCCTACTTTTTTTTCTTAAAAAGTAACCTAAAAATTTACACCAAAAGATTGTTTTAGAAATATCCGAATCAAAACACTAAAATTTTCATAAGCCACAAAAAATTGTGGGCTCCACCTTACAAACGTTCTCATAACATGGCTGTCCCCCTCAATAGGTCTCACTCAAATGACGTCATTTCCTACAGACCATCCACGTGCATCAGCATTTTGAGCGTCAACTTGCATAACGCGCATCAGCTGCATCGTATTTTGAACACATTTCGAGCAACATGCACGTGTGTTTGGAACATTTCCAACACTGCGCAATGCGTGATACATGTAGATTGCGTAAAATACGCAGTTGCAGTTCTCCTACAGAAATGGCCGTCATTGAACGAGCCCTATTGCATGTGTTCACTGACATTTATAACATAAGAATAATGCCCATTGAACTCGTGTTCTTAAGTCCTTGTACTTTTGTAACATTAATATTGCATGTAATATGAGACATATTATTTATTACCGCAGTGTCTCAATGAAACAAATCTATCATTGTAAATATTTCAGCACAATGATTGCAAGCACAGCCACACTGCACAGTTTATTCAACCATCAGTATTGTGCATGTAACCATGAAGGATCTACAGTAATCCATCCACAATCAACAAACTGTTTGTACTTTACTCAAATTGATCGCAAGGGGCAACCCATGTTTGAAATATGCCGACAGACACGAGGTTAAAGCAATTATCCATGAGTGGTCCAGCGACCTTGCCTAACATGCAATGAACTGAATCGATTCATTAACTAATTACCTTTATAGATAACTTGTCTTTACCCTTTTTTTATTTTATGCAGAAACAAATAAAAAAATAAAGATTATACTCAGCCTAGTGGAGAGAGGTTGCTATTTGATAATTGGTCTTTACCTCGGCATTCCTTTTGTTCATCTTTTGCCTGCTTGACATCGAATCCTCATACGCTACAGCAAGCTCCGACTGTCCAAATATTAAAAAAGAAAAAAGTCATGTGCGCTTCATGAAACAAAACATTTTATTTAACATTGTTTTAAGGGAAGATACAACATTTGCAAACATCAAAAAACAAAATGATACAACAAAATACCTGAGTAACGAAGTAAGTGAGTCTAAAAGCATCCTGTAAAATCATGGCTCCTGGTGTGCTGACATTTTTAAGTAAAGTGTTTTTTTTGTAACCATTTCCAACGCCGGTCGGCTGACCGGCGTTGGAGAAAACTGGCTTTTTCAAAACAACTCCTAATTGTCCATATTTAGTTATTTTGCACTTTCTTTTTAATTGATTACACACCTGAGAAGGGGTACAAGCCAGCTAGACTGATTCTCTGACCTTACAATTCCCTAACATCTATAAATTGCTCCGTTACAAGGCGATTAAAAAAAAAAAAACCCAAATGTCAAGACCATTTTTTTAAATGACGTTCGCCATGTACATACATACATGTATGTAGCACTTTCAAATTTAGGATATGAAGCCCAATTCACAAGCTTTCTTTTAGTACAAGAATCATTCAAATCACACATGCACTTTTCAAGTTACGGAATTTTAAACACAAACACCGTTTCAAAGCTCTGTCCAAGGATCACAAGAAAGCAAAGTGTTCTTTCATCATACATGTACAAAAACAATTCACATACATCATGTACATGTAGGAATGTATGTGAATTGGTCCTGTCATTTAGGATTCCTTTTCTTTTTCTACTCACCCTCTACAAATGTCTTTCTCCCTTTATTTATCAACATTTTTTTACATTAAAAGTTAATTTCTTTATTTTAAACTTTAATTCATGCAGACGTACTTATTGTTCAGGGGCAATTCCATTAGAAAGCGGACATGGTTGAAAAATGAAGAAAAGAAAAAGCATCACAACCTCAAATGTTCTATCAAATTAAAGAGTATCAAGACCTTTCATTTCAGTGATGGCAGTGAGATGGCATGGTGAAGTGTATTTTCTTTTGCCAAAATAATGGATTTTATTCTAAATTTATGATTTTTAGGTACATGTAGTCATTTGACACCTTATTTTTACATGCAAAATGCTAGTGTTATTGAGAGTTTCTGTTTTAACCCAAACTTCCTGTTGTCTTTTACTGAGCATCGGTACTGGACCAAGTCCGCCAAAATCCATCAATCACACTACTTCCAATGCATGCTTGGATTTAGGCCTCCAGGCCCAAGTCCATCATACTCCATCAATATTTAGTCAAACCAGGCCTGCAGGACCAAGTCCCCCAAAATCCACCAAAATGGGGGATGGATTTAGATGGAGTTTGGGAGGTTAGGGTTAAGGTAGAGGGAAGGGTTCATATTGGAAGAGGTTTTTTTTGATTACTAGTTTCTTATGTTTTAACCTGTACCAACGAAAGGCAAACTGTTATATTAGTTACTGTAAACGTGAGTTACTGAAATATCTTTGTAGAGAGTGTATTTTTAAGTAATTGAAATGATAGCATATGACTTACACCCTTATGAATTACACATGTCTAAGGCACTGACAAATTTCTTCCAACAGAGCAAAATATGAGGAAACTTTCAAATGCAAGGTATTTAGGGTAAACTGGGGTAAAAACGCCCATGGGGTAAAAACGCCCACTTGACTTGTTTCCACTGCTAGTAAAAAATGACAAGATGAATTGTTCAATGGAATATATTTTTAATAAGTACAATGTAGATAAAAACTAATAATAAAACGAATTAAATTCATTAACATATTTGAAGGGTATGTAGGTGCTGTTGAAAAAAATATTTTAAAAAAAGTTTTAAAAAATGGCCGTCGAAGGTTTAGCCTATATCGCTTAAAAATTTGTTATAAAAAAAAGTATCTTATATTTTTATTATTCTTTAGTTGATATATATTAAAAAGGGTTAATAACATAATTATAAATGATTACAATATTAAAATCTATTTTAATATTTGCTTAACAATGTTTTTTGAGTGGGCGTTTTTACCCCGGGCAAAATCAGGGGTCTCGGGGTAAAAACGGCCAGTACTTTCCTTGATATCAAACTCTATTGCAGCCTCATTTATCTTCAAAAACCTCACTGTTAGAACTTTCTACAGCATTATGTTTGTTGTATGAGTAAGTATTAGCTATAAGAGTCCCACAATATAAATATTAAACAGTCAGGCGCTGATCCAGAGGGGGGGTTTTGTGGGTCAAACCCCCCCCCCCCCCAGCTCCGTCAAAATTTTTTTTTCATACAAATTCCCCCAAAAAACAAGTTGAACCCCCCCCCCCCCCCCCCCCCCCCCCCCCCCCCCCCCCCCCCCCCGCTGTGACACCCAAACAACAATTATACTGGTATAATGTCCGCCTGTTGGAAATATGGTACATCATTCTGTAATCTAGTGTTAATAATCGTCAAATTTGACCAGCGTCCCCTATTGAAATATGGTACCAGCCCCAGCCCCCCCCCCCCTCCCCCAGTTTTTGATTTTATGGAGGCAAAGTGTCCGGAGAAAAAAACCTGTGTACATTTTCAGATTTTTTTTGCTGATGACCCCATGCGAAAACTCCTGGATCCACCCCTAACAGTGTATTGCGTGAAGTGGGGAGGTACATGTAGGCGGTATCACTAACTGTCGTTACAAAGTGGCAAGGATCTGGCATTAGTTTAGTGGCCAATGCCATGGGTCTATGATATGTGAGCAGATTCGCTGATTAATTAGGCAAGACCCTGCCTCTTGACCTCCTAGATTTTGACCAATTAGTGGATGCTTTCTATATCAGGTCTTCGGTCATTCACCGTTGTGCGTCATAGACAATGGATTAAAAAGCCCTGCGTCACACACTCTGTTACCATGTTACGCGATAACGCGCCCGGCTGTTGTAACATTACAAAACACTGCATTCGAATGGACCAATCAAACGTTTAGTCCTGATTTGGGAATGAAATGACGTCACGATTTAGTAAAGTCGACTCCGATTGGCTGAGGCGCGAGATCGCATAAATCTGCATGCTTTGATCAGATGTCAGACAGGAGTCTGGGCTCCGTGGATAACAGGTGATACTCAGACTAGCATTTATTCGGGAATGCTCTAGAAATCATGAGCTCATGGCATTTTCTCAAGAAAAAAAAATAACACCTCCCGGGTAAAAACGCCCGCCAAACTTCCTCCCGAAAAGGGGGGAAAATTTCCCCTTATCAATATAATGACCATGATATTATATTTGCACCTGATAGAGGAGACATGTATTGTATAAAACCTTACATTTATTTCCTGGTGTCTCCATGTAGTACTGAGATATTTAACAAAAACCTAAAAATCAGGCGTTTTTACCCCAGTTTACCCTAAATGTTTGCCATGTCCTTTTTCTTGTAATGTGAGTCACTGATACAAAACTTATTGCCAAACTAACGTTCTTATGGCCACTTTCTTTAGAGTTTAGACACTTAACTGTTCTTAGAAACTCACCCTAAATGCTTTGACTTAATAGAATAACAGCCCAGAGTTGACGGAAGACCCTCTTTAAATGTAACGGGAGTTACAATGTACATTGTACCATGGAATTGCCCATGTAATGTTTCCAAGTTATGCTATAATTTACGTTTTGCCTCCAAATCCCTCAGATTAGAATGTGCTTCTTTTTTTTTAAGAACATGAAGGATGATAGAATTAACGCCTGTATGTAGGTCAATTACCCAAGTCCTTGCTAGTAAATTACACTATAGGCCTATAGCATTAAATGGACCCCTAATTTTGGAGATAAACAAATATGTATGGGACACGTAATATGTTTGGAAATGGTTGTACCGTCAGGAACACTTCTCTTGCGTTATTTCTTAAATGTTTTCTTGCGTATGTCTGACTGAAATGTGAAAAATGTTTGCCCATTAATGAAAACGAATGCCCGATCAACCCCTTACTAATGTTTTAGACGAAATTGAATTGCACATACATGTAGGTCCTACCTTTTAAAAAAGAAAGTCAATGTACGGTTTGAAGTCATCAAATATGATTTACGCTAAGGAATACGGACATGTATGATATGAAGTCTTAAAAGATGTTTAACAAAATGTGAAACATGTTTGCCCATTAATGAAAACGAATGCCTGATCCACCCCTTACTAATGGTTTAGACGAAATTGAATGAACAACGCGATACTAATATGAATGCATCTTTGATAGGGACGAGTGAAGCTAAAAGGCGATAGAATGCTCGGATAGTGAAATTGAATGATTCTTTTTGATTGTCGAATGCTGATCTGCATGATCTTTCAATTTCAATCTACTGGTAAATCGAATGAGCCAGGCGTTAAATTGAATGAAAACCTGGTGAAATTGGCCGGGAAAACCTGTATTAAACAGGGGCGTGAGTGACCACTGATAAAAACAGCTGAAAATAGCTGAAAAAGGTGTACAAAAGCTGAACTTTGAAAATCTCCTACATACTTTAACCCTAACCCCTTGGGCTCTTTACTAGAAAGTACCCTGAATCCGCCAAAATCCATCCATTTCGCCATGCAAAAAAATGTTGAACAGTGAGTCCATCAGAATCCACCAGTTAGGCGGGAGTAAATCTGTTGAGATCCTGAATCCGCCAAAGTCCCCCAACAGCTCAATATAGAGGTATCCTGAATCCATCAAAATCCTGCAGTTCCGCTAGGCTAACAATCCTGAATCCATCGAAATCCCCCAGTTTGTGCAATATGGAGGTATCCTGAATCTGCCGAAATCCCCCGAAACAGGGGGTGGATTTTGATGGATTCAGGTACATACATGTATGTACTGTATGTTAGGGTTAATACATTTGTTATACGCAGCAAGTGCGGGAAAAACAGCCGTAAGTCCAAAACAAAACAAAAAGCAGAAATCAGCTTTTAAATCTTAGTTTTCACACCCCTGATTAAAGGAAGATAGCCTACAACATTTGCAAACATCACAAAACGTTTTCATACATGTACATTGTGTAATGAGTTATTCCGCGGTTTTTTTTTGCAACTGCATGATTACATGTACACACCTGTCATGCCTGTGAAGAGGTACAAGCCTGCGCTAGACTGAATCTGTGACCTTACAATTCCCCAAAGTCTATAAATTGTTGTGTTTTATCTTAAGTGGGGGCAGGGAAACAGACTACAAGAACATGATTAGTTTTCTTGGTTTTTCCAGCATCTACGAACCCAAAACGTAAAACAAGTAATTTTAACAATATTTGCTATAACATACTAATCCTCCAAATCCCTTTATTTCTGAAAATTGCAGCAAAAGCAAATGTTGTACATTCCCTTTCAAACAAGGTCAATGAGCTCCATGCCCAAGTACCCATCACTGGTATTACCAGCATACATGTAGCTACCGGTACCAACTTTTCAAAATCCCAATTAGTAATCAACCCGCGCGGTCATTTTCAACTGCTCCTATTATCAAAAGTGTATGTACCAGCTTTACCAACATCGAGTACATGTACATGGTTTACATGTGCATACAATTCTTGTTGTGAATAATAATGTACTGTAGGCCAAAAGATTATAAAAAAAAAAAATTAAAAAAAAGTTTCGAGTTTGTATCGTGTTTTTACACACAATGATTTAGGGCCACCGTATGTAATAGAAATATCCCGCCAACATACCTTGCAAACGCATGCTGATTTATCTTTTCTGGACATTGTGATAAACTCAAACTCTATTACCAATTATTCCAACCATACTCGTATTAAATTCCATGATTAAAATCTCGCACTGATGGGTCTCATCCCGGCAACAAGCGACCAAATGTGCTCACGATCGTCACTGAAAAGTACTCACACATGCACAGTACCCACACCCAACCACACATCCACGAGATGCACACAAATGGCACACCATTGAAATTTTTTTAGTCTGGTCCTCAAATACTCCACTGCGCACACTGCATTGATGTCTATCAGGTGTTTGACCGCATTGCTTATTAGACTTGTCACCAGTCCATCCATTATCGCAACATTTCGCCAGAATTTTTTGATCAAAAACGATACTATACAAGTATTTTTTTTTTAAGGGAGAAAATTGGAAATTCGTATAATGTTTTAGTGGCAAATCGTATTTTTTTAATTTAACAAACAATCATGACAATTCGTAATAATTACAAAAAAATCGTAATAGTTGGCAGCTATGTACCAGTGACGGGATAAAGGGGGGGGGGGGGAGGTTAGGGTAGAACACTGAGAAAGACATTCTAGGATTGCAGATGATGCCAGATGCTCATGTGTAGACGCTATTGCTTTGAACACATTCAGGAGAAAATTACAATACATGTACCGGTAGTTGTACATTGTAGGCCTATGTACAGTACTTCACAGAACGCACCACAGTGTGTCCAGTCCACAGGGCACTCATAAGTGGTAAAAAAAAAACCTCTCCTGTTTGCGCATGGATGAACCCATAATACAGTGTACATGTATGTATACATACCTGCACAATGTGCATACATGTACGTTTATTTAATACCATTATGACTAGTGAGAGCTTCTCTGTCACTCAGTGTCATGCACTCTGCGCTTTATTCAATCAATCAATAATTCAATAGCAAATTGATCTTGATGTGATTACATCAACGCCCCCATGTAAAGCTGGGAGGAAGATGGGCTGATTAGCTAAGAAAAGAAAATGTCTCGTCGTTTGCTGTCAAGTTATGGTCGTTTTTGCATCTTTTTAGAGATTAATATCGAATTCTGAATGGTTTTGAAAACCACATTTATCTCCCACTGTCATGTGAAAGGATGAAAATTGCCAACCTATAGATTTGTCCATTTCCATCAAATCAGGATATGTAACCATGGTAACTGTATACAGACTGGGATTAGGGATGGTTGGGGGTGAGGTGGTTTCAAAATGTTATACAGGACACATTTGGTGACTTTTTCAGTCCGTGTACCGTCTCATTCATACATGGTACAGTACATGTACATGTACACGTACATGTACAATGCTGCTATTTCAAGGTCTCCATTCAGTGTGACAATTAAAGCTATAGTCCATCATTTGCAGCCATCCGAAAAGTAACTGCGTAATTACTGTTGAAAAACAAACTTGGTTGAAAGATAGTAAGGGGACTAAACTCCCTGTGAAATTATTCTTTCTGGCAAGCTGTCATTTTGAAGTAATCAACGAAAGAAGGCATTTCCAACGGTAATTCTTAAGAAGCACCGTAGGAAAATTTAAATTAGTAGTTCGTTTTGTTATTCAGCGCAGCGCGCACAAGTATTGGAACGACGCACACGTGTGCGCGGTTGCTATAATCGTCGGATCAGTGCGCGACGCCACGTATAGCTGCAATTCAAAACAATTCAAAACATGATTCAGTAACTTTTGATTTGAAATTGAGATCTTAGAATGCTGCTTTTCTCGGAATGTACAGCTGAAGCTTAGCTGAAACTTCATCAGGTTAGTTGCTCAGTATCCTTCATTAGATTTTGAACACTTTTGTTGCTTCAAACGAACAAAATGCACTTATTACAAACATGACAAATGATGGACTATAGCTTTAACAATACACGAATAGACTTTTGAATGTCGTTACCTAATGCACACCGTACATGTAGAAATATGCATGGACACAAACAAGAAGCAGCTGATTCTAAACAACAACTCCCAATCAGGTGCTACAAAATAAGCATCATTTACCTATATCCTCGACACTCCATAATCTGGGCAGGTAACGCTTGCAACGCGCGCGCGTTGTCACACACAAATTGAAAGCAAGTGCCACGTACATTATTGTAGCTTTAGGGGGTCTGGCGATGATTTTAAAAGTACATGCACATGTCATTTGGACAAGTCAATGAACTCTAGCTGAAGTGTCCAAGATGTTTGATTACGCACATGACTGGAGGACATACAGACGTCATTACGGGTATTACAGTGCGTATCTGCTGGTCAGCGATGATACTGATTTGCAGGGATTACATGTAGAAGGGCCTAGGGATCTCACGACAGACTGGTATTCTTTCGGTTGGTGGCCAGTGCAATCTGAACACATCACTTGGTACGGTAGTTGATACACTGGCAGATATTGAAGGCAATGCAAAAAATGTAGGGAAGCCACTTATGGGAAATATTGACCCCAACTGAACTCAACCCATCAAAGTTCAACAGCAGGTTTTGTTTAAATCTGTTGGGATAGGTACATTGTACAGTACCCCTAAACTGATGGTCTTTTACACTGGAGTTGGCATACACATGTACATGTACCTCCAGAAACTAAGTCCAACAGTGTGTGTGTACAATTTCCCATGTGGGTGTTGGAATTTGCCAGAATGGGTATGGTTCCTTGTAAATTAGGCTGGGGAGTTAGGGTTAAAGTGAATTTGAAGGTGTGGTAGCAGCACAGTTTAGCACCACGGCTGGTCGTTGGTTACAAAAGTACATGTTGTCTGCTGTGACAGGGTCCATGATGTTTTGTACACCCTCGGGGGCACATGGCACCCGAGGCAAACACCTCTGTGTGCAATATTAGTTTTCCCTACATGTATGTACCATTTAAGTGGGGGAGGGGAATTTTCATTTCGTTTTTGGAAATGTCTTTGATTGTACAGTACACAAAATTGCATAATAATTATACACCATTCTATCTGAGTATTGTAATATTGTGCCTAATAAGTTATATGGCCACCCATAGTTTGCAAACCAATGGCTGGCAAAAACTATTGCAACACGTACATACGTAAGCAGTGTCATCATTTTCAGAAGGGATAGGCCTACAAATAAGAAGGGATACAAAGCTCCAAATAAACCCCGCAAAAAAGAAAGACCACACTCATTGGAGGGGAATCTGATCATCTTATGATGACGTCGTTTATATAGACCTGCGGTGATTTTCGTTTGCTACATTTTGATACTCATCAGTTTTCATATTAACCGTTGTCAATATTGGAGGATTTACAGTCTTTGGTAGCAAACGGGGTATCCATATGTAGCTAACAAAATTCCCAACAGGTCTATGTAAGCAGTGTCATCATAAGATGATAAGATTCAAAATCATGACCCCTCCAATGAGTGTGGACTGTCTTTTCTTGAGGTGTGTATAAGACACCATTGCCATAGTTACCTTGGCAGTAGTTGCTGCCTCCAGCGCATTGCTTAGCCTTCTAGCCTCCTCTAGAGCCTGGTTTCGTTGATCCAATGTCTCCTTCCATTCTGTCCGCGTCCTGACTAACTCCTTATTCAACTGCCGGACTTCCTCCTGGTGTTCCTCCTTGAGATGAGCCAACCGTTCCTCGTTTGCCGCAGCTGAGGCCGATTGTTCCCGGTTCAAGTCCCTCTCTGCTTGCAAGGCACACAGGTTCAGCTTCAAGGTTTGCAACTGGCTCTCTGTCCTGCACAGCCGAGCTACCAACGCCTCGTAGTGTTTATGGAGGACCTCCGAATCGGCCGTGGATGGGAGGAAAGGGGCCACTGGATCCGGAGAGCCACTCTTTGTCTTAGGGTGAGGGTTGCCATCTGCTCAGACGAAGACATCAAGTGAAAAAAAAACATGCGAAACAACATCAGGTTAACTGCACTTACATTGTACACTGTAACCAACACAAATCTCCAAATTTTCTCAAGGCAAAGTTCTCAGTATACCACCACTTTATGTTTGCTGAAGTCTCGGTTCAATTTAAAGAGGGTTTTTTTCAATCATTTGCCTCAGAGAGCGAAGCTAAAGTGATTTAAATTTGAAGCCTCTGTCTCGACTTTTCATCGTCTAACTTTTTAAGCAAACCCTGGTGGCATAATTGTGGAGAAAATGTAACGAAAAATAGAGACCAGTTACCAAACATCTCAGTGCCTTTCTTGACATCAGTGGCTTTTTTCATGTACATGTAACATAGTGCTGAAGTGTTGGACTGGTGGTGTCATGCACAATTTCTATTTCTTGAGTTGAATGTTTCTATTAAATAAAACTTTAGCAGTTAAATGTCTTTTTTATTTCCCAAAGAGAGACTAATACTTGTAAGTTGTAGAGTTGTTATCTATCTTTAAGAATAATTTTCACTACAAGGTAAGTAAAAAAAGCGGAACCCAAACTCCAAAAATTGTATTTAAAAAAATATGTAGCACCAAAAATAATGACTTGAAAGCCAATTTCATAATCTACTTTTAGAAAAAAAAAATACTGAAATTGCTCAATCCATTCAAAGAATATCACCATTTAAAGCCAGAGTCCATCATTTGCAGCTATCCAAAAAGTAACTGGCGTAATTATTGTTGAAAAACATACTTGGTTGAAAGATAGTAAGGGGACTAAACTCCCTGTGAAATTATTCTTTCTGGCAAGCTGTCATTTTGAAGAAATCAACGATAGAAGGCCTTTCCAACGGTGTGTCTTAAGAAGCACCATTGGAAATTTCGGTTAGTAGTTCGTTTTTTTTATTCGGCGAAGCGCGCGCTAGCGTTCACACAACGCACACATGCGCGCGGTTGCTATAATTTGTCGGATTGATCCGCAACATCGCGTAGCTGCAATTGGCGATTGAGAACATGTCTCGGACACTGAATTCAGGCCCAATTCAAAACATGATTCAGCAACTTTTGATTTAAAATCGAGATCCTAGAATGTTGTTTTTCTCGAAATATACAGCTGAAGCTGAGCTGAGATTTCATCAGATTTGTTATTCAGCACCCTACTTTAGATTTTGAGCACTTTTGTTGCTTCAAACGAACAAGATGCACAAATTACAAATGATGGACTATATCTTTAAACGCAATAACCCTAAAACCTGTCACATCCAAAAAAGCAATTTATTGTGTATTCTTACTGTTCGGAACAACAAAGAAAATGACACAGAATACTTGTTTCAACAACTGTCAACAAGTGTAGTACACAATATGTTCATTAACAATACTGCTTAGGCAAACACTATGATTTATAAAATCCACTTTTTTGAAAAACAGGCCTTCAAAAGGACTTTGTTGAATGTTTTTAACCTTTAAACTGAGGTTTTATCGCTGGTGATGTTTGAATACAATTGTGATGACGATTCTTGAAGTCGCATTTTTGGACGAAAGAGGTTTTAGGGTCATTGCGTTTAAATGGTGATATTCTTTGAACGGATTGAGCAATAATCTAAAAGTAGCTTATGAAATTGGCTTTCCAGTCATTATTATTTTTGGTGCTACATATTTTTTTAAATATGAAATATAGTCCTAACTTTTGAGGTATGGATTCCGCTTTTTTTGACTCACCCTGTATCTAAAAGCTCTAAACAAATTCAGTGTCCAAAAGTTTGAAACTACATGTACCTTCTACTGGGAAACCAAGGTCAGCAAGTTGTCGGACAAGGCTGGTGGTTTCTGCTTCGGCTGTGTTCAGCTTTTTCTGGAGGAGGGAGAAGGCTTGAGTAGTAGGAGACTTGCCGCTGGGACGGGATGGTGGGATGACTGGACGTGACTGACGTGACATGATTCTTATTCACAGATGCATTGCTTCATTGGAAGTTACTGTTAAAGCAAACAAATTATATACGCTTATAGATTATATTGTACATGTACCGGTATAGTGTGGCATGTACAGGATGTATCAGAAACCTAGTTTGAAAATTTTTAATAAATTCAATCAAAATAGGGACTTCCCACGAACATTTGTTTACAGGCCAACTTTTTTTGTCAGAAATTTTGGATAACTTCACATTCCGTATAAAATGTTCAAGTATGACTACAATTAGGAATTAGAGGGGGCAAAGCACATTTTTTTCCCCCAAATCCCTATATTTTCCAGCATTTTTTCGACCGTGGGCAGGGACACTGCCCCCTCCCCCAACCCATTAAATTAACAACAATATGATTTCGCGTCTCTTTTTGTTTTCCTTTTTTTTTTTGCTCGTCCGGGGAGGGGGGGGGGGGGGGGGCAAGCACACTTTGATTTTTCGCCTCTAGTGTCTTGTTAGAGCGAAATTGTTACCTCAAATTTCACACAAAGTGAAATTACATCAAGCTCTAAACATTCCCGTTCATAAAAAGGTTCTAGGGACATTCTATTTTGGCGTGATTTTCCAATGTTTTTTTCCAAGTGCACATTGAACCCTTTTAATATTCTCCCCAAAATAAATAATAATTTGCTGACAAACTTGTAGTTGCGTGTGAGTGGAGAAAGGCTAATAATGATTTATCAGAATTTATCAACTTCACAGAAATTCTTATACATGTAGGTCAATGTGGGATTTTCGACTATCATTTTCCAAGATTTGTTCAAGAGCGTCACGTCAGGGAACACTCAGCCTAATTTGTGCCTAATTTCTGGATGCCACCGTTTTTGAATTTCTGACTTAATTTTATGACACTAAAATTGTTCACAAACATTCAACAGCAAACATTAATACCAAATTTTCTACGAAGAGGTTTGGCAACACTGCATGGGGAAAGTCGAAGTGCACCACGTTCTGGCCTTAGCATGGTTAGGGATAGCCCCATAAATATGGCCAATTTACTGGACTAGCCTACCTCCGTAAATATTAAATTTATTCATTTAAATTTATTTATTTATTTATTTATTTACTTAGACTTGTTTATACATGGCACTAGCCCATTCAACAAACATGACCAAGGTTGTTTTTTCAAGCATGTCAAGGGGCCGTTTTGCTTAAAAATCAGACAATATAGAAATTATAATCAGTAATTCAAGACATAAAACAAAATAAGAAGAAAACTAAACAATAAACATGATAAAAAAGGGAAAAAATGTTGCAACCTGACCGGAGGGCGGAGGCTGACGCCACTTTTTTCTTCATTATAGGCCTATCATCATCTCAATGAAGGTCATTCATTGCAAAAATGATAATAAGACATGAATCTTGGACTGAGAAATATTTCCAAGTTTTTTAGGAAATACTTAAAAGAAAATTTTCTTGACTCTCCATAGACTTTGTACACAACCGCTGCCAGGCGTCGGGTTGCAATATTTTGTCCCGCGGCGCGGCCAGACACATGCCAGAGGCAGCCGGGCTAAACGAAAGCCTACCGCACTGACGAATGAATTTTAATGAACATGATAAAGGAATGTGGGACATGTCAATTTATAAGCTTCCCTCACCACGTAACACTGTTAAAGGCACTTTAACACCTGGAAGAAGAAGAACACTGTCCAGGCTGTGGTGCCAAACTGTCACAGTCAGCCGCCATCTTGTTTTGAATTATCCGCTTTGCGCATGCGCTGTATGAAATTTGTCTGGGGGATACGATGCACCCCTGTCATGCCCGTATTATAATTCCCATAGACACCAGTGTTAAATGGCCAAACGTCAAAATTCTTTTAAAAATACTCAGAACTTTCACACGTATTTAAGCTGCACAGACAAATGATGATCAACATGTCATCTTTCATTTTCTTTTCATTTTTTGGTGGGTTGACCATTGACTTTTCGAGATATTCTCACCCAAAGAAGCCGACCCCTATTTTTCCCTAAGCGGAAAAGTAACCATCTTGAAAAACGACCCCTCCACAACATGGCAAATTGAGCCCGGTTAATGGCACCCAAGCTCAGAATTGGAAACCCAAGTCCGGGCCAAACGTTCACTGCCATAGGCCTATCTCTTCGATTCCCCCAATTTTATGGCTCTCAAAACTCTCTAATATAGAATGTTTTGAGGGTATAAATTGTATTCAAGAGCTCTCGGCGGATGGATTTAGGCATACTTACAGGTGTGCACCCCTAAACTTCATCTCAATCCCCCCCAAGTTTCTGAGTCACAAAAAAAAGTTTTGAGAATGCATGGGCCACGGAAGCATCCTCCTCCAATGAATTTGAAAGTTTGATTTTGCCAAAACCCCTGCCTTAAAGAGATCATGGCTATTACAACTGGAGTTTTGCTGATGACTGTACCGCAAAATTCAATCACCATATGATAGCATTCACTCCAGCAGAAAAAAATCTCGGATACCTTAGCTTACTGGGCAGAAAGCTGGGGGAATGAAATGCAATCCCAGCAATATGTAACATCATGAGAATCTCCATAAAAAGGGAATCAGGAAAACCACCATACATAATGCTAGGGTCAATCTTGAAGCTATAACAAGGCTGAGATCGCCTATCTCGGTATCCGAGTCATCCAGAATAACTTGAGTTGGAACCGCCACACTGAGGCCTATTAAGCCACCCGTGTCCTAAATTTCATGGTGAGAAACTTCTACCCAGCCGCAAAGATAAGTTATATTTTCAGTGGTATAAGAGTACATCTTGAATATGAGAGCTGCCTGCTTGGAATCGTAGCTATAAGGCCTTTTCCACCAAAAACATTGAACGAGTCCTAAGAAGGGTTCACGTTTCGTATGCAAGGATTTTTCAAGAAAAAGTGGCGTGACAAACATGTTGGATATACTTTGGGTTGCATACCTATATTCATACCGGTACCTATGTTTCGCAATACCTATGTTCCCCAACCCTAACCTATAACCCTAACCTAACCCTATGGATTTTGGGGAACAGGGACATCGGGTAGACCCCATTAACAACACATTAAACATTCAACCAGATGCACTGCACCCAAAGAGTAACACTAACACGCAAAGGAGGGAACACATATGCCAATTCAATGAAATTATCATACAGTGTCCACATGCACACTTTTCTATACTGTTAGAAAGAGGAACAAGCTACCTCAAGATGCCATCAACCACAATCAATTTCAATCCCTGATTTACTTTATTTTGTCACTTTCCAAGCCTCTTCGTCAGACTGCCAAAGAGGATAACCAACAAGTACCAAGTACCCGTTGGGTTCGTGAAATCTAAGGAATTACCGGGTAGGTCATACTCCTTGATTTATTTATTTTCTGGGATTTCCAAACATTGGCCCTGCCAAAATAATAATAATATTAATAACAATATCAATCAACATCGCAGCAGTCTAAAAACATCATTATGAAAAGGACGGATCAAGTGTGATAATGTACAGAACATTTAAGAGCAAGTTTTTCAGGTTTGGACTGAAATACTGATCAATTTGAAAATAGTGCTTCCTTTTTTTCTTTTTTCTTTTTTGTTTATATTGACGTGTAAGTTGCTTTTTAAGAAGATTCTAACGGAGTGGCAGGGCCGGGTGCGCGTTCTTAAAGGGCCCCCCACGTATCCCGGCCCGCTCAGAATCACCGAGAGGGAGCTCAGGGACAAATAAGTTGTTTTAAAAACAAAAAATTAAAAGGAGTACCAACTGCAGAAAATGAGTCCCCCTGGTGCCCCCTGCAGTAACGCCACTGCAAAGTGGCTTGGTGTTGAGGCAACGCGTCGTGTCAATAGTCGTACATCTGTAGAATACTGTGTAAACCGTTAGAATATCCCGCACAGGGCACATATGCTGTACTTAGCACTGACTTTTAATAAAGAACGTACCCCTTTGTGAGTGCGAGAAGATCGACCTTCTGATATTTAGGCCTATGTTAGATTTGAAGACAACTTAAACTTGGTGAGTTCCTAATATCTACCGGTAGAGTGTTCCTTTGGGCTACAGTTCTTGGCAATTAAGAAGGACAATTTGTAGCTATCCTTATGTTTTTAGGACCGTAGAGAACGAGGCTAAATTGTGTCTAGTAAATCTTCTTTGGCAGTTATTGACGGAGAACTTGTTTACATTGATGGGGGCAAGCTGATCGAACCGATCAATCTTCAGCTAGTAGCCTCCTGTGGACTCGATGGTTTCTGGGGGATCATCATGTTAAGACACATCGCTGGGCCTATAAGCCTGCACCCTGGGGGCCCACTCCTGATAAAACGGGGACCTTCTCTGAAGAAACTCCAGACCATCGATGAATTGCTGTGTTCTTTTTGTACAGAAACATCTCATCCATAAAATCAATGATTCTGGCAAACCACTGTGAGAAGGTTTGGCTAACGTTGATGTGGAACCGGAACGCATTACTGAAGTCGTAAAGCACCCAATCAACTTGGCCGCTTTGATCTAATGTCCAGCAAGATCTTCGGTTGTTCTTGTGTGCAACCAGCTGCGTCTCACCGTGACTTGATCTGCCTTCTTTGCGGAAACCGTGTTGATTACATGCATCATAGCACTTCATGTGTTTCCAAATGACCCATAGTGCAGTGTCAATTAGTGTGACATTTTACAAGTACGTGTTCAAGTATAGTCAGGTGGCTTAATTGTGGAATCGTGACCGACCGGTCCAAACTGCATGGAGGAATAAGAACACATGGTCCAAAGCGCCTAATGAATGTGGGTGATACAAAGCATGTACTGCAAAAACTGTGTTTATCAGTTAACAACTTTTATAAACACTTTCTTGCTATCAGTTTGTAAACATATTAAAATATTCAATATGTTTAGAGTAAGGATGGAAAGTGTTTAGCAATTGAACATTCATGTTTAGGAATTGAACACATGATGTTTATTTTCTAAATATGTTTACAAATAATGTTGTCATTGTTCGCATGATTTTCCACACAATGTTATTGGGGTACAGTAAGTAAGTTTGTGAATTTGAAGCTCATCAATACTAAGGTTTGGAAAGACTTCTTGATGATATCTTGGGAAATGGTAAATGCGTGCAACTTTACGGCATAACGATAGCCATTTGGGGTCATTCATATATAATTATGAAATATCTTCCTTTCGAGTCACTTGCTTTAAAAAATAGTGTGTAAGTTAGAATTGGCCTATGTAGGTAGAATCCCAACAATTTACTCCTTCAAACATTTTTGTTGTTGAAATGTACACAGAAAACACAAAGTGAGTAATTTGACTCATTATCGTAATATAGCATTTTGTCCGTGAAGTGAGACACTTTGAGCCAAAGTGTCTCACTACATGGACAAAAGATCTCATTTGTTATTACTCACTTTGTCAGTGTTTTCTGTGTACCAACATTTGAAGAAAAAAAATACTTGGCGGCCATTTACGATTGATGCAAATAAGGCACCCTTCCCAAAAGAATTTCAGCTGCCACCCTTTCTAAATAATATGGCTATATAAAGTCTATTTGCCAAGTTTGGTGCTTTGGACCAGTCGGTCGTGACGATCTTGCAACACATTGGATCTAAGCCACCTCACTAATACGGCCGATAGTTAGAAGGAACAGCCCTGTCACCATTCTGGAATAACGGAACAATGTTGGCGTGACGCAAGTCCGAAGTCAGGGTATCGGTATCAAGCCAACCTCGTCCCCAGTGCTTACTTTATTTCCAACCTCGTTTCCAATAGTAAACCCTGGATAGGAAACTTTGTTCCTGTATCCTGATTCGATACCGCAATTTGCTAGTAATGGATTTATATCGTGAAGTTGGTGGGTTTTTTTTTCAACGTGCATTACGTGTTTTTTATTTCATTTCATTTCATTTATTATTTCGCAGGTCAAATTTACCATGGGTAAAACAAAATAATAATAATATTAAAGACAGTATAGACATAAAAAAGACATAAGTTTAAAAAATACACATTAAACCATGAAAAAGACCCTTACACCAAGATAAGTAGCTCCCCCGGCATAGCATGACTAAAACCCCTATTTTGCAAAAACACAAACATTATAACGGACTTACACTATAACACATAATCCCATGGGCAAAAGGAAAAACCCTTTAAAATAGCTTTCACGATCGTTATAATTATTACATCCACGCCTTCTAAAATAATACTCTTTTCCTTTCCACTTTTCTCATATTAATATGAATGTGATACTGCATATTGGCGGGCCAGATTGTAACATTTTAACTTCCAACAAAAATCGTGTTTTCGTAACTCACGGCGCCGTGAATCGATGCTGTTTTTACCCCAGACACCACATACAAAAACAAACGCTAATTTAACGCCCAGGCACCAGACTATTCCTTATTTGCATATGTGTTCAAAAATCTTGCACATGCAAATGATCCAATACCAGGGTGAGAGAGCAGGTAGTGGTGGGCGCGTACTGCTCGACACCCTGGGGACGAGGTTGGTATCAAGCGATTTCGGAAATATGAGTCTTAGTATGGGTGCTATAATATGGGGCACATGCATAACTTCAAAATGCCATCAGGATCTGGAGCTTTTTGCGGCTCCAAATTATCAGTAGCAGTTTTTCAACCCCAGGGGCGGATCCAGGAATTTTCGCCGAGGGGGGGGGGGGGGGGGGGGTTCATCGGCAAAATATTTGAAATGTAGACAGGGTTTTTTCTCTGGACACTTGCCTCCGAAAGTCAA